GTAATCAAAAGTAAACTGAACACAATGACAAATGAAGGACAAATAATGAGATGATAAAGATATCTTTTAGTCTATTCGTACTTCATGTGTGTTTAACCAGGATTTGATGAAACCTTTCTATATAGAAGAGTTTGATGTAATCACAAGATAATTGAACACAAAGACAAATAAAGGGCAAATTATGAGACGAAGAAGACATTCTTTACTCTATCTTTCATGACGAATGTGACATACGACATGAGGATTATATTAATTCAAAAAGATTTGTAACCAATCTTAACGGAGAGGACCATCATTGTCAATTGCTTCAATATAGATGAGCATGGCACCAAAGACCAATGAGACCGACAGCTAAGGCCAAAATATTTGAAAACCTCAAGTTTCATAAGGTTCTTCAAATTGATGCATATTGATTTACAACCAAAAGTTAGCTTTGTTCAAACTAATAAATAATTATTTCACTGTTTGAAATAATGTGGCAAAAATATGTCAAATTTTAACGCCATTTTTGATGATGAAAATTTTTGCTGGTTATTTTTACATCATATGCCAAAAATTTGGGAGGTAAGTCAATACAAAATTTAGAAGGAAAGTTACACAACAACTCAATTAAATTGTTGCCAAGATAGTCGATGTCACAATGATATTTATATATATTACTGTTAAGTATATTTTCAAATGAATCATAGGGAAATATATATTTTCATCAATTTTCTTTACTTTGAAATCAAAAATTGCAGGCGATGAACCTCATGTACTTCAAACCCTGAATTTATGCGAGCAAACATGGACAAAACAGTACACAATCACAACTGATATTTCCCCATGCATACACTAGCTAATGTGCACACACTAAATCTGACAATTAAAGCCAGGTCCTCAGTTGCAACATAAACATTTAAGAATAAAGATTATCAAAACTCTTCATTCTTCTTATGTGTGTTTATGCTTATGTTTGTGCTTATTGAAATTTATTGCAAGCAAGGACACTTATGTTTATGCTTATGCAAAGGTCGCAAGTGAGGACAAGGCTTAACCCAAAACCTAATGTAAAACTTCCTATTACCATTCTGTAATCATTATTTAGGTAGCCATATCAAGAAGCCACATTCATATTGCCAGATCGTGGTTCCTGTGGCAGATATTCTCAATTTAAAACTGAAATTGTGTGCTATTTTTGATATGTTTTGTAGAAATGTTGGACAATTTGAAAACAATGACCTATTCTCTGTGTATAAAATGACAAACTTATGACACAGTCACATGGCTCATGAGTACATGAAGTATTTCACTTTAATATTTCAAATCAAGAGCATTGCTTTCAAGCTAATCATTGTTGACTATAGTAAGTTTGTCGTGACAGATCAACTTTCTCTCAGCCTTTTATTCAAGCCTCAAGGTCGAGTGAGAAGATCTACATCGAAGTGTTACATAAATCAACCGTTTGAACTAAACTGAATCTAAAGAGGGTTTGTTACCTATTTTTTTAGAAAATCTGTAAAGCTTATCAAAAATTGAAGAAATTCGCTATTCTTTCTCACCTTTCAATGGACTCGTTCGCTTGATCAAGATATTTCAAAGCTTATCACTAATATCAAATTTCCAATGGTTTCTATCATTCGTGTGTAAAAATACAATAATGCTGGGCAACTCCAAGTAAATACAGTGATATTTGGATACAATACAATCTTCTCAAGCAAACAAGCAGCTGAGATTTTTACATCTAATATCTTTAGTGATTCTGCCATGTTGCCACTTGCCAGCTGACCGGTGGTAAGAATGTCAACTTCCTTTCCTTTAGAAGTCCCGCCAATTATTTAAAATACTTGAAAGTGTTTCCATTTTCGAAAAATTAGTGTCTAATTTTCATCCTCATTTAGGGCTGTTCACGTGAGCCAGGTAGCCGGGACTCAGCGAAGCGTTACATCATTTTGGCAAATGGAAAAGATTAAATACTTCACAATAAAAAACTTATTTGAGGAATTTCTCAATGCTCGGACTTAGCAAGTTCACAAAACTTTTAATATGAAAACTAACAATCTAGCCTAATTTGAAAATTACGACTAAAATGACTTATGACGCTTAAGGAAAGGTTGTAAGACTTCTTTTTACTCCTTTCAATGACTCAAAATCATTTCTCGCCTCGCTGAATCCCGGTTACCGGGCTCATGTGAACAGCTCCTTAATTACATATTTATCTCAACATCTTTCTCCACCAACAATTCGATACTGATTCTGCGCTGTAGTATAACGTATATTGGTGAGAATTGTCTCCCATTGTGACAATTTCATAGCATACGGAGATTCTGGATCACAACACTTGGTCTTACTGAAGTCAAAGTCCGATTCAAGCTTTCCAATCATTCAAACCCTTTACTTTTTATGGAATTTTTGTAAATGTAACAAGTTTCGTCATTACAATATTTGAAAAACCAGTCAATACCACCACAAGGACAAATGGTTTACATATACTCCTCTAGCTAATGTCATATTTGTAATGTTCTGCATAAACTCACGGAGTCTGCACGGCAGTGCGCTATACTCAACCTTGTTTAAAACCTTGTTCTTTAAAACTTTGTTTTCAACCTTGTTCTTTAGTGTCAAAGATGAATCAATTTTGTGCTCACAGGAGATAAAAGCTGAAACTTTCTATTGATCACCATGAGAGAAGAGTGACAAAAATGTGAAAAATTCATTTCATTACGATTGCGTATGATCACATTGTAATTGTACTCGGGTGAATTGGAGAGGCAGGCTCTGCTTGATTACTAACATAGATGAAAAAAGAGCATTAACAAAAAACAAGCAGAATATAGGCAAAGGAACGATAGTGGTGACTTGGTACCAAGTATTACAGAAGTTTATAGAGTTGACCATCGCATTAAGATTCAAACTATTCAGGAGAGTGGGAAAGAAGATATTGATCAATGGTTTTGGATTAATCGACACAATAATAATTGAAGTTGATATGACTAAAAATGATTTCATTAAAGAGCTGCAGATAGTGGTAAAACAATCTTTGATGCATTTGTTACATTTTCACAAACGTTTTTGAACTTTACGTTTGTCATTGTTTATTGTATGATTGTATGATACTCTTTTACTAAAGTTATTGCATGAATCATGGAACAAAATTCTTTAAATAAAAATAAATGCATGCTAGCGCTTTACAAAAAGGCGTTTGTTATTTCCATAGGGTAGAAAATGGGAAAAAGTTAATTTTAAAGTTCAAACGAAATGGCGAAAATCTTTGACATGGTCAGGGAAGTTATTTTCCCCCTGTATTCAATTGCTCGTAAGAACAGCATAAATGATCTATGTTAAATCCTAATTATGTCTAGATACAATGGGCCTCTCGAAAGCCCGGGTCTGTAGGCTTAAGCTTACTTAGCCTACTAGATAATCCACCCTTGCATGCATCTTACATAACTTCATAATAGAAAGATATTGCGATCTCTTAAGGTTGCGTTAGGTTTACAAGAAAGCCTGGAAAACGAGGCTTATGAAATTATGAAGCCTTTGATATTTTAAAAAATCATGAGCATACAGGCCGGCACAATTTTGTAATACAAACAAAATTGCAAAATGTAGGGCTTTCAAATGACGTATTTTGAGAAATTCTTGAAAATGTAAAACACCATTAAAAATTCATGTACAAAAAAATCAAAAGTGACTGAGACACGGTTGAAATAACCATGCATGAATTTTATTTTTCACGGAATTTTGAGGGTGATGGCTCATTGTGGCGACCTCAAATGCGACCTTAGTACTAATCTAAACTAATTATAATTGAATGTTGTAAATTTTCCATTATTATAAAATAAAGTCGTCAATGGGAATAGTACAACGGTTAGAGTAAGCATTCTTTAGTAGCTAGCTCGCATTTTTATTTCAAGGCTAAGGTTGAGTTTGATCGAGTTGTCATTCTGCTTTCTCAAATGAAGATCTACTGTCATCTCACTAATTTGATTGCGATCCTTCCAGTTGAAAGTTTCCTCAAACGCACTGGAAACATTTTCTTCATTAGACTCACGAACAAGTATACCGATTTTTTTGCGTCTTATCATTAAGGAGCCAGTGTTGTTTGCATTCACATGTGTTGGTTACACTTCAAAAACCAATTTATACTATTCACAACTCGCTGAACAAAAGCTACATCTATCTCTTTGCATTCGCTTTGCATCCACTGAAAATTCAAATATTTGTTTTTCCTTTCCGATTCTTCTATGGAAAGGTGAATTCCCTATTAGTTAAAGGGTATTCTCTAAAACGATGACGCTTAAGCGCGATAACTAAATATGCCATTTTTTACATTTTGGACCTAAAACATTTTAAAGAAATTCCTAATTGTTCTTAAAAGTTGTTTTGAATGTGAATTGCACCAGAGCCAGTCTTCAATCAATTTAAACCATTTTCAGTTAGAAAAAGTGTTATCACTAACTATATTTCCCATTCACTAACAATTTGAATCTTTGTTTGTTTTAAAGTATTTTAAAAGCAAATATTCTAAGAATGGTATAATCTTCTCGTGGACTTTTTTTCAAGAAGTGAAAAGTTTATCCCACAAGAATAGTTCACGTGAACAGCATTTTTAATTACAATGAGATTCTTGCTTCTCATTGGTTTACGTTAGTCGTGTGATCATCCATATGACACAAAATTTAGTCAAACCACACCTAGGTTTCATTCCATTTCAAGTGATAGAAGAAGTTTGGTTGCAAAAACAGCTCTACAGAACAACGATAAACAGTTTCCGTATCTTTTAACCTTGCGCACTTGATTTTTAAGTTCAAGGTAAATTTATACTTCAATCTTCAGTAGAAGGTAAATTTTAATTCTTGCAGGCGAATTCAAAATTTTGACATTTTATTTGTCATAGAATTCATCGCCAGGTATGACATTGTTCAAAAAAACGTTTTCCTCAAGAAATTTGGCAATCATGGTAAGTTGAATGTGCAAATACTTTAAAAGGACTCAAAATAAATTGGACGATGAAAATGTTTATAGCAGTAAATAATTATATATCGTTTAAACCCATATGACTAAATTAATCTCTACTTGCATCTAGATAATGTTTGTCAAAGTTGGCCTTTTTGATCTAAAAAGACAAAAAAAAATGTCGATAGAGAGACACTAAATATCAGTGTAATTGTGAATGAATCTAATCAAAAAAGTGTTGCTAAGACGCTTAAATATACAGAAGTAGAAAACTATCCCAGCAAAACAAATGAGATGAACACTAATCTTCACCATAGAGAGCTGAATGTCAATTTAATTGACCTCAATTTAAGCCGTCTCGTTGATAACAACATTGTGAATGTATTCGCTACTTTCTCTTTTCTCTTGGTTTCAAACTAATGGGTAATGACCTTGAGACATACATTTATTAAAAGAAAACGACCAGAAGTTTCATTTAAAGTTAATTATTTTTCATAGCATTCATAACAATATCACATAATAACAAAATCGTTGATGGAAATATCACTTTGTAGAAAATAACTCTATATCTTAGCACTTGGACACATTTCTATGATGAAACTTTAGTGCTGACTGTAACAATCTATTTTAAATTGTTAATCGACATACTTATTTCAATAAATATTTCAAAAATTTTATAGTGTTCTCGTACGTAGAACAGACAGAAATAAAACACAATAGATGGGTTCAAGCAATTTTTAATAAATTTTTCTTAAAATAACGATAACAAAAACCTTAGAACATTTTAGCGTGAGATGATAATGTGATTAGTATTTCAAAATTAACAGCATTGTTTTGAAAACTGCCTTTTTTATAATTTATTTTTAATTACGAAAATTCGCCAACGTCAAACGTCGTATTTTAAAAATTATTAATTTTTTATTAATCTTCACTTATTTTGGTTTAGTATTGCTTATGTTTGATTTTTGGTTCAAAATGAAATAAAAATTTCATGAAAAATGTTAAATACTTAGCGGCTTATTTTCGAAGAATAAAGTGGCCAAAGATGTCGCAATTAAATAAGTACCTGTGCAGAATTGTATAAAAATGACGACAGTGTGGGATTATTTTTATTGCGAATGACGTCCAATTGAATAGTTTGTTACATCAATTATTAATATGTGTTAAAACAATTAGCATTGAGCTGAACGCGCATGTTTTCATTAAGAAAGCGGTTACAAAGGTAATGAAGGACTAAGTGATTAGAGAGCACCTGGCGAGCATGCAGATGATAGTAACATCGTGTTTCATCTGCAACTGCCCAACGAAGAAATCGGTGAAAATAATATAGTAATGAATTGTTAAGTAATGAGGGAATACCGGTAGAACGTATATAGATGTCAATAATGAGTTTCACTAACAATTGCCCATTGAAGAAAGTGTCGAAAATAGTAAAGAATTACTGAGTGATGAAAGAGTACCCGAAGACTTTATACATGATTTTAATGTCGAGTTTTACCTACAATTGCTCGTTCAAGAAAGCAATAGAAATAGTTATGAATTATTACTGAAAAGAGAGAATAACTGAAGAGCTTTAAAAATATGAACCACCATATTCTGTAATAACGTACAGTAACGATAACATTAGCTGTTATCGACAATGTTACTAAGCGATGAGAGAGCACCTGGCGAGCTGATAGATATAGACTGTCTGGACTTCCTTAAGATAATCTTGGTTCCTTAAAATGGCATTTTGATCAAATGTATAAGTATTTATGTAAAACGTCATGGTTTTTGTTTGTTTATCCGTTTTCAAGAGTTGTCGTGATATCACTCACTTTGTGCCATCTTTCCTCTTCATCTTCTTCGAATTTCAACCATTCATTATGATATTCCCTTTTTGAATTAGCTATTTGGTTTAAAAATTAATGTTCAACGAGATAGTTGTATTTAAAAGCATCTAAACCCGAAGTATAATTTTGCTGTCTATAGGGCAGTTTTCATGCAATAGCAAAGTTACACAAGAAAGTGTTGTTCTTTGTCTGATCCGTCTTACAAACACTCATGGTAATACAACAGTAAATTACTTAAGTTTTACAAATTGAAATAAGTCACCATTCAACAGTAAAGTATCAAACAAAGACAATAAGTATGGCAGGGTAGATTAGCTTTGACAAAAGCACAATCAAGATGATAAACACGAGCTAAATGATGAGCAAAGCTCCGTATTTTTTTGTCTTTTTAAGCTTATTACCAAAATAAGAAACTTAGGGTTCCTTGTTCATGGCAATTTTACTACTGAAACCAGGCATTGATGACCCCAGTATTAACGGCGAACTTTAATTATTCGAATACTTACTTTCATTAAAAACGACTAAAATTCTTCCACTGAAGTACAACGTAAACACTACAACGGAAAATCTTTAACTCTTAATTTAGGTATTACCGCAACGAGCTCATGCTCCAATAAAAAGACCTTCCGAAAAATTTTATCATTTTTTCATTATTCACCTTTCTTTCGGATTGCAACAGAACCTCTCTTCGCTTTAACCACTCTAGAAGCATTGAGTAATTTCACTTGTAGCCGCGATCTATTCAAAATACACTGAGCCTGTATCATTTGCCTTAACGTTTGTACCAATAGCTTTCCCAAACGTTTCATCAACACATCGAAAGTCTTGACTTCTACAGCTATTCGTCCTCACTCGACAAATATCAATGAGAAAACAGCATGCAGGTAATTTGTTGAAAAGTGTATGATCTATACCACCCACATGATCTGAATATAAGATTGGTTCAAAGGGCAATGTTAGTGGTTTTGAGATGTGTTGAACGGTGTTTTCAGGGTTACTTACATGGCAATGCCAATAGTTTATCAATCATTCTGTGAGTAAAGTAGCACTTCTTTCTCTTCTACTTCGAACAATTATCACTACTGTTTTAGACATCTTCAGACTTGCTATCAGTTCACCATGATCAAAATATTCAGTGCAATGTAACATATATTAATTGATTCACATCCGTGGCAGGATATCTCCATCATGAAATTCGATTATGATAATGATCTGTGGAAACCTCTCGTCTTTGTTGTTATTATACCACTGCTTTATGGCGATTTCAAAAAAATTTCCGTATTTTGCGTATCCCGAGCTTCTCCTTTTCAATTTAGATCGGATATTTCAGACAAGAAAAAACAACAATCGCAAATTCTTACAACGCTGTAAATATAGTTACAACAAAATGGCCGAAGACGAACTTTCCTATTTTCATATATATTCGATTGTTAATCTTCATTATGAATTTTGTATGATACACATTTATAGATAATCTGAGCAAAAGAGTTAGAAGGTTATGTTTGATTTTGAAGGACATGACTGAATGCGCAGACTTGATTTTGCATCACATGTATGAAAATTGATTTTTGCAAAGACGGAGGTGTCAATAGACATTTCAGTATTTGAATGCATGCACTCCTATATTCTAAATATGGAAATTTTTGGCTTATTAATAGATATTATTTCTTGCACAGAAAAATTGACATACAGCCATCAACTAAAATCAAAATTTTGATGGTTAAGTAAGATCCAAAGCTAAAAATGGTCCTAAATTCCACGTTTAACAGACTGCGTTTTTTAAATAACATATCTTTCAGACAGACGAATTCAATCTTTCATAACATAGCAAAACCAATACATTATTTCATTACCGTTCACATTCCTCATTTAAAAAAATCGACGATTTCTAAACTGTTGTTGCTCCACAACAATACATTTTATGCCAAAACATTAATGGTCTAACGTGCAATTAATCAAAATACAAGAACTAAATTTCACAAAGATATGTAGATTTAACGTAAATTCTATAAATCATAATATTGGTGCACTTTAAAGGATAAAAATAAGCTCAGTACGACTACAAAATTTCTGTGTCCAACAAAATTTCTGTGTTTTAGTCTGTGCCACAATACCTGAAATAGCAACCAAAAGTCGGGACTAATTTGTAAATAAAATACGGACCGCAGTTGATGACCTTAATATGATTGGACCAATCGCAGCACATTCTCACCCAATGATAGCAGACTTTTCTTGTCACTATTCCTTCATCCACAGTGGGATGAGTTCCATTTAACCATCCAGAGGCATGCGTACCACATCGATTTTTTGGAACGCAAGATTCAGGCATTTTGGTTCCAGCTCCACCACTAAATCTGTACCATCCTTTTGTGAGATGAAAGTCACATTGTAAACTTCCACCATGACGATATTCAACATTTCTGGTACTCTCGTTCAACAATTGATACTGTCTGCACTCTTTATACGATGAAATGATCATAACTAAATGCAATGGTGTAGGTTCATATGTTAAAATGGAATTGAAAACGCGTGGAACTCATTAGTAGAACAAAAATAACAACGGAATGACTGAAGGCACGTTTGATTAGTTTCATTTGTACAAAATCAAAAATGCATAAACGTGCATTATGCTGTTACACGTTTTGGACGCATTTATATTTTTCATTCTTCTTATTTGTTTGTATACATTTTCAAAATTACGATGCAATGCATTCTGGGTGAAGAAAGTTGATTTCACGACTTACAACAACCGAAACTTATACTAGTGGCCCTCCAAAACACGAGTAACAAAATTATGAGTGTAAATTTTACAAAACATGCTTACCCTCACAATTCTTTCCATTGAAACCAGATGTACAGTTGCATTGATAGGAAGACCCAACACTTGTACAAGTACCATTATTTTGACATGGTTCTTTAGCACAAGCATCCATATCTAAATAGAAAAATAGGTACGAAGTGCGTACATGTATGCAGTTGGCCTGTCAAATAAATGGACGCAAAATGAAGTAGACATGGTCGAGCATGGTCAAGAATTATTTCCCCCTCAGCTTCGTTATTGACCGCACGTTATCCGCCTCCTCTTCGCTATCTCAGAAATCATTTGACCTTGGTCTAAATAGTTCTCAATATATTGCACAACCTCATCAAATAATGGCTAATCATTTGCATATTTCAAGGGAGTTCTCACAAAAATTTCAAAATGTCAATACTTTCACAGTCATGGCTAAGACATAAAGATACTATATCTAAGGTAGAAAATACAAAATAAAGAGAAGCGAAAATAAAAAAATATACTCACATTGGCAATTCTTTCCTATGAAACCAAATTTACATTCACATTGATAAGAAGATCCATTACTTGCACAAACACCGTCATTCTTACATGGTTCTTTGGCACAAGCGTTCATGACTTAATGTGAAAAATATTTATACAATACTTTACGATGAAATGCTTCTTTAAACTGTGGTTTATATCATAATTGCTGGTTTTCTCATATGATCCTTTTGTTTATGTTCTAATTCAAGCTTTGCCATAAACATTCAAAGTATGTTCGTGAAATACAACACGTGTCAGTTACAATGAGTATGAAACTACATTCTATCCAATATTCAAATAATCAAAATCATTCCCAGTTAGAAATATGACCAACACACACAAAGTGTTTTGTACATATCACTACACAAATTTCAAGTTTTAAACGAACCTTCACAAGTTTTGCCTTCGAAACCATCAGCACATTCACATGTGAAGTTATCGCCTTTGTTTGTACAAGTACCGTTGTTTTTACAAGGACCTGAGTCACACGGTGTTGGCTTTAACTCTATAGAAAAAATATCAGCTTAGAGCAAATAATAGTTTCTCAATTTAACGAACGAAATACAAATAAAATCACGTAAATTTATTTAAAGAATGTTATCTTTTTCAATGTAAACAAAACTTACAAACAGTGGGATCGACACCGTTTTACTCAGTGAAAATTTATAATATCTGAGTTAAACTTTAAAAAACTGTAACCTATCGAGTTATCCTGAATGTAAACACTTTTATTAACGTTGCAAGTATCAAAGAAATAAGAAGTTCATTTAAATTTGTTTTATTGAGGTAGTGTATTTTTCTTATCAAACACACACCAGCTTTGCAGTTTTAAATTTTCGTATTTTGTTCGTTCAATTAAAGGAATTCATGTATATTGTTGCTGCATTCAAAATTTCAAGTTTGAATGTCATTCAGTGGTCCATATATACGCTAACAATAACATTTATGCTGTAATAATTAACCCGTGACATGTACAGTTCAAACAGGCATTTCTGCATGTGAATATAAGTGTAATATATTAATCCTAACACGGTTTATAATATGCACATGAAAAACAGGGTTTGTGGGCTTGGTAGCTCAACAGGTAGAGCGGCGAACTAGTATCCCGAAGGTGCGAGTTCAAATCTCGTCCAAGTCACATGTTTTTCATGTGCATATTATAAACCGTTTTAGGATTAATATATTATATATATTCTCTGATGATGGCTTTTGAATATAAGTGAAATATAACAAACCTTCACAAGTTTTTCCTTGATATTCCTTGGTACAAATACAAGTGAACTTATTTCCTTCCTCAATACAAACACCATCATTTTTACACGGGAAAGACTCACAAGGACCTATAAACATACATAATTAGTTCATGACGCTTCTTAGAAAGTTTTCATAGAAGTATTTAATGAGAAAAAAGATAAGGTCTGTTTAAAAGAGGTAAATGGTCAAATGGCCGTGATAAACTGTGTTTCAAAAACTTTCACATTGACTGAACTATTTAGCTACATCTAACATGTTCAAAGTATCAAAAAGCAATGTTTCGCTTACCCTTAGAGGAGCAGTTTCGGTCGTCAACACAAGCCATAGCTCCCATATTACACGTACTAAAGAAAAAAGAATACAAAACAAAAAGAATTGATGGAAACAAATTAAAATATATTGTCAAATTGAGTAAAAATCTCATCAAAATAAAAAAATATCTACCAGGTTTTACATCGTCCAACTTTGACATTTTCCCCTGCTTTATAATATTTTCCTTCAAAGAAACATGAGCAGTTTTTCATAGGAACACAATGATTCTTGTCGTCCAAGTAAGATCCTTTGGGACAATGACATCCGGGAATGCAGGTTTCACTGCATTTTATACCACGTGATATATCACGACATGTTTTTGCACAAGCAGATCCACATTCGGTGAAAATTTCTCCTTTGTTACTGCATGTTTGCTCTACACAGAAAAAAGAATGAACATTTAGCAATGCATTTATTGATGCACAAATAAGTAATTTTGGGCCATTGTATCGCAGTTTTTCACTTCAAAGAAAAAAATATATGTTAGCAAAAAGAATATTATTTTAAACAATTATTCTTACCACATTCTTTGAGTTTTGGATACAAATAAGTTCCCTTAAATCTCCAGTCAATAAAACCACCATATTCAACACAAAGTTTACTGTAAGCAGCAAAAGCGTTACAAACACATTCCATTGGATCGGTGCAACGACATGCGTCATATTTACAATTACTGATCAAATTTGCTGGATCTACATAACGGTTACATGCACCGTGGAATGGAGAGCTAGGATCGCTCATCAAATGACATTTATTTATCACAACTTTTTTTTTGGAATCAGGGATACATGGTGTTGGTGATGGAGCACATTTTCTACTGTAGTAATGGTCGTCGTCTTGACGACCATTGTTGTTGCCACATAAAGATGTGTTGCACATCATTCCTTTGTATTTTCCAGAAACGGTGACTTTTACGTACGACCAAAAGTTCCAACTCACGGACATTCCAATATCTGTAGTGAAAATCAGCCAACTCCAACTGGGATTGGTAATTTTGAATCCTGAAATAAAAGATGCTCCAATATAAATTAAAAACAAGTTTTTTCTATTCACTGCTTCAAGCGATTCAAAAATGAGAGGTAAAAATAGAGGATTACTTTCTATGTTGAATCAAAAGTTCCGTATTGAGCTTTGATATGTTTAGTGTTAAGAATAATATAAAAATATTTATAATAAAAACAAAAGCGTTTAAACTTATACCAGGACGAATTATTGGGAATTTTGACAGCCTAACTCCATTTACAACTGCTGTACCACGCTGACGTGTCAGCTGAATGAAGTATCCAGCTATAATGATCTTTACAGCTGCTGTACAGGTCACACGCCGTCCACAACGCACGTTTTTGGTAAGGACAGTAAAAAGTTTGTTTTTGCTACAGTCTTTTGAAAACTCGTATTCGCAATCTCCCATGAAATCAAATCTTTTGCCATCAAATGAGGTGTAATGAGGATCACCAGACGCCGAACATGTTGCTATTAAAGGAAAAAAAGATCAACTTTGTAAAATAACACGAGCTTTGATTATTTCTGATAGTAAAATAAGTAGGTAAAATGAAAATGGCAGACTAGAGTGTGTGAAGTGTTCATTTACGATTGAAAATTATTTAAATAACTGATTTTGCATTTTTCACTATGTCCTCCCGGGTGCTGCATTGAAATTGCAGAGTTATTTTAGAAATGTTCCTTTGATTATGAATATTTCTTTAAAAGCTGTCTTTAAAAACAACGACGCCGGAGGCTAGCTTAAAAATCCCTAAATCGACTGAGTGCATTTATTTCAAATAGAAAAGAACAAAACAGATGCCGAATATAGACATCTCGTTTTCTTCATATTCAAGATGATACGAGAGCTTAGAAAACAGCTGTTTTCTAGATTGTGTAATATTTCGTCTTTATTCCAAAGACATCATCAGACTAATAGTTGACAATGCAAGCTGTGAAACTTATATATTATTATTTACAGGCAGAAATGAAAGTGACAGTTACATAATTGCAAAAGAGAGCTTCAAGACTTATTAGGGAATATTTACATTTAAAATAGAAATAATTTCTTAGAAGCGTTGAGACAACTTTTGAGTTGTGGCATATTGCGTTTCATCAAAAGCGCTTCTAAGATGAGGAGTTGGTTTGGATTATTATTATTACAGCATAGAAGATGTTGGATGGGTTGGAATTAGATTATAAGGATTGAATGGTAAGCGTGTAAGATCTTAACATGTTTCAAAATGCAGAGTCGGTTGTGAAATGATTTGTCAAATGTAAACAAACACACCACACTCGGTATTCCGCAGTGCATTTATCATTTCAACCATATCATACAGTCATTATAGCTGAAATAATTTATAAAGAAAAAACAAAATTGACTAGAATGTACTACAAGGTATAAGGAGTGCGACTTAAATTCAATTTTCCGTAAACAAATTTGAAAAAATCATTGAAACAAGAGAAATCATTGGTGACTTTTAAATTAGAACAAAATTGCATATAAATATAATTTTGGTTTCGACTTACTTTGAGAATGTTCGCAATTGTTACCACCAAACGCAGGCTTGCATTTACAGGTGTAAATGTTGCCCAATACGTTGCATTGTCCACCATTTTTGCATGGATTTGGCTTGCAGGGATTTGGAACCTCTGAAACAAGAGTAAAATACTATATTTTAGACTTTTAAGCAGAAAAGAAATTGTGTAAAAAATGATCTTCCCTTAAGCAGAGTAAACCTATATTTTTTGAAGAAACAGCTATAAATAATGGAGTTGTGCTTAACTACAATAACAGAATTATAATAATGAAAATAACCCATTTATAAAGTGCTAAGGCCTCTTTCAGAGTTGTTTTGAAATGAACAGAAACGAGATATGAAAACGCAACAAGCTAAATTTTAGCAAGGCACTAAATAGCCAGGGCGTAGGAATCAAGTGAAAGTCTTTTTCTTAGGGGTGAAGGTGCTCAAGCTTTTGGGGCAATTTTTTATTCAAAAAGGCCACTTTGGGGGAATTTACTTTGGATGGAAAAACAGTGCAATACATATCACTTAAGTTTACATACAAGAGGTATTTTATGCGATTTATATTCACACAATAAGCATTGAAATATAGAAAATTCTTAAATGTTTCATGTTGTATTGTTATCTTATAATATAATTATTATATCTACATTATTGTTTAAAATACCACAATATTTTCGCCCGTTGCCTTATGGTTGTAATGCTGTATTACACTCTAATTCAATTTACATTTCAGGTGCATATGTGTTTTATGAGGATAATGGATGGTCACAACCGTCATTACATCTATTGCGGGTACATAATGGGCTTTTTGAGTATCCTCAAATGACCATAAAATTTCTTTTGATGGTACATAATGTGTTTCATAAGGATCGGTGAGCGATCTACACAATTTCCTAATCTGATGGGAGCATAAAATAAACTAGTCCAAAAACGTAAATGCTCGTTTGTAATAGTATTTCAAAAATAATAGCACCTAATTGTCGAAATTTGTGCAATAGTTGTAAAATCAAAAAGCAACTTTTTTAAAGTGAAGTTTGTTCATGACGCTGTTTGTGTGTGAACACAAACATTCGTTCATCGTTGTTATCAGTTTAATTACCGGAAGTGGAAATGAACTTTTGGCCTGAAGTTTAGGTAAAGATGGTGGAATTATAAATATAATACTACAGCGTGAAACAGCAAGGTCTTTAAATGAAGAAATATGAGTTGTAGCTTTTTATTGCAGCTTTACAATCATTTCTCGATTTGTTTTATTTGTTTAATTATTTTTTTCCTTATCTTTTCTTATCTTTCGAAACATAGATACTTAATAAGGAATTATATAAATTTAAATACGTAATTACCTTTTTCGCAGTGAGCACCAATGAAGTCAGGAAGACAAATACATTTGTATGAATTGCCATCAACAAGACAAGAGCCACCATTTTTGCAAGGACCATGATCACAAACTCCAACTACAACCAAAATTATATTTAAAACCTAAAACTTATTTTTACAATTTTTATTGACAAAATTAGCAAAGACTATCAAGTTTCGAAAGAATTTTTCCAACAAGACTGACTTCTTTGAAAAGTTAAAAAGTCCAAAAAGATAATTTCGAGGGAAAATTTGCGCATGAACATTAAAACGCTAGTGAAACTAAGGGAAGGAGATCGTAAGTATGCTTTAAACAGCCATGATACTTCACGCTGAATTTTTCAGCGAAGGACATGACATCAACGCAATATGAACACATTTATCAAGCAAAATTAAAAACTATGACAACACCTCAGGTTAGACTATAGTATTGTGCCATTATAACATATTAAACAATTTGATATCCATGTGACACGCAACAGTATTTTATGTCACATATTGAAAAGCTCATAAATGTACAAACCTTCACAGGTTTCGCCTTTAAAACCATCAGCACATTCACACGAGAATGTACTTCCGTTGTTTGTACAAATACCGTTGTTTTTACAAGGACGCAAGTCACACGGTTTCGGTACTGGAACTACGAAGCAAAATTACTTGGTTAGGGCAAAAATAGTTTGCTTGTTTAAGGCATGCATAAATTAAAAAAAAAACACGAGAAGTTCCTTATACAACAACATTTTTAATTATAAATGCAATTTACAAACAGCACACTTGACACTGTTTCAAGTTGAACTTCAAAAAACTCAGTCAATCCAGTTACCGTCAATATAAAAAACCCATTCATTTAAATTTGTAATTTTCTTATCAAAAACACATTATAGTTTAATAATTTTATATTTTTGACCATCGGATGAAATTGAATTATACATTAATCATGATCTTGAAAATTTGATGCTTGAGAGTCATCTATCCAGAGCTGACAACTTTTCATGTAAATGCTACCAATTCATTGCCATCTAGCATTTATGTTGCAATATTAATGCCGTGACATGCGCAGTTGCATCGTTCAAAAGGGACAAAATAACAAACCTTCACATGTTTTTCCTTGATATTCCTTGGTACAAATACAAGTGAAAATATTTCCTTTCTCCGTACAAACACCATCATTTTTACACGGGAAAGACTCACAAGGACCTATAAACGTATTTAGTTAGTTCATGACGCTTCTTAGAAAAGTGTTCATGCCAGCATTTAATGAGAAAAAGAAATCCGATGTGTTGAAAAAACTTTACAGTCCAAATGTAAAAGCCAAATGGTCAAACGACTAATCGTAATAAATTGGGTTTCAAAAATATTCACAATTACTAAAATACTTAGCTACATCTTAATTTTCCTCAAATGTTCTTTAAAACAGTACATTTTATGTGCCAATGTTTATAAGGCTTAAAAATTTTTAAAAAGCCAATGTCATTCTTACCTTTAGAAGAACAGTTTCGATCTTCAACACAAGCCATGGCTCCCATATTACACGTACTGAAAACAAAATACAAAACAAAAAGAATTGATGGAAACAGAAAAAATACATTTATGTAACAATCTTATCGAAAAAAAATATCTACCAGGTTTTACAACGTCCAACTTTGACATTTTCGCCTGCTTTATAATATTTTCCTTCAAAGAAACATGAGCAGTTCTTCATAGGAACACAATGATTCTTGTCGTCCAAGTAAGATCCTTTTGGACAATGACATCCGGGAATACAGGTTTCACTGCATTTTATACCACGTGATATATCGCGACATGTTTTTGCACAAGCAGATCCACATTCTGTGAAAATTTCTCCTTTGTTACTGCATGTTTGCTCTACACAGAAAAAAGAATGAACATTTAGCAATGCATTTATTGATGCACAAATAACTAATTTTGTGCCATTGTATCGCAGTTTTTCACTTCAAAGAAAAAAATAGATGTTAACAAAAAGAATATTATTTTAAACAATTATTCTTACCACATTCTTTGAGTTTTGGATACAAATAAGTTCCATTGAATCTCCAGTCAATAAGACCACCATATTCAACACAAAGTTTACTGTAAGCAGCAAAAGCGTTACAAACACATTCCATTGGATCGGTGCAACGACATGCGTCATATTTACAATTACTGATCAAGGCTGCTGGATCTACATAACGGTTGCATGCTCCGTGGAATGGAGAGCTAGGATCGCTCATCAAGTGACATTTATCAATCACAGCTTTCTTTTTAGAATCAGGGATACATGGTATTGGTGATGGAGCACATTTTCTACTGTAGTAATGGTCGTCGTCTTGACGACCATTGTTATTGCCACATAAAGATGTGTTGCACATCATTCCTTTGTATTTTCCAGAAACGGTGACTTTTACGTACGACCAAAAGTTCCAACTCACGGACATTCCAATATCTGTAGTGAAAATCAGCCAACTCCAACTGGGATTGGTAATTTTGAAACCTGAAATAAAAGATGCTCAAATATAAATTAAAAAAAGTTTTTTCTATTCACTGCTTAAAGCGATTCAGAAATGAGAGGTAAAAATAGAGGATTACTTTCTATGTTGACTCAAAAGAGTTCCGTATTGAGCTTTGATATGTTTAGTGTTAAGAATAATTAAGAATGTTTAATAAAAACAAAAGCGTTTAAACTTATACCAGGACGAATTATTGGGAATTTTGACAGCCTAACTCCATTTACAACTGCTGTACCACGCTGACGTGTCAGCTGAATGAAGTATCCAGCTATAATGATCTTTACAGCTGCTGTACAGGTCACACGCCGTCCACAACGCACGTTTTTGGTAAGGACAGTAAAAAGTTTGTTTTGCTACAGTCTTTTGAAAACTCGTATTCGCAATCTCCCATGAAATCAAATCTTTTGCCATCAAATGAGGTGTAATGAGGATCACCAGACGCCGAACATGTTGCTATTAAAGGAAAAAAAGATCAACTTTGTAAAATAACACGAGCTTTGATTATTTCTGATAGTAAAATAAGTAGGTAAAATGAAAATGGCAGACTAGAGTGTGTGAAGTGTTCATTTACGATTGAAAATTATTTAAATAACTGATTTTGCATTTTTCACTATGTCCTCCCGGGTGCTGCATTGAAATTGCAGAGTTATTTTAGAAATGTTCCTTTGATTATGAATATTTCTTTAAAAGCTGTCTTTAAAACAACGACGCCGGAGGCTAGCTTAAAATCCCTAAATCGACTGAGTGCATTTATTTCAAATAGAAAAGAACAAAACAGATGCCGAATATAGACATCTCGTTTTCTTGATATTCAAGATGATACGAGAGCTTAGAAAACAGCTGTTTTCTAGATTGTGTAATATTTCGTCTTTATTCCAAAGACATCATCAGACTAATAGTTGACAATGCAAGCTGTGAAACTTATATATTATTATTTACAAGCAGAAATGAAAGTGACAGTTACATAATTGCAAAAGAGAGCTTCAAGACTTATTAGGGAATATTTACATTTAAAATAGAAATAATTTCTTAGAAGCGTTGAGACAACTTTTGAGTTGTGGCATATTGCGTTTCATCAAAAGCGCTTCTAAGATGATGAGTTGGTTTGGATTATTATTATTACAGCGATAGAAGATGTTGGATGGGTTGGAATTAGATTATAAGGATTGAATGATAAGCGTGTAAGATCTTAACATGTTTCAAAATGGAGAGTCGGTTGTGAAATGATTTGTCAAATGTAAACGAACACATCACACTCGGTATTCCGCAGTGCATTTATCTTTTCAACCATATCATACAGTCATTATAGCTGAAATAATTTATAAAGAAAAAACAAAATTGACTAGCATGTACTACAAGGTATAAGGAGTGCCCCTTAAATTCAATTTTCCGTAAACAAATTTGAAAAATCATTGAAACAAGAGAAATCATTGGTGACTTTTAAATTAGAAAAAATTGCATATAAATATAATTTTGGTTTCGACTTACTTTGAGAATGTTCGCAATTGTTACCACCAAACGCAGGCTTGCATTTACAGGTGTAAATGTTGCCCAATACGTTGCATTGTCCACCATTTTTGCATGGATTTGGCTTGCAGGGATTTGGAACCTCTGAAACAAGAGTAAAATACTATATTTTAGACTTTTAAGCAGAAAAGAAATTGTGTAAAAAATGATCTTCCCTTAAGCAGAGTAAACCTATATTTTTTGAAGAAACAGCTATAAATAATGGAGTTGTGCTTAACTACAATAACAGAATTATAATAATGAAAATAACCCATTTATAAAGTGCTAAGGCCTCTTTCAGAGTTGTTTTGAAATGAACAGAAACGAGATATGAAAACGCAACAAGCTAAATTTTAGCAAGGCACTAAATAGCAGGGCGTAGGAATCAAGTGAAAGTCTTTTCTTAGGGGTGAAGGTGCTCAAGCTTTTGGGGCAATTTTTATTCAAAAGGCCACTTTGGGGAATTTACTTTTGATGGAAAAACAGTGCAATACATATCATTTAAGTTTACATACAAGAGGTATTTTATGCGACTTATATTGACACAATAAGCATTGAAATATAGAAAATTCTTAAATGTTTCATGTTGTATTTTATCTTATAATATAATTATTATACATACATTATTGTTTAAAATACCACAATATTTTCGCCCGTTGCCTAATGGTTGTAATGCTGTATTACACTCTTATTCAATTTACATTTCAGGTGCATATGTGTTTTATGAGGATAATGGATGGTCACAACCGTCATTACATCTATTGCGGGTACATAATGGGCTTTTTGAGTATCCTCAAATGACCATAAAATTTCTTTTGATGGTACATAATGTGTTTCATAAGGATCGGTGAGCGATCTACACAATTTCCTAATCTGATGGGAGCATAAAATAAACTAGTCCAAAAACGTAAATGCTCGTTTGTAATAGTATTTCAAAAATAATAGCACCTAATTGTCGAAATTTGTGCAATAGTTGTAAAATCAAAAAGCAACTTTTTTAAAGTGAAGTTTGTTCATGACGCTGTTTGTGTGTGAACACAAACATTCGTTCATCGTTGTTATTAGTTTAATTACCGGAAGTGGAAATGAACTTTTGGCCTGAAGTTTAGGTAAAGATGGTGGAATTATAAATATAATATTACAGCGTGAAACAGCAAGGTCTTTAAATGAAGAAATATGAGTTGTAGCTTTTTATTGCAGCTTTACAATCATTTCTCGATTTGTTTTATTTGTTTAATTATTTTTTTCCTTATCTTTTCTTATCTTTCGAAACATAGATACTTAATAAGGAATTATATAAATTTAAATACCTAATTACCTTTTCGCAGTGAGCACCAATGAAGTCAGGAAGACAAATACATTTGTATGAATTGCCATCAACAAGACAAGAGCCACCATTTTGCAAGGACCATGATCACAAACTCCAACTACAATCAAAATTATATTTAAAACCTAAAACTTATTTTTACAATTTTATTGACAAAATTAGCAAAGACTATCAAGTTTCGAAAAATTTTTCCAACAAGACTGACTTCTTTGAAAAGTTAAAAGTCCAAAAGATAATTTCGAGGGAAAATTTGCGCATGAACATTAAAACGCTAGTGAAACTAAGGGAAGGAGATCGTAAGTATGCTTTAAACAGCCATGATACTTCACGCTGAATTTTTCAGCGAAGGACATGATATCAACGCAATATCAACACATTTATCAAGCAAAATTAAAAACTATGACAACACCTCAGGTTAGACTATAGTATTGTGCCATTATAACATATTAAACAATTTGATATCCATGTGACACGCAACAGTATTTTATGTCACATATTGAAAAGCTCATAAATGTACAAACCTTCACAGGTTTCGCCTTTAAAACCATCAGCACATTCACACGAGAATGTACTTCCGTTGTTTGTACAAATACCGTTGTTTTTTACAAGGACGCAAGTCACACGGTTTCGGTACTGGAACTACGAAGCAAAATTACTTGGTTAGGGCAAAAATAGTTTGCTTGTTTAAGGCATGCATAAATTAAAAAAAAAACACGAGAAGTTCCTTATACAACAACATTTTTAATTATAAATGCAATTTACAAACAGCACACTTGACACTGTTTCAAGTTGAACTTCAAAAAACTCAGTCAATCCAGTTACCGTCAATATAAAAAACCCATTCATTTAAATTTGTAATTTTCTTATCAAAAACACATTATAGTTTAATAATTTTATATTTTTGACCATCGGATGAAATTGAATTATACATTAATCATGATCTTGAAAATTTGATGCTTGAGAGTCATCTATCCAGAGCTGACAACTTTTCATGTAAATGCTACCAATTCATTGCCATCTAGCATTTATGTTGCAATATTAATGCCGTGACATGCGCAGTTGCATCGTTCAAAAGGGACAAAATAACAAACCTTCACATGTTTTTCCTTGATATTCCTTGGTACAAATACAAGTGAAAATATTTCCTTTCTCCGTACAAACACCATCATTTTTACACGGGAAAGACTCACAAGGACCTATAAACGTATTTAGTTAGTTCATGACGCTTCTTAGAAAAGTGTTCATGCCAGCATTTAATGAGAAAAAGAAATCCGATGTGTTGAAAAAACTTTACAGTCCAAATGTAAAAGCCAAATGGTCAAACGACTAATCGTAATAAATTGGGTTTCAAAATATTCACAATTACTAAAATACTTAGCTACATCTTAATTTTCCTCAAATGTTCTTTAAAACAGTACATTTTATGTGCCAATGTTTATAAGGCTTAAAATTTTAAAAGCCAATGTCATTCTTACCTTTAGAAGAACAGTTTCGATCTTCAACACAAGCCATGGCTCCCATATTACACGTACTGAAAACAAAATACAAAACAAAAGAATTGATGGAAACAGAAAAATACATTTATGTAACAATCTTATCGAAAAAATATCTACCAGGTTTTACAACGTCCAACTTTGACATTTTCGCCTGCTTTATAATATTTTCCTTCAAAGAAACATGAGCAGTTCTTCATAGGAACACAATGATTCTTGTCGTCCAAGTAAGATCCTTTTGGACAATGACATCCGGGAATACAGGTTTCACTGCATTTTATACCACGTGATATATCGCGACATGTTTTTGCACAAGCAGATCCACATTCTGTGAAAATTTCTCCTTTGTTACTGCATGTTTGCTCTACACAGAAAAAAGAATGAACATTTAGCAATGCATTTATTGATGCACAAATAACTAATTTTGTGCCATTGTATCGCAGTTTTTCACTTCAAAGAAAAAAATAGATGTTAGCAAAAAGAATATTATTTTAAACAATTATTCTTACCACATTCTTTGAGTTTTGGATACAAATAAGTTCCATTGAATCTCCAGTCAATAAGACCACCATAGTCAACACAAAGTTTACTGTAAGCAGCAAAAGCGTTACAAACACATTCCATTGGATCGGTGCAACGACATGCGTCATATTTACAATTACTGATCAAGGCTGCTGGATCTACATAACGGTTGCATGCTCCGTGGAATGGAGAGCTAGGATCGCTCATCAAGTGACATTTATCAATCACAGCTTTCTTTTTAGAATCAGGGATACATGGTATTGGTGATGGAGCACATTTTCTACTGTAGTAATGGTCGTCGTCTTGACGACCATTGTTGTTGCCACATAAAGATGTGTTGCACATCATTCCTTTGTATTTTCCAGAAACGGTGACTTTTACGTACGACCAAAAGTTCCAACTCACGGACATTCCAATATCTGTAGTGAAAATCAGCCAACTCCAACTGGGATTGGTAATTTTGAAACCTGAAATAAAAGATGCTCAAATATAAATTAAAAAAAGTTTTTTCTATTCACCGCTTAAAGCGATTCAGAAATGAGAGGTAAAAATAGAGGATTACTTTCTATGTTGAATCAAAAGTTCCGTATTGAGCTTTGATATATTTAGTGTTAAGAATAATTAAGAATGTTTAATAAAAACAAAAGCGTTTAAACTTATACCAGGACGAATTATTGGGAATTTTGACAGCCTAACTCCATTTACAACTGCTGTACCACGCTGACGTGTCAGCTGAATGAAGTATCCAGCTATAATGATCTTTACAGCTGCTGTACAGGTCACACGCCGTCCACAACGCACGTTTTTGGTAAGGACAGTAAAAAGTTTGTCTTTGCTACAGTCTTTTGAAAACTCGTATTCGCAATCTCCCATGAAATCAAATCTTTTGCCATCAAATGAGGTGTAATGAGGATCACCAGACGCCGAACATGTTGCTATTAAAGGAAAAAAAGATCAACTTTGTAAAATAACACGAGCTTTGATTATTTCTGATAGTAAAATAAGTAGGTAAAATGAAAATGGCAGACTAGAGTGTGTGAAGTGTTCATTTACGATTGAAAATTATTTAAATAACTGATTTTGCATTTTTCACTATGTCCTCCCGGGTGCTGCATTGAAATTGCAGAGTTATTTTAGAAATGTTCCTTTGATTATGAATATTTCTTTAAAAGCTGTCTTTAAAAACAACGACGCCGGAGGCTAGCTAAAAATCCCTAAATCGACTGAGTGCATTTATTTCAAATAGAAAAGAACAAAACAGATGCCGAATATAGACATCTCGTTTTCTTGATATTCAAGATGATACGAGAGCTTAGAAAACAGCTGTTTTCTAGATTGTGTAATATTTCGTCTTTATTCCAAAGACATCATCAGACTAATAGTTGACAATGCAAGCTGTGAAACTTATATATTATTATTTACAAGCAGAAATGAAAGTGACAGTTACATAATTGCAAAAGAGAGCTTCAAGACTTATTAGGGAATATTTACATTTAAAATAGAAATAATTTCTTAGAAGCGTTGAGACAACTTTTGAGTTGTGGCATATTGCGTTTCATCAAAAGCGCTTCTAAGATGATGAGTTGGTTTGGATTATTATTATTACAGCGATAGAAGATGTTGGATGGGTTGGAATTAGATTATAAGGATTGAATGATAAGCGTGTAAGATCTTAACATGTTTCAAAATGGAGAGTCGGTTGTGAAATGATTTGTCAAATGTAAACGAACACATCACACTCGGTATTCCGCAGTGCATTTATCTTTTCAACCATATCATACAGTCATTATAGCTGAAATAATTTATAAAGAAAAAACAAAATTGACTAGCATGTACTACAAGGTATAAGGAGTGCCCCTTAAATTCAATTTTCCGTAAACAAATTTGAAAAAATCATCGAAACAAGAGAAATCATTGGTGACTTTTAAATTAGAAAAAAATTGCATATAAATATAATTTTGGTGTCGACTTACTTTGAGAATGTTCGCAATTGTTACCACCAAACGCAGGCTTGCATTTACAGGTGTAAATGTTGCCCAATACGTTGCATTGTCCACCATTTTTGCATGGATTTGGCTTGCAGGGATTTGGAACCTCTGAAACAAGAGTAAAATACTATATTTTAGACTTTTTACTTTATGTCAATAAAGCAGAAAAGAAATTGTGTAAAAAATGATCTTCCCTTAAGCAGAGTAAACCTATATTTTTTGAAGAAACAGCTATAAATAATGGAGTTGTGCTTAACTACAATAACAGAATTATAATAATGAAAATAACGCATTTATAAAGTGCTAAGGCCTCTTTCAGAGTTGTTTTGAAATGAACAGAAACGAGATATGAAAACGCAACAAGCTAAATTTTAGCACTAAACAGCTTGGGCGTAGGAATCAAGTGAAAGTCTTTTACTTAGGGGTTAGGGTGCTCAATCTTTTGGGACAATTTTTTATTCAAAAAGGCCACTTTGGGGGAATTTACTTTTGATGGAAAAACAGTGCAATACATATCATTTAAGTTTACATACAAGAGGTATTTTATGCGACTTATATTGACACAATAAGCATTGAAATATTATAGAAATTTCTTAAATGTTTCATGTTGTATTTTTATCTTATAATATAATTATTTTACATACATTATTGTTTAAAATACCACAATCTTTTCGCCCGTTGCCTAATGGTTGTAATGCTGTATTACACTCTTATTCAATTTACATTTCAGGTGCATATGTGTTTTATGAGGATAATGGAATGGTCACAACCGTCTTTACATCTATTGCGGGTACATAATGGGCTTTTTGAGTATCCTCAAATGATCATACATAATGTGTTTCATAAGGATCGGTGAGCGATCTACACAATTTCCTAATCTGATGGGAGCATAAAATAAACTAGTCCAAAAACGTAAATGCTCGTTTGTAATAGTATTTCAAAAATAATAGCACCTAATTGTCGAAATTTGTGCAATAGTTGTAAAATCAAAAAGCAACTTTTTTAAAGTGAATTTTGTTCATGACGCTGTGTGTGTGAACACAAACATTCCTTCATCGTTGTTATTAGTTTAATCACCGGAAGTGGAAATGAACTTTTGGCCTGAAGTTTAGGTAAAGATGGTGGAATTATAAATATAATATTACAGCGTGAAACAGCAAGGTCTTTAAATAAAGAAATATGAGTTGTAGCTTTTTATTGCAGCTTTACAATCATTTCTCGATTTGTTTTATTTGTTTAATTATTTTTTTCCTTATCTTTTCTTATCTTTTGAAACATAGATACTTAATAAGGAATTATATAAATTTAAATACCTAATTACCTTTTTCGCAGTGAGCACCAATGAAGTCAGGAACACAAATACATTTGTATGAATTGCCATCAACAAGACACGAGCCACCATTTTTGCAAGGACCATGATCACAAACTCCAACTACAATCAAAATTATATTTAAAACCTAAAACTTATTTTTGCAACTTTTATTGACAAAATTAGCAAAGACTATGAAGTTTCGAAAAAATTTTTCCAACAAGACTGACTTCTTTGAAAAGTTAAAAAGTCCAAAAAGATAATTTCGAGGGAAAATTTGCGTATGAACATTAAAACGCTAGTGAAACTAAGGGAAGGAGATCGTAAGTATGCTTTAAACAGCCATGATACTTCACGCTGAATTTTTCAGCGAAGGACATGACATCAACGCAATATGAACACATTTATCAAGCAAAATTAAAAACTATGACAACACCTCAGGTTAGACTATAGTATTGTGCCATTATAACATATTAAACAATTTGATATCCATGTGACACGCAACAGTATTTTATGTCACATATTGAAAAGCTCATAAATGTACAAACCTTCACAGGTTTCGCCTTTAAAACCATCAGCACATTCACACGAGAATGTACTTCCGTTGTTTGTACAAATACCGTTGTTTTTACAAGGACGCAAGTCACACGGTTTCGGTACTGGAACTACGAAGCAAAATTATTTGGTTAGGGCAAAAATAGTTTGCTTGTTTAAGGCATGCATAAATTAAAAAAAAACACGAGAAGTTCCTTATACAACAACATTTTTAATTATAAATGCAATTTACAAACAGCACACTTGACACTCTTTCAAGTTGAGCTTCAAAAAACTCAGTCAATCCAGTTACCGTCAATATAAAAAACCCATTCATTTAAATTTGTTTTACTGAGCTACTTGATCTTATTCAATTTTCTTATCAAAAACACATTATAGTTTAATAATTTTATATTTTTGACCATCGGATGAAATTGACTTATATATTAATCATGATCTTGAAAATTTGATGCTTGAGAGTCATCTATACAGAGCTGACAACTTTTCATGTAAATGCTACCAATTCATTGCCATCTAGCATTTATGTTGCAATATTAATGCCGTGACATGCGCAGTTGCATCGTTCAAAAGGGACTATATATACAAAATAACAAACCTTCACATGTTTTTCCTTGATATTCCTTGGTACAAATACAAGTGAAAATATTTCCTTTCTCCGTACAAACACCATCATTTTTACACGGGAAAGACTCACAAGGACCTATAAACGTATTTAGTTAGTTCATGACGCTTCTTAGAAAAGTGTTCATGCCAGCATTTAATGAGAAAAAGAAATCCGATGTGTTGAAAAAACTTTACAGTCCAAATGTAAAAGCCAAATGGTCAAACGACTAATCGTAATAAATTGGGTTTCAAAAATATTCACAATTACTAAAATACTTAGCTACATCTTAATTTTCCTCAAATGTTCTTTAAAACAGTACATTTTATGTGCCAATGTTTAAAAGCCTTAAAAATTTTTAAAAAGCCAATGTCATTCTTACCTTTAGAAGAACAGTTTCGATCTTCAACACAAGCCATGGCTCCCATATTACACGTACTGAAAACAAAATACAAAACAAAAAGAATTGATGGAAACAGAAAAAATACATTTATGTAACAATCTTATCGAAAAAAAATATCTACCAGGTTTTACAACGTCCAACTTTGACATTTTCGCCTGCTTTATAATATTTTCCTTCAAAGAAACATGAGCAGTTCTTCATAGGAACACAATGATTCTTGTCGTCCAAGTAAGATCCTTTTGGACAATGACATCCGGGAATACAGGTTTCACTGCATTTTATACCACGTGATATATCGCGACATGTTTTTGCACAAGCAGATCCACATTCTGTGAAAATTTCTCCTTTGTTACTGCATGTTTGCTCTACACAGAAAAAAGAATGAACATTTAGCAATGCATTTATTGATGCACAAATAACTAATTTTGTGCCATTGTATCGCAGTTTTTCACTTCAAAGAAAAAAATAGATGTTAGCAAAAAGAATATTATTTTAAACAATTATTCTTACCACATTCTTTGAGTTTTGGATATAAGTAAGTTCCCTTAAATCTCCAGTCAATAAGACCACCATATTCAACACAAAGTTTACTGTAAGCAGCAAAAGCGTTACAAACACATTCCATTGGATCGGTGCAACGACATGCGTCATATTTACAATTACTGATCAAATTTGCTGGATCTACATAACGGTTACATGCACCGTGGAATGGAGAGCTAGGATCGCTCATCAAATGACATTTATTTATCACAACTTTTTTTTTGGAATCAGGGATACATGGTGTTGGTGATGGAGCACATTTTCTACTGTAGTAATGGTCGTCGTCTTGACGACCATTGTTGTTGCCACATAAAGATGTGTTGCACATCATTCCTTTGTATTTTCCAGAAACGGTGACTTTTACGTACGACCAAAAGTTCCAACTCACGGACATTCCAATATCTGCAGTGAAAATCAGCCAACTCCAACTGGGATTGGTAATTTTGAAACCTGAAATAAAAGATGCTCCAATATAAATTAAAAACAAGTTTTTTCTATTCACTGCTTAAAGCGATTCAAAAATGAGAGGTAAAAATAGAGGATTACTTTCTATGTTGAATCAAAAGTTCCGTATTGAGCTTTGATATATTTAGTGTTAAGAATAATTTAAAAATATTTATAATAAAAACAAAAGCGTTTAAACTTATACCAGGACGAATTATTGGAAATTTTGACAGCCTAACTCCATTTACAACTGCTGTACCACGCTGACGTGTCAGCTGAATGAAGTATCCAGCTATAATGATCTTTACAGCTGCTGTACAGGTCACACGCCGTCCACAACGCACGTTTTTGGTAAGGACAGTAAAAAGTTTGTTTTTGCTACAGTCTTTTGAAAACTCGTATTCGCAATCTCCCATGAAATCAAATCTTTTGCCATCAAATGAGGTGTAATGAGGATCACCAGACGCCGAACATGTTGCTATTAAAGGAAAAAAAATTCAACTTTGTAAAATAACACGAGCTTTGATTATTTCTGATAGTAAAATAAGTAGGTATAATGAAAATGGCAGACTAGAGTGTGTGAAGTGTTCATTTACGATTGAAAATTATTTAAATAACTGATTTTGCATTTTTCACTATGTCCTCCCGGGTGCTGCATTGAAATTGCAGAGTTATTTTAGAAATGTTCCTTTGATTATGAATATCTCTTTAAAAGCTGTCTTTAAAAACAACGATGCCGGAGGCTAGCTTAAAAATCCCTAAATCGACTGAGTGCATTTATTTCAAATAGAAAAGAACAAAACAGATGCCGAATATAGACATCTCGTTTTCTTGATATTCAAGATGATACAAGAGCTTAGAAAACAGCTGTTTTCAAGATTGTGCAATATTTCGTCTTTATTCCAAAGACATCATCAGACTAATAGTTGACAATGCAAGCTGTGAAACTTATATATTATTATTTACAAGCAGAAATGAAAGTGACAGTTACATAATTGCAAAAGAGAGCTTCAAGACTTATTAGGGAATATTTACATTTAATATAGAAATAATTTCTTAGAAGCGTTGAGACAACTTTTGAGTTGTGGCATATTGCGTTTCATCAAAAGCGCTTCTAAGATGATGAGTTGGTTTGGATTATTATTATTACAGCGATAGAAGATGTTGGATGGGTTGGAATTAGATTATAAGGATTGAATGATAAGCGTGTAAGATCTTAACATGTTTCAAAATGGAGAGTCGGTTGTGAAATGATTTGTCAAATGTAAACGAACACATCACACTCGGTATTCCGCAGTGCATTTATCTTTTCAACCATATCATACAGTCATTATAGCTGAAATAATTTATAAAGAAAAAACAAAATTGACTAGCATGTACTACAAGGTATAAGGAGTGCCCCTTAAATTCAATTTTCCGTAAACAAATTTGAAAAAATCATTTAAACAAGAGAAATCATTGGTGACTTTTAAATTAGAAAAAAATTGCATATAAATATAATTTTGGTTTCGACTTACTTTGAGAATGCTCGCAATTGTTACCACCAAACGCAGGCTTGCATTTACAGGTGTAAATGTTGCCCAATACGTTGCATTGTCCACCATTTTTGCAGGGATTTGGCTTGCAGGGATTTGGAACCTCTGAAACAAGAGTAAAATACTATATTTTAGACATTTTACTTTATGTCAATAAAGTAAAAAAGAAATTGTGTAAAAAATGATCTTCCCTTAAGCAGAGTAAACCTATATTTTTTGAAGAAACAGCTATAAATAATGGAGTTGTGCTTAACTACAATAACAGAATTATAATAATGAAAATAACCCATTTATAAAGTGCTAAGGCCTCTTTCAGAGTTGTTTTGAAATGAACAGAAACGAGATATGAAAACGCAACAAGCTAAATTTTAGCAAGGCACTAAATAGCTAGGGCGTAGGAATCAAGTGAAAGTCTTTTTCTTAGGGGTGAGGGTGCTCAAGCTTTTGGGGCAATTTTTTATTCAAAAGGCCACTTTCGGGGAATTTACTTTTGATGGAAAAAGAGTGCAATACATGTCATTTAAGTTTACATACAAGAGGTATTTTATGCGACTTATATTGACACAATAAGCATTGAAATATTATAGAAAATTCTTAAATGTTTCATGTTGTATTCTTATAATATAATTATTATACATGCATTATTGTTTAAAATACCACAATATTTTCGCCCGTTGCCTAATGGTTTTAATGCTGTATTACACTCTTATTCAATTTACATTTCAGGTGCATATGTGTTTTATGAGGATAATGGAATGGTCACAACCGTCATTACATCTATTGCGGGTACATAATGGGCTTTTTGAGTATCCTCAAATGACCATAAAATTTCGTTTGAAGGTACATAATGTGTTTCATAAGGATCGGTGAGAGATCTACACAATTTCCTAATCTGATGGGAGCATAAAATAAACTACTCCAAAAACGTAAATGCTCGTTTGTAATAGTATTTCAAAAATAATAGCACCTAATTGTCGAAATTTGTGCAATAGTTGTAAAATCAAAAAGCAACTTTTTTAAAGTGAAGTTTGTTCATGACGCTGTGTGTGTGAACACAAACATTCGTTCATCGTTGTTATTAGTTTAATTACCGGAAGTGGAAATGAACTTTTGGCCTGAAGTTTAGGTAAAGATGGTGGAATTATAAATATAATATTATAGCGTAAAACAGCAAAGTCTTTACTTGAAGAAATATGATTTGTAGCTTTGTATCGCATGTTCACAATCATCTCTCGATTTGTTTAATTTGTTTAATTATTTTTTCCTTATCTTTTCTTATCTTTCGAAATATAGAGACTTAATAAGGAATTATATAAATTTAAATACCTAATTACCTTTTTCGCAGTGAGCACCAATGAAGTCAGGAAGACAAACACATTTGTACGAACTGCCACAAACAAGACATGAGCCACCATTTTTGCATGGAGAATGATCACAAACACCAACTATAATAAAAAATTATCTTAGAAGAGAAAGGAAATTTCGTTGATACATTTCAACAAACATAAAAACTAAGTTAGAACCCAAGATATTATTTCGAAAATTTTCATTGACACTACTAGTGAAAAAGCAAGTCAAAAAATTTTGAATTCGGACCACATAATTTCGATGATCAGTTTCCATATAAACATTGAAATACTGGGAACGTAAGAAAAAGATCGCAGAATATAAGTATGCTATTAAAGATCGCAGAGGATAAGTATGCATATAAACCTTATGTGGTTTTTACACTATCCATTGTAAGTGGTGTGAAAAGCTATATTTAAAATTTTATTGTAATCGGACAAATATTGTGCGCTGTACAATCAGTCAAAGTCGCAAAAATATACCATTTTAAGCGCTCGGTTTTACCGCTAAGTGGCTGGGCCTGCGCGGATGGGTCACGTCATGTAGGTAACCGCTTGTTTGAACATTATAGTGATTTAACAATTTTTTTTCTTTACTATTGTCACATTATGCCAAATGCCCATGTATTCGCAAGGAGATATACCAATTTGCAAGGACAGACACCGCTAACACACTGTCCTCCAACTCTATATCACAATTTTCATTTTTTGATGAATTTGAAGATGATGTTCCGACCCGGATAAGGACATTTAAAAAAAACGACGCAATACTCGAAAAATTGGTTAAAATATTGACTATTTTAAAAAGTAAATACTTTGATTTGAATAGAGCCTACACGACTGTGTTCCTTACAGATCCCATTAGGGGAAAAATGTAGTGAAAATCTGGACTTTTAAACCGCAAATGCGACGAAAAGTTTGATCTCAGTTCATTTGTATTTTAAATTTGTAATTTTCATGAACTGCTCTTTCAAACTATACTAAAATCCTATAAGGTTTATATGCATTTTAAGCATCACAACAAAACTTTCAAGGCGCTTTTATATCTTCGCAATATCAAGCCAAGTACAAAACTTGACAACATTTTACATTTGACTATATCTTATAATACCATTATAACGTAAAATTTTGTACTTTGCTTGATAGTGCGAAGATATAAAGCGCCTTAAAAATTTCATAGTGATACTTAATAGCAAACGTATCTTCTCTTTTCCTCGACAATTTTATAAACATGTCAGAATATTTTCGTTACACATTATCAAACAAAAACTCATAAATGAACGAACCTTCACATGTTTTGCCTTTAAAACCATCAGCACATTCACAGGAGAATGTACCTCCCATGTTTGTACAAAGACCATTGTTTTTGCAAGGACTCGACTCGCACGGTTTTATTTCTGTAAAAAGATTATCGTATCAGGGAAAATATGAATCTCCCCTAATATTTAATGTATAAACTACATACGTTTAGAATGACAATTTAAAGTACTGGCCACTCTAAATAAATTTTAAAACTGTTTCAAAAACACTGACCTTCACAAACCGTTCCGTTTCCTGTAAATCCTGCATCACAATTACATGAAAACAATCCATGGCTGTTGATGCAAGTTGAATTTTGATGACAGTTATCCATTGAAAGAGAACATTCGTCAATATCTGACGATAATAAAAGTATTCCATTAGATATTATTTACATATTAGGTATAAATGATTTTCAAAAGCATAATTATTATAACGAACCTTCACAAACATATCCATTTCCAGAATAACCAGCTTTACAATTACATGAATAATATCCATTGGTGTTGACACAAAATGAGTTTTGATGACAATTGTCGATTGAAAGAGAACATTCGTCAATATCTGACAATAATACAAGTGTTTGTATTAGATCTCACTTATATATTAGGAAAGGTTTATTTTCAAAAGAATAATTTACAAATCGGACCTTTACAAACAATTCCATTTCCAGAAAAACCAACATTGCAATTACATAAGTACGATCCATTGGTATTAACACAGGTTGAATTTTGATGACAATTGTTGATTGAAAGAGAACATTCGTCAATATCTGACGATAATAGAATTATTTGCATTAGATTTCATTTAAATATTAGGAATGGATGATTTTCAAACTCATGGTTTACAAAACGGACCTTCACAAACTGTTCCATTTCCAGAAAAACCAACATTGCAACTACACGAAAACGATCCATTAGTGTTGACACAGGTAGAGTTTTGATGACAATTATCGATTGAAAGAGAACATTCATCAATATCTACAATAACAAAATACGCACATTTGCATTTCATATATAGTTCAAAAGACCGCCTTCAATAACATAGTTTATTTACAAAACCAACCTTCACAAACAGTTCCATTTCCAGAAAAACCAACATTACAATTACATGAATATGATCCATTAGTGTTAACACAGGTTGAATTTTGATGACAATTGTCGATTAAAAGAGAACATTCGTCAATATCTGACAATAATACAAGTGTTTGTATTAGATTTCACTTATGTATTAGGAGTGTTCGTTTTCAAAAGAATAATTTACAAATCGGACCTTCACAAACAATTCCATTTCCAGAAAAACCAACATTGCAATTACATAAGTACGATCCATTGGTATCAACACAGGTTGAATTTTGATGACAATTGTTGATTGAAAGAGAACATTCATCAATATCTACAATAATAAAATACGCACATTTGCATTTCATATATATAGTTCAAAAGACCGCCTTCAAAATCATAATTTATTTACAAAACCAACCTTCACAAATAATTCCATTTCCAGAAAAACCAACATTGCAATTACATAAATACGATCCATTAGTGTTGACACAGGTTGAATTTTGATGACAATTGTCGATTAAAAGAGAACATTCATCAATATCTGAAAACAATACAAGTGTTTGTATTAGATTTCACTTATGTATTAGGAGTGTTCGTTTTCAAAAGAATAATTTACAAATCGGACCTTCACAAACAATTCCATTTCCAGAAAAACCAACATTGCAATTACATAAGTACGATCCATTGGTATCAACACAGGTTGAATTTTGATGACAATTGTTGATTGAAAGAGAACATTCATCAATATCTACAATAATAAAATACGCACATTTGCATTTCATATATATAGTTCAAAAGACCGCCTTCAAAATCATAATTTATTTACAAAACCAACCTTCACAAATAATTCCATTTCCAGAAAAACCAACATTGCAATTACATAAATACGATCCATTAGTGTTGACACAGGTTGAATTTTGATGACAATTGTCGATTAAAAGAGAACATTCATCAATATCTGAAAACAATACAAGTGTTTGTATTAGATTTCACTTATGTATTAGGAGTGTTCGTTTTCAAAAGCATAATTTACAAATCGGACCTTCACAAACATTTCCATTTCCAGAAAAACCAACATTGCAATTACATAAATACGATCCATTGGTATTAACACAGGTTGAATTTTCATCACAATTGTTGATTGAAAGAGAACATTCGTCGATATCTGACGATAATAAAAGTATTGCATTAGATATTATTTACATATTAGGTATGGATGATTTTCAAAAGCGTAATTTTTATAACGAACCTTCACAAACATATCCATTTCCAGAATAACCAGCTTTACAATTACATGAATAATATCCATTGGTGTTGACACAAAATGAGTTTTGATGACAATTGTCGATTGAAAGAGAACATTCGTCAATATCTGACAATAATACAAGTGTTTGTATTAGATCTAACTTATATATTAGGAGTGGTTCAATTTCAAAAGCATAATTTACAACTCGGACCTTCACAAACAATTCCATTTCCAGAAAAACCAACATTGCAATTACATAAGTACGATCCATTGGTATTAACACAGGTTGAATTTTGATGACAATTGTCGATTGAAAGAGAACATTCGTCAATATCTGACGATAATAGAATTATTTGCATTAGATTTCATTTAAATATTAGGAATGGTTATTTTTAAACTCATGGTTTACAAAACGGACCTTCACAAACTGTTCCATTTCCAGAAAAACCAACATTGCAACTACACGAAAACGATCCATTAGTGTTGACACAGGTAGAGTTTTGATGACAATTATCGATTGAAAAAGAGCATTCATCAATATCTGAAAATAATAGACGTGTGCACAACAAATAGTTTTAATTCAATTTATCACTGCAGAAAGCTGACTTTAAAGCTCTTACCTTTACAATTAATTCCATTTCCCGAATAACCACTGTTACATTTACATGAAAATGATCCATTGTTATTGATGCAGATCGCTTTCTTGTGGCAGTTATCGGTATAAAGTGCACATTCATCGATATCTGTGAAAAAATTAAAAATATATAAAACTTATTAGTATTCACTATGCAAGCAATGTCGGCTGTGATTGGTCATCATTCTCGATATCTGCAACTATGACTTCATATCTACAGATAACAGTTTCTACAATTATTGACGCCATTAAAAGCCGGTTTTAAAAAAATGAAATAATAGCGATGAGTACCACAGTACTTGATTAACGAAAGCTTTTGAGCAAAATCATGGGAAACACACTAAAAAAGGGACGAAACTGGTTTTGAGCACATTTACAGCATATTTAAACGAGAAGGAACTGAAAAAACTGTTTTGTTTCAGCGACAAATTAGCGAAGGTTTCAAAATGTTTTACATCTATCAGTTTTAATAATACTTCAGTTAGTTGAAGTGAATAATAAAACAAGTATTGAATTCGTTTTTCGCTTTGGCAGATAACGTTGACCTCGGTCTGAATAATTCTTGATATCATGCTCAACCTCATCCAATAATGCTTATTATCATTTATCATACGAGTATTGAATTTATGCGCAACAAAAAGGGGGAAAAAAATCATATGGCTAAAGTTTCTCAGAATCTGATTGGACATACGATTTTCTTCGCTAGTGAAAAACGTTGTATCTGCATTCTGATTGGATAGACGAATTTTTCACTAGTGAAAAAATGCATATCAACTTTTGCTTAAATCCGCCCATTTTTTTATAAATTCGTCATCAGTAGCGAAGCCAGCTTCCATATTTACTCCCGCTATGTAAATTCTGAAAGATTACCGTTATTGATTTCTTTACAAATGTATTGCTCTCACGGTCAGTGAACACAAAGATATTTGCATAGCGGGAGTAAAAAGTCGTCCTGGCTACGCTACTGTTCGTCAGATACTCCAAATAGTTTTACGAAATGCTATTGGAATTGTAAAATATCTAAGTTTTTCAAATGCTTTCCGTGTATGTTTTTCATGTGATCATCGATGGAATAAGTGAATCATAATTTTGCTACCAAATGCACCATTTTGTTCACCATCATTAAAAATAATCTACTTTGAGATATTATTCGTCTGTGATTGGCTGATTGCAGTGCAGTTCATCAGTAATTGCGTGATTAAAATGTGTTATTGGTCTGTAGAAATGTGTACCTGCACTCAGTTCTTCGGATTCACGATATTTTGTTGCAATCTTTAAAAAACTTAAAACGTGAATTCCAAAGCATTTGTATACGCACATAAAACTATATGGCTTTGACAAGGTTTGAACTTGCACCTTTCGGTACAGGACAACCGCTCTAATTTTTAGGCTACCAAGAAATTTAAAGAGTCAAATTTCTTATGGAACTGCATATGAACGAAATATTCTCTGCTGCTAGGAGATTGCTCCTGTACCCCGAAACGGAAACAGACGCAAAGGAAAATCGTAATATGTGTCAACGGGTTACAGAAATGTGGGCCCAATACTTAATTGTGGTCCAGGTCCCTTAATTTCTCAGAAAAACACGTTGAACTGAAGTGAATGGTTTGAAACCGGGAGTATCGTTACATATTTGTTAATGTATATCGTCCAGGGTAGTAGAGTCTTGAGAAGGTCTGTTGGCGTTGATGTTTACTGACGTTTCGACACTTCATTTGACTCTGATGACGACTAGCACTAAGGTTGTCGAAACGTCAGTCAACATCAGCACCAACAGTCCCTCTCAGGACTCTACTAAGCTGAACGATCTGCGTGATTCTCAACCCCCCCCCCCACTAACACGCGTGTCAGAGTTCAAATTTGGCTTCATCAAGTATAGGTATGTTTCCCTAAGGAGAGCATTCCAGTTATATATTTAGATCAATGGAACAACCCTAGTTAATCAACCGCTACTATCTTTATTCAATGAATGATCATATACCGACAGGCAGATATACCGACAGTCAGATATTTATCGGAAGTGCTACTTTTCTGCATACTACGTTCTTTAATTGAAATAGTTTGCAGTGATCGAAAATATATTTCCATTAAGGCTGAGCTGTATAGTGCTATCGATAATTGAGGGTGCTCGCATTCATGTATGTATGTTATGGCGTATTAAGTTCTTTTGAAGTCTATTGTTCTCTACGGATTATAAAATTTATACACAAATATGAGCCACCCACCCTCCCTGCGCCAATTATTGATAGTAATACTGCCAATGAGAAAGGCGAGGAAAATATTATCATAACACCTACCATTTTCGCAACATGTTCCTGTCCAACCACTTTTACATATACATCTACCATAGGCAGGTGCTCCTCCATTGCGACATTTATTTCTGTTGCATGCTCTTGTTTGTCTGAAATGATACAGACAACGTCCGCCACCCGATTCTGTCACAATCTTTCCTCTTGTTCGTGTCTGTAAACCTGCATTTCCACATTGATGACTACAAGAGCTCCAGCTGGACCATTGACTCGGTACACAATCTATTACAGATTCTAGAAAACAATTTTTTGTTGCATTCCAATGTTCTGATAACTTTTACCCAATATTTGCATATATGTGCAGACGTTTTTACAGAAACATGATAAATTGTTTAAATTCTATATTAATAGACCAACACCCAGTATCAGTATGGTTTCTTAAAGTGTACGTAATCGTAGTTGTGAAACAACCAGAGTTAAAAACTGTGGTTATGACGAGGTAGCAAATATTGAAAACTATAATGAAGGTTATGACGAGGTAGCAAATGTTCAAAACTGTAATGAAGGTTATGATGAAGCAGCAAATGTTTGAAACTATTATTAGGGTTATAACATTAAACTGATTATAACTGGATAGTTGTCTAGCTCGTCAACATCTGACAACAATACATGTATTTGCACTAAATTTCGTTTATGTATTACGAATGGAAGATTTTAAAAAATCATTGAGTTTACAAAACGGACCTTCACAAACTGTTCCATTTCCAGAAAAACCAATATGGCAATTACATGAAAAAGATCCATTGGTGTTGACACAGGTTGAATTTTGATGACAATTGTCGATTGAAAGAGAACATTCATCAATATCTATAACAAAAAGTGCACGCATTTTCATTTCATATGTGATTCATTAGACAGATTTTAAAACCATCAACTCATCAATATCCAACATTATAAAATAAAAACAATTAAACGCGTACGGTGATTGGTCTATAGCAGTGTTTGTATTAGCTAGCTTGTGCAAAACAGATCTGGGATCAACCAATTAAATCAATCAATCAAAAAGAATTTGCAAATTGATTATGAGCACATTATGGACGAGAAATTAAAACGTTTGTTTTAAATTTGTCTGCTTCGCATTATTGTTATTACATTTAAGAAATAAAAGATGTTTATCGTGTTTGCACCAGCTTATGCAAACCTCGGAGACGCTCGCTTGTGAGAACTCTCGAGCAGAAGCAACAATTGACCATCGGTCTTGGGCTTGTACTGATCTGCTATGGAGTTCTCCCAAAGGTCTCCTAGGTTTGTATAAGCCCGTGTAAGGGCAGTAAACATCTTAATTATTTCTTAAATAATACACACTTGTACAAAAATTGTTTTAATTCAATTTAGCCCAGCAGAAAGCTCATTTTGAAACACTAACCTGTACAAATAACACCATTTCCCGAATAACCACTCTTACATTCACATGAAAATGATCCATAGTTATTGATACAGATCGCATTCTTGTGACAGTTATCAGTAGAAAGGGTACATTCATTGATATCTGCAAAGAAAGCAAAATTACAAATTTTGAGATGATTGCGTCATTACGTGCTTATGATGCAAATGTTTAAAACTGTAATCATGGTTATGATGAGACAGAAAAAGTTTAAAACTGTAACCATGGTTATGATGAGACAGTAACTGTTTAAAACTGTAATCATGGTTATGATGAGACAGCAAATGTTTAAAACTGTAACCATGGTTATGATGATGCAGCAAATGTTTAAAAAATGTAACCATGGTTATGATGAGACAGCAAATGTTTAAAACTGTAATCATGGTTATGATGAGGCAGCAAGTTGTTTTAAAGTGTAGTCATGGTTATGATGAGTTTGAACACAACTTTTAAATGAACAGAACGAGGTATTCACCAATATCTAACAATAATAAACATATACACAGAAGCTCTATTCAATTCAATAGAGCACTGTCAAAAGCAGATTTTAAAACACTGACCGTTACACGCAATTCCATTTCCAGAAGAACCAACATTACATTTACATGAAAATGATCCTAAGTTATTGGTACAGGTGGCATTCTTGTGACAGTTATGGGTAGAAAGGGTACATTCATTAATATCTGTAAAGAAATACGTAAACTGTTAATTTTAGTATCGTATATCATATCATATGGTTTTTGAGATAAAAAAACAATATGGCATTTTACTTTTGTTAAAATCGTCAAAATGCTTTGCATTTCTTTAATGTCACCGGTCACCATAAGCCCCACGTAGAACTTTACGTAATTCTACTGTTATTGTAAATAATCTTAGTTTTGTGACCCTTTCCATGTATGTTTTTGATGCCATTATCAACAGAAACATTGAATTATAACTCGGTACCTAAACAAATCAGCTATTTTGTTCAATGTCATGCAATATTCATATTTTCAAGTCAAATTACCGCATTTACTTGTGCATGCAGTGTAATCATATTATGCATTTAATATATACGATGATCTTTTTAAAATTGACATGTTTCGACATCTCATGAAAATCATATTAACCACTTCTTAATGATTGGTAAAATTTTGGCAATTTCGAAAATCTAGTAAGTTAAAGAATTGATTAAAAATAGGAAATTGCAATACAAGCTTTTCTAAGGGGAAGAATGCGGTTTGCCATGAATTTTTTCCTGTTGCGGGTTTCCTTATTTGCCTAACTAAGTCCTTCAATCACTCACGTGACTCGCTTAGATCTGATTACGTCATTACATGTTTCATGAAGCCAGAGGAAAATAATAGAAATCAAAGTCTAGTAGAACTTTAGCCTGTTCAGTTAGTCAAATTTAGGACAAGGTTTGTCAAAAACCACAGATATTCATCAGCAGATCTGGGAGAAGTTCAGAAAATTACAAAAAAGATATCTTCACTTTCAAAAAACTTAGACCTTTTCTTAATGGAAGTATTTCAGCCATAAATAATCATTAGAAATTGCTAACAAACAGCCTCCTCAAAAAAGTATTTTGAATTAAAAATGAGACCCAGTAATTCACTTTGACCTGCATTAGATTCGCCACACTAGATATGTTTACACTGTGCACGTGTATGTGCACATGTAAAATATAACTGCATAATTAAATTACAGATTTAAAGCTTTGAAAACTTCTTGAAGCTTTATTCTACTTCATTTTTATCAAAAATTTGTATTAGTTTGCTCTTTTCCCCTTGTTGTTTTTACCCTTTTGCGAAGTACAATTTAAGAGAAAACTCATTTTGAACGGTATCAAAATTAATTTTGATAATAGGCCTGTTTGAAAATGTATTAGAGCTTAAATATTGTTTGTTTGCATACCTGTGTGTCGTGCTTGCAGAGTTAATTACATAGAAATACATGCAATGTTTGCTTTTTAATGCAAAAACAGTATTGCCTACACGTAATAATAAAGCATGACAACAAATTTTGAAAATCAAATTGGCTTTAGTAGAAAAGAGTGTTCCTCCAAATAATCTGTGAATCAACCGCTTGGATTTTATTCCCTCAATTGATGATTATACACGAAAGCAGATAGTTATTCATCAACAGTGCCCCTTACATACATATAGCAGTATTTAATCAAAATGGTTGGCATTGAGCACTAAACTATTCAGAGAAAGGTAAGGTGAAAAAATATCATAACACCTGCCTTTGTTGCAACATGTTCCTGTCCAACCACTCTTACAGATACATTTACCATAGGTTGGTCTTCCGCCATTATGACATTTATTTCTGTTGCATGCTTTCGTTTGTCTAAAACTGTATGAACAACTTCCACCATTAGATTCTATCCTAATCTTTCTTCTTGTTCGCGTCTGTAGACCTCCATTTCCACATTGATGACTACAAGAACTCCAACTGGTCCAACTGCTCACCACACAATTTATGGGAGATTCTTGAAAAAAATTTTTTGGTTGCAAGTCAATGTTCAAATAAATTTCACCCAAGTTAGCACTATAAATCATCTAACTACTCAATGCCCCTACGGAAAAATTGTTTGAATATTGTCTTTAAGTAGACAAGTACAGTATTTTTTCGTAAAAATACTATTGCAGTTATGAGGAGACCGCGAAAGCTTGAATTTATCATAAGGGTCATATGGCAAGGAGTGAATATTGGAAGCTGCAATCATGGTTATCACATTAAATTAAATATAACTAGATGGCTACCCTCCCCGCCACAAATTGAAGAAAGTCCCAATCTTTCCGCGCAAAGCGCAAGGAAAATAATATGATGTTACAACACGTACTTTTGTCGCAACATTTTCCTTTCCAACCACTATAACAGATACATCTACCATATGATGCCCATCCTCTATTGCGACATTTATTTCTGTTGCATGCTCTTGTTCTGCGTAAACTGTATGGACAACGTCCGCCATTAGATTCTGACCTAATCTTCCTTCTTGTTCGTGTCTGTACACCTGCATTTCCACATTGATGATTACAAGAACTCCAACTGGACCATTGACTGACTACACAATTTCTTGCACGCCCTTAAAAAAAATTTATTTGTTGTAGCTCAATGTCCAAGTAAAATTTGCCCAATACTTAGATATACGAGCAGGTGTTACAATTTTACTGAAACACAATACATTTTTTTATTTCTGTCTTTAGTATACAGGTACATCATATTTTCTTAAAAATTTAATCGCAGTTATGAGGAGACCACTAGAGCTTGAAATTATAATCCCGAATATACGACAACGTGGCAAATGTTTGAAACTGAAATCAGGGTTATTATTTTGAAATGAATAATTATATACATGGCTATTACCCAACCATAGTTTGAAGCCAGTATGGTTAATCCCAATATTTCAATGCACGGCGAAAGGTAAGGTGAAATAACATCATAACACTTACGTTTGTTGCAACATTTTCCTGTCCAGCCACTATAACAGATACATCTACCATGCCATGACCATCCTCTATTTCGACATTTATTTCTGTTGCATGCTCTTGTTTGGCGTAAACTGTAACCATAACAGCGTCCGAACCACCAGCCTGAACTAATCTTCCTTCTTGTTCGCGTCTGTACACCTGAATTCCCACATTGATGATTACACGAACTCCAACTGGACCAATGACTTAGTGTACAACGTCTCCTGTACCGTGGTCGTCTCCAACGTCGTCTTCTCCACCAACCCGCTGCATCATGCACTAACAAGATGAAAAGAAACACCAAGAAAAGTCTCATGTTGTACCGAGTAAACAGTGTAAATCTGCTGCTAATTTTCTTATATTCTCCTGTATTCCTAGTATTCAAACTTATAACGAGTAAGCTAGAAAAATGCTTCGACGTACACTGTCGGTGACGGGAGACGTCTGCAATCAAGTTTTCTAAATACAGATTTATATGACATACATGCAGGTATTTTGCTACAAAAATATTTTAAGTTGTAAAGAGCCTTTGTTTTAAAAATTAATTTTTTACAGAGCTTTGCTGAAGGAACCCGGCGTGACATGAATTACTCATAACTTTTTTTGAACATCTCATTGTTCCTTATCAAAGAAACGATTACCAACTTAGACATTTCTCCACAAAGCCCAAATTAATTTTTATCACTTCGACATTTTTGATACGTATAGGGTTCAAAATTAATAGTGGTTTTAGCTTTTCTAGGATGTAGCGCTGTCAGCCTGCAAGTTTTGGTCCCGCTGATCGAGTAAATTTCAGAACATTTAAATTATTTAGAAATTTGTTGTTTTTACATTTGTTGAACAAAAAAAATTAATACAGCACGACTAAATTTGTGGGCTTTTTACGTCACTGTGTCTAAATTTGCTAAACAGTGGCAAAGACTTTCGTCAAAAATCGAGTATATTGTTGTAAGGTAAAAGCCTTTTCTTATTCATTACTCAGACAAGCAGATTCAAGAAACGGTTAAAAATTTCCGGCAAACAAACTGATTCTAGCTACGTGAAATATGTCTAGAAAAGCATAACTTGATGAAATTCTCCGGAAAGCGTATACGAAAATAGACTTTCATGAAGTATTTTGAACGAATTCATTTTGCCATACGTAATCACTATTGCAATAAAGGCAATGTAGATTGTTTATTTAAAAAGAGTGCACGCATAAGTAGCTTACAAGCAAATAAATTTGTGCTCTTCACATCAAACTAGGACAATTAACGTAGTTAGACAAGTACTCGATGCTATAAATTATACCTAAAAGTTAGAACTGTCGTGTATTATAATAAAATAATTATGTTATGTGCATTTTAAGTTTGGTAAAAGAAAACGCTGTAATTTGCAACTATAATGATTGCAGTCACCCATGCACTTGTTATTCAGTGTAAAGTACAGTATGTATAAGTCCTGTTCAAATGAAGGTGACTCGTTTACAGTTCTTATTAATCGATGAAATCATACGATAAAATATTGCTGAAGCTAACCCTATTGAAATGCCTTATCATAATTTACTAAAGAAAAAACCGGACGTCTCCACTTACAACTGAATATTTTATCTTTTCAGATAAAATAATTGTTATTCAAAGTGTAAACAAAAATTAACAGAAACTGTAATTATCGTCAAAGGATATTCTTAACTGTATAAAGGCATGTTATGTGTACAAATATTTTCTGCTTAATGCTAATTCTCTTGTAATTTTTTGCATTCATTCGAAGAAGATTGCAGTGTTCTTTATCTATCGATGTTAATTCTAAACATTCATGTCTCTCAGGTAATTAGTGTGACAACTAGTCGCATTCAAGGTCAGAGATGGAGGTCGTAAGATGCATGAAATAAGAGGTGTAACAGGCGAAAAATAATGCGTCCTGATTTATAACATGATGATAAATAGTACAGGGGCTTTTTTCAACCCCTTCAATAGCAACACAAGGATTTTCCTTCTTTAGATGTTCATATATCACGCGTGTAAACAAAGGTTTCTTTACTTGAAGGCAACGTCGCAGCAGCGGTTGAAATTGTCAAAATTCAAATTTGTTACCTTAATTAAAATTTGCATGTGAATCAAACCGTATCTTCGATAAATTTTGAAGTTATTCTATGGTTGCTTCATAACTTCGATGTTTAGACGTCTGTCGCTTGCTGCTCGTCAATAAAAGACAACAACAACAGCAAATCACTATGAGCTTCTTTCGCGAAAATTATGTCTCGCATGGCTTGAATTCATGCAGACATTCATCAATACAATACCAATACGTCGTTTCATATTCTTGTCTGTCCTCCTATGTTTGAAATCGCACGACTGAACGCTTATTAAATGCCAATAACAATATTATCAAATAGAAACACATTCTTTTACAGAATTTAAGGCTCTCCTGCCAAACAAACGCGTTTCTAGAAAGCAACCCAATGGAACTTTTGATTTTGTCAATTTATCATTAGTACCCAGGCTCTTTATTTTGATGCTCTCGTCAGTATAACGAAAATGTGCTATAAGTACTTTGTAAAACAATTTAATTATATACCTTATTATAGAAGTTGAAAGCCATCAGTGAAGAAGCCCGCCCGAATTTCTACTCCTGGGTTACATATTTTTCATCAAAGTTATTATTCATTTCATTAGAAGATTAATTCCAATCGTTGTTTTTTCAGTAAATGAACACAAAAATATTTGACTTGCAAGAGTAAAACACGGGCAATGTTTACAATTGAACATAGCAATTTATATTTATTCTCTATTTGTACTATCTATAAATTTGCTATATACCATAGTGTACTTCATTGAGCTGACGAATAAATGACCAGTGGTGTCATCAGCTAGATATAGGTTAGGGGATTTTATTCATTATGCATGCTTTTCTGTATTAAGTTTATTTAAAATGAATTGTTTCTACGGGATTAAAGGATACATATACCAATGTTGTCCTGTAGCGTACCGAGACAATAACAGAAACGATTCCAGTTCAGGACTGACTTTATTAACGTTAGTAGCAATATTTATAATGTAACACATTAGGCGTTAACTATGACTAAAGGAAACATTTTATATCAAATATGTATATGTACAACGTAATGGAAGAGTGTATTGGAAGGGAGGATTATTTCAAGCTTATGTTATTTTTGGCAACACAAAGAGAACTATTTTACACAGCTGTTTTGAACAGATTTTCACCTTCCTCCTTAAGTGTTCTCATCCCGAGAACATGCTCACAAGCAAATTAGTTAGTTTATCCATACCAATCAGGGAGGCAAACATGTTGTCTGAGTCTAGCAGGCCTTAGTCTGCGGTTTTCCATTTGTGCATGCATATTGTCAACCACCTGGAACTCACCTACTTCCCTAGTTGGGCAAAGTGTTTCGCTCGGTCGAAAAGGGACACAAGTTAATTTAAGTTGATTATGATGAGCAACTTTGTCTTTACCACCCTGAGAAACAATTCTGTAATCAACTCCCGTACTTTTTAGAATTTTGAAACGCCCTTCCCACTTACTCCCAAATTTCCAACCTTTAGGCCTTCTCAACATGGTCGTTTGACCCTCTTGAGAGGACTGCCAAGTGTTTGTTTCTGGTATTCGACGTGTTCTTTCCTCAGTTACGCGCATTAACTGTTTCTTTGCAATCTTCCGAATGTCACGAAATACCTCTTTTAATTCCCGAATGTAATCGTTACGAGAAACCGGGTGGAACAGCGGCATCTCAATTTCTAGTTCAAGTGGCATACGGTGAGTGCCTTCGAACACGACCTCATAAGAGGAACATCCTAGAACGTCGTGTCTGCTGGTGTAATATGCATAAACAACACTGTCTAGCCGTAAATCTCAATAATTTTAACATTCGGAAACGAACGATGCAAGCATGTGCTGAAGTGTCCTATTTCGTCTTTCTGTCTGGCCATCACACTGGGGATGGTATGCAGTCATTCTGGTCTTTGTAATCCCCTTTGCATCGCATACCTCGTTCATTAGAACGCTCTCAAAATTGCGACCTTGATCAGAGTGCAAAACAGCGGGTGGACCGAAACGAGAAAATATCTTATTTGTTTAAAGTGGTGCTACTGTGGTTGCTTTTTTATTGGGGGAGGGGGGCGAATGCTTCACAACACTTTGTAAAGTGGTTGACTATGACAAGAATATGTTTATTTCCGCGACTAGTCTCTGACAATGGTCCCATAAAATCCATTGCCCAAAACGTAAATGGTTTTCCTACACTAATATTTTCCATGGGGGCTCGGTTTATTGTTCCTGGTGTTGTATTGTGAGCATATGTGGTGCATTTCTTAGTATATTGTTGAAAATCATGACGTATGCCAGGCCAGAAAACCGTTTTCTCAGTCTTTCCTCTGTACGCGTGATGCCTAAATGGCCAGCAAAGGGGTTATCGTGCACTACCGCTAAAATTGTCTCATGCAGATTCGTTGTACCGTCATGACATAATGTGGAAGCGTGGTAGTGTGCTTTCGTATGGACAGCTCTAGTAAACCGTCATGCAAGAAAAGGCGAGGGTAGTGGGTGTACCATGCTTTCAACAGGGGGCTGTCAGCCTCTGCCCGTGTTGGGCGAGTAACTCCACGCTTTTTCATGTTAATTAGTTTAGAAAGACAGGGGTCACTTAAATACTCATGATGCAACTTCAAAGTAGGATCAATGGATAAACCGCATGCTGATCTTCCAAGACTATTTGGCGGTTAAACAGGATCCTTGCAAGTTCTTTCAGTTTGCAGAGGGTAGGTTTTTGCTTTCGTTTCCTAACTTAGTAACATGGGGCACTATTAAATCTGAAATATTTAAGGGTTGCGCACTTTCAAACTTTATTATGACAATTTTTCCAGTTGAGAGCTGCAGTCGTACAGTTGTATAAACAGGTGCACTCATACTATCTGAGTGGACAGTTGCACAGGTTTTAGCTGGCTTTTCAGGCTCCCCTTGATGTGGTCTTAGTCGAGACAATAATGACATCATCAAGGTAACACAAGTAGATTTTATAAGTTAACCCGGATAACACGATGTCTGTTACACGTTGGAAAGTGGCTGGTGCAGTGGAAAGGCCTAGAGTCAGTCCAAAAGCGAGCATTAAAATAATCCTGCCTCATCAAGAATATGAAAACGCTCTGCAGTTTACTAACTTGCAACGCCTTAGCGAAAGGAGGAATGATATAACAACAGCGTTCTTTCAGAAGATAGTAGCAGATTCCTTACATAAGCTTCATGACCTTTTGCCTCCTCTTTTAGAACGTTCAACTATGGAACTTAGGACTCAATCTTCATTTAAAACTAACTTTAATACCAAACGTTTTAGAAATAGTTTATAACTTATAACTCATTGAAGATGCAATTTAGTTAATTTATTTATGTATGTATTATATGTAATCTTAAACGTATTTCAGCAATATGGCTGCCAGTTTTAAGAAATAAATCATCTATCTATCCATCTATCTATCTAACAACATATGTTCACGTTTTTGAAACTGTTTCAAAGTCATCAATTTTCTTCACGAATGCAAATCTACTTGAAGACATTTTAGTGTTGATTGCAGTGTTTTTATTTGCACTATTTTACAACAATGTTTGCCAAAGGTCAATGGTCCTCAAAGTTCTGACGTAGCTGACAATCTCGAAGGAAGCTCCCAGTCATCCCAGAAGCTTTCAATGGACGAAACGTACAACTCGTTTTCATCATTCATCACTCTCTGATCCAACGTCCCGCTTCTATCTTCATCACTGTAATTTAACGTGTCGTGTTCTTCCACAATTTCCTCAACGACCAAGCTAAAATTTTGTTCAGTTAAACGGTCGACCGTCATCAGTTCAATTATTTGGCTTGGAAGCCTGTCATCTCTAGTCTCTTCAGCATTAAGTTCACTATATCCACCTGAAACAAACTTTTATTGTGATACAGGAATGGTAAAAAATGACAGGTGTGAGAAGCATCTAATCTGTGACATGTGAAAGTCATTGTGAATATAAATTCTTAAATAACCTAAGCACACGCGCCCAGAGTAAACTGGGTCAGCGATTAGCTTCAGCCTTAGAGAAATGCAAAGATGAAGATTGCAAGTGCAACCAAATGTTTTATAGTGACGAAGCACGTATATATAAATACAGAAATAATTGAAATTGAAAGCCCTGAATAGTGTGGTGGTACCACTTCTTTAAGATTTCCATTTCTTTCATCAGCATACAGATATCTTCTTCTCTTTCGAGAAGTATTTGTAATTTTTTGTAATTTGTATTTGTCACCAATTCCATGAGTTTCAATATGTTTTTTTTTTCTGAAAAACACTATAAACATGTGAGCAATTAGAATTGACAATAATACAATATTTTTAACAAAAACATTGTAATGCAGTAAAGCGTTCACTGATATAAAATTTTTTTATCGAACAAGCTTTCGGCTGTCTGTCTACAGCTTTCGACGGGTTATAAAAGAAACGAATGGGGTGTAACACGATATAAACACATAAATAAAAAAGCGGAAATAAAGTAATATGATACAATGTTCTATGTGATAGGTATAGTCACTGTTTTTTTAAAAGAATATTATAATGTGGTGGAAGTGTTCTTGAGTTGTTATCAGCTGCTTTAGTTATTCCAGTGTGCCATGATTCTAAAGTTTTTTGTGTTCTGTAGTTTCCTCTGAAAAACTTTAGAAAAACTTTAGAACCATGCAAAAGCTTGTTCAATAAAAATTTTTTATATCAGTGAACGTTTTACTGCATTATGTATAATCCTGATATCGGATCACGCATTTTTTCTAGAAATATTGTAATTAATTAACGACCTCCGTCTTGACTCCTTTCATCTTCCTCGATCATTTCTCGAAAACTTTCAGCGCTTTTGGTGTTCTATAAAAAACGAAACGACCAAACTAGATACAAAGTGCAATGTAGTTTCCTAGATTAAAGCATGTTGAAGTACTTCTCTACAAATGCACCCCTGACGTCAGCAATTTACGTAATTGTCATTTAACCACAATAATCAAAATGACGTTGGAGATCATGATTTAAATAATTTTGCGTTTGCAAATCTATGCTTTATGAGGTAAATGAAAACTACGTCATTTATTATTGACGTAATGCATATTAAAGTGAAAGGAAACTAACTTTTTGTCATTTTCAAATTTCGAAACTACGAAATTTACATAAACATGAAATATACATATGTTGACTAAATGCTCTAAATTAAAACGCAGGCCTTTCTCAAAATGAATTTGAGGAAAAAAATTTTTCTAGTTTTTTGTCCATGCATACGTAACAAAATCATTGAAAACTTATGGAAATCGAGAATGATATCCAAAATTAACAAGTTTTTTCCGCCTGATATATTGTTCATGAAATAACTTTTTAATCATGGTTATTTTGCGTTAAAGGACACAATTCTCAACCACGCGTTACAAGGTAACTTATGTAGAACATGAATGTAGGAATGTTGTAATATACTATAATCTTAGTAACACGTGGACAAAGGCATTTGACTTTATGGCTAAATCGCATATGGTCACATTCGACTAAAAGGACATGGTGATCCGAATCTAATTGTTTTTAATTCCGGCCCTGTGCTACCTTTTTTATAGAATGATAGTTAAAATGAATATTTTTCCATTTTATCGAAATTAATAAAGTTATTAAAGAATGTCAAATTTGTTGGTCGTAATGTCTTTACAATAACCAGGACAAGCAGACAATTTCAAATAATACAAAATAAAACAAATTCCGTAGAGCGACATCTTGTTTTCTTGATATTCAAGATATTACATGAGTTTGAAACAAAAGATGGTGTAATATTTCGTCTTTATTGCAAATCAGACTTATTATGTAAAGAACAAGGTCAGTTCCTGCCGTTTCAAGAAAGCAGAAAACAAAAGTAAAAAGTTTAGACCAACATCGTCAGCAAAATGGATGAGCATCAGCGTGAGCCTAACTTTAAGAGCTATAAAATGTTAACTAATATACTTGTTTGTGATAGCGTTTAACTTTTAGAGATATACTGATGACAAATGTCCACGGAAAGAATAATTACTAACTACATATATCTGCGACTGTGCGACAAATAGGAATTCGAATTTGGGCGTTCAATCCCATGTTTTGAAGCCACTAAAATTCAATCAGTTAATAGTTATTAAACATTATTTACCCTTTGCTTAAAAAATTTAGCGCAATCTTTTCGACCACGATTTTGACAATATAATGACGTTGAATGTCCACGGAAATAATGTGTATGATGTATGATCTATATGTGACAAATATAGAAGTTCGAAGTTGGGAGTTGAATCTCTTGTTCATCTAGGCAGATAATACATGTTAAAACTAGATTTACCTTTTCTTTATGTAAAGCACTATCTTCTTAAATTGCTGCTTGACGTCTTCCTCACCATAAGCAGCAATTGAATCAACAATAAATTCCTTCATGGTAATTAAAGACAATTACTAGGAAATGAAAGTATTAATTACGTGAAAAATGTCATATGATCTCTTCGTGACTAGAAATAATAAAGACTAAATTTTATATCCATATAATTTTTACCAATAAATAATTGCAAACTTTCAGATTTTGCAGACGAATTTCTTGTTTCATCAGATGTACAACACAAGTAAAGTTGTCAATATAAATGCCCAACGGTAATTCCCCAGTTATTTTGTGGGAGTCCCCTTTCTCTTTCCTCCGTTCCTTATTTTGAGGATAACCTCAGCTAAGGCATTAGGAAATAGGATTATTAGGATACACTCAAAATATTACACGCGCAATTTTGGCTTTTTGCTAGATGTTTGTGCCATACAGGGGCGTAACTGTTGGGGGGGTGTGGGGGGGTGTGACACCCCCCCAATTGCTGAAAACAGTGTTTTTGCAGGGCATATTGCCGTAAAGTGGCAGGGCAGTGTTCAGGAAGTAGAAAAATTGACATACCATCGAAAACAACTAATTGATTACTAAGTGGAAATAATTCGATCATGGGATAAGATGAGAAGCGTGGGTAAAGATAAAAAAGGAAAGATGCAACAGCATTTCTCTTCCGAATCCCACAAAATTGCTTTGAGTGATTTGGCACACTTTGCATGCAATATGAAAAACGTTGATGTAATGTTGGAAAAGAAGTTAAGAGAAGTAAGAATACAACAAGAAGAAAACAATTTGCGAAACCAAGAAGCCATAAAGATCCTTTTAGACATCGCAAGAACATTGGCACGACAACAGCTAGCTTTCAGAGGGCATAATGAAAAGCACGAGGGAAACTTTATCCAAATATCAAATCTTGTTGCCAGGCATAACCCTAGACTTCAGTCATGGCTGTCAGACAAGAACATGAAACCTTATTCAGTAAAATACCCATCACCTATTTCACAAAATGAGTTTATTAGCCTTTTGACTGAAGACATAAGGAATCGCATCGTAAAAGATATCGTTTCATCTGAAATATACTCAGTCATGGCCGACACGTCTCCTGACACTTCAAATGCGGACCGCCTCGTAGTGGCAGTGCGCTACGTTGACGAAAACAACGTGCCCAACGAGAGAATATTGGAGATGAAAGAAACAAGGAATAAAACAGGTGAAGGCCAAGAAAAAGAGATTCTTGATTCCCTTAAATCACGATTACCTATTTGTCACGATGGGTTAGTGTATCAGTCTTACGACTACACAGCTTCAATGTCTGGGACTTTTAATGGAGTTCAACAACATTTTCAGGAAACAACATTTTCAGGAAATGTCCATTCATCCCATGTCAAGGCCATAGGTATGTGTCAAATGCACAGCATTAAACATTGCCGTATAAATTACTTAGGCATTAACTATATCTTTTTAAATATTTCTAAGACTAGTCTCTGCGTTGAATAATTTTTCAATTATATGTTTTTAGATCAAACCATTTCAATGAGCATTGCTCAAAGGCCTCTACATTTGTTGAGATGTATAGCTTGCTCGAAGAGCTGTATGTTTTTCTCAGCAGAAGTTGTAAACGAGATTCTATGTTGCAAGAACATGTGGAAAAAATTGAAAATGCTCTTAAATTGCGCAATCTCTCAAAGACGAGATGGGTGTATAGAAGTGAATCAATTGAAGCGGTATGGAGATCTTTTGAAGCCATACGAAATGCCTTAGCGGAAATAGCAAAAATTGACAACAACTCATTAACCAGAACCAAAGCAACCTCGCTCTGTAAGAAAATGGTCAAATTTGAGTTTGTTTTTGAAGTTATGTTTATGAGGTTTATCATGAGAAAGACCAAGATCCTGACAGTACAGATGCAGAAGCCAGAGCTCAATATCCTTGATGGTCTTCAACTGATTGATGAAACTTTTAGATCACTGGAAAGAATACGGCACAATGAATCGGAATTGAATGACCAAATAGATGCGAGTGTTGAGTTTGCGAAGACTCTAGGCTCTAATCCCGAGGAAGAGTTTGCTAGAAAGAGTAATAAAAGATTAAGTAGACGTTTGGATGACAACCCTGAGACTTTGGCAATTATGTCACTAAAAACTAACTATCGAAAATGCATGATTGAGGTCCTCGATTCCCTCATCAGAGAATGTAGAGATAACATAAAAAGTTGTTTGCAAAAAATAAAACCCTTAGCTGTTATCCTTCAGCCTCGACTGACTAAACCAAATTTTGAACAAGTTCAAAAGGTCACCGAACTTTTTCCTCCATCAATTAGCGTAGATTGTATGTCGCAGTATGCAGAACTTGAGATTTTTGTTAACTTTGTAAATGAGACAGAGAAAGAATGTAAGACAGTCCACGACGCCGGAAACACTGCTTTCAAAAATAAAGAAATTTTCCCAAACGTTTGTAAATGTTACAAACTTCTGTTTACTGCTCCAGTAAGTGTGGCTGATATTGAAAGATCATTCAGCAAAATGAAAATTGTCAAGAACTATTTGCGCTCAACAATGAAAGGTGAAAGGCTGGAAGAACTCATTGTCCTCTCAACCGAGAAGGATTTAACAGATACAATTCATCTGGATGTAGTACTAAAGTCTTGGGCAGCCAGAAAAAACCGTAAACTCAGATTAAAATTCAAGTAAAAAGCAACATCTCAAGACTACGTTGAGATTATTCTCACTTAAGACTCTTGATATGAGAACAAATATACATTGTTTTACTGTTATGTCCGAAACGGTTAAGGTTTATATTTCAAAAACAGATTTTGTAATAATGTATGTGTTAGAAACCTAATCTTCGATAATGTTTACTAATAAACAACGTATGCAATAATAGAAATGATTATAATTTGTTAGCCATAATGATTTAAGGGGTTTTTGTGGGCAACGCCCTTTTGCAGGGCAAATTTTCTCCACACCCCCCCATTACTTCAAGTCTAGATACGCCCCTGGACTGCCATAAGTTTTGATACAGCACCGAATTTTCTGTATTTAAACTAGGAATGAAGATTGCGCTTTAAAATCGTCAAAGAAGTCAAATGATGGCCACACTACCAGGTTTAAGTTCTCAAAAAGATCAAATTTGAATTTTACTGTATATCTTACCATCAACAACGGTAAGATATCAAAATTCAACTTATAGCTACTTGCCTTTAAATTAAAGATTTTTGAAACAGCGTAATATTATGTAAACGTTTCTTTATGTTTGGGGTGCATTGCTAACGGGGTTCACTGCACTCAAATTTATTGAAAATGTTTAGATTTAATAAATTCCTTAGAGAAAATAGTATTCCTGTTTTAATAGCGATCACTTTAGTTACACAATTAAGGTTTCCTGTTTAAGGGCGAGCCACTAATGGAATTCCCCTTCCAACTAAGACAAAGTTCTAGAAAAAGTTCCCGACTGGGGTTGGGATTTTCCAAAATCAATAGCGCAAAATAAGTGCACTGACTGATTATGTTTTTTAACATGCAATGAATTCAATTACAAATATAATGAATTAAAACCAATTATAACGCATTGGGCAGACAGTTTAAAATACAAAGATTGCTAGTATTCAAATCTTACTAAAATAAACTGTAAACCTGAACTGATAAGTCCCTCAAATTATTTTGAATTCAATTCGTGTGGATAGCATTTTTATCTTCCCAGAGATTTCCATGAGTTTCTATAACTCAATAGAAACAAGTAAATATGTTTTCTATTTCATTTATAAAGCAGCCTTTTGAAAACAATACTAAAAAGAAAAATTTGTTGATTCTCTATATTTAACAACATACTGATTATATTTTTAATGCACATTTAATATACACCACGACTTTTTTTTAGAATATTCTAAAAAGATTATATTTTTGCTAGAATAAAGTTCTCGTACATTATGTAAGCACGGTATTTATAGCATTTGACCACTCAGCACTCGTGTTTTTAAAAGGCTTTTTATAACTAACATTCATTAGTAAACTTTCATTTTACTGTGAACTAATTATATGGAATTATTAATATACAAAATCATTATTAATGAATATTTACACAAGATAAAAAGAATTAGTAAATGATTCATGCTATCTATAGTAAACATTGGTGGTGGGACGCTGGTCGATTATCATCGATGATTGATCAAAAATTTCAAGCAAAGTGACAATCGATTATGTTTTTTCTTAATCTACTATCGCCATAAAAGTTGAAAATTTATTGAATTTATTGATAAGTAAAAAGCATCAAAATCAATAAAAATGTGCATTTAATACTTTTATGTGATCGTCCGAACCAAAACACAAATTTCAACCTCACTTTTTTGGGTTTTTTCGGATGAAAGGTACAATAACGATTTAAAAGTCGCGAAATGTCGCTTCGCTAAATCCAATGGCCTTTCGAAACTCTGCCTGGTTTACCAGTTGTTGACGAATCCAACATGGCGGCTATAATGGCAGAGCAGGAGATCTGTCAGATTATAATCGACGATTTATCGGTTTGGGCAATTTCAATAACCGATTGTGAAATCTCAACCGACTCCCACCACTACAGTAAGCATGTAACTAAGAATTAATCTATTCATGTTCTGATTTACTCTATGTATTCCATAAGAATGTAACATTGTTTCTTATGGTTGCAATACAAATGAGTGACAGGGTTCGAATCAGCACATCGCATTTTACAAGCCAATATTGTGCTTTAGCGTATCGAAGATGAATAATTGGCGAACAGAAATTTGAAAATATGCAATTAGAGCGCGATTTTGAAATTTTTTATACGTGGAACAGTACGGCTGCCGTTTTCATATGCTTTGTCTGTTCAGTAGCGAATGCTTCATACGCGAGCGGAAAAAGTTTTATTGAAATAGCGCAGTACAGTGAATGTTTTGATGAAAAAGAATTTACAAAAAAACAGCAATTACATTCAACATTCAACATATAATTTACTGTAGTTACGTTAATAGCACAAATATAAATAATGCTACGCAGATAAAGACCGTGGTAAAAATAATATAAGACAAAAGGTATTACAAATTTTCAAATCCTAAAATCCTTTGCCACATGTTGGTGCTGAAGTATAGTTTGGCCCATGGATCGATGCCAAAACGTTACGACCAGTTTACAGTGACAATTTTACTGCCGTAACTTCTACTGCTGTTATCCAAATTCAAACATAAGCATATGTAGAGCCAACGTATTAGCTAGAACACAAATTTTGAACTTTCAGTGAACGCACGTTTTAAAACGTTGCAAATCGATTTTTTCTCCTAAATCGAACCCTGTCAAAAAATTACTAATATAATAACTTTTAAATGCCTTGTTCGAGTTCATTATCAAACCTCAGGCGTAGTTAATGGACAATCAAGCTCCACGCTGGAGCAAAACTCAACATCCAAATCTCTCGAGTCAACCACTTCACCCATTTCTTCATCCATATCATCAAACATCACTTCCTCTTCTCTCATGTCCTCAATAAGAAGGCTGACGTAGAGCTGCATTAATTCAGAGTTCAGCTCCCCCTGAAGGTGTGCTTCAATCTCACCCAGTAAACTGGGTTGATCAGATTCGTCAACCAAAATGATATTTTGTGTCTCTGTGTGATGAAAATTCATTGGCTGATCCCTTGTTTCTTCTTCAATGGACCAATTTTCAGCAACCAATACTCTTGAATCAAGCAATGTACCTCTCTCTTCATTCATATCATGAAACATCACTTCCTCTTCTCCGATGTCCTCAACCTGAAGGCCGACGCCGAGGTACATTGATTCAGAATTCTGCTCTCCCTGAGAGAAATCTTCTTCTGTCTCAACAAGAGAATTGGGTTGCTTTAGTTCATCAACAGATATGATATTTTGTGTCTCTGTGTCGTGAACATTCAGTTCCAGTCTACTAGCTTCAACTGAAATGCAAAAATCAGGAAAATTCATACGCTGCTCCCCAGAAACAAATTCATTACCAGGATCAACACGAATATCATCTTCATGTGGGTTTATGTGTTGGTATGCTGAAACAAATTCACTACCAGAATCAACAGGAATATCAACTTCAGTTGGGTTCATGTGTTGGTCCCCAGAAACTAGTTCACTACTGGCTTCAACAGGAATATCATCTTCAGGTGGGTTCATGTGTTGATCACCAGAAACTATTTCACTACTGGCTTCAACAGGAATATCATCTTCAGGTGGGTTCATATGTTGGTCCCCAGGAACAAGTTCACTTTCAGCATGAACAGGAATATCAACATTGGGTAGATCCATCTGTTTGTCCACATAAATCAGTTCAGTATTGGCTTCGCTAACAGGGACATCATCTATAGGTAGTCTCATATGATCCACAGGATTCAGTTCACGACGACTTTCCACTTGAATACCATTTTCACTAATATCATCTGGAACCAAGTAAAAAATACTTAGTTATGTGTTTATTAGGGAGAAATATCATGAAAAATGTTCAAATTATTATAACAACCATTAACAATTTATCATTCATTTTCATTTCAGGCTCATTCTAGAATATTTAAAACGCTATTATAATTCAACTTACTTTGGTTGCAAAAAATATTAACTTTCTCGTTACAATTGTTATCCGTCATGATTGACTATATAAAGAATAAAACGTCAAGCTTGTACATGAGCCTGCCTTAAAAAAGGCACTTAATACCCGTAATAATTTGAAGCATACTGCAATTATCATTAATATCGAATTATAACCAATACAGCAAAGCCAAATATTTCCTTCTGACGTGAAAAAGTTCTGGTTAAGGTTAAATGAAATTGATTACAATTACAAACTCATGCAGTGTCGCATTTGCAACAAAAAAATGTCATCCTTTACTGAGGTAATGTTTCAAAAATACATATTCAAAATTTTCATCGTTCTTTGATGGCGTAATGCACACTAAAAATGACAGCCGTTTATTCCTCAAAATTTTCTCAGTTTCAAAACATAGTATAATAAGAATCTACTCTTCATCGATAGATCATCAAAAACAATCGATTTTTAGACGAAAATGCCAAAACAAGAGGACATTCTGTCAAGAAGTCAAAAATATTTCTTCTCATCTATTTTGTTTACGAAAAAGAAGTTTCAAAATCAATAGTCAGGAAAACAGACTTTTAGCTATGTAAATTTATATTGCCACCAGCAATATATTTCAATTGTAGGAAAATCGACAACAGCAAACTTATTGCTAATGTATCGAATCATTTAGCCATTATATAGTCCCAATATGAACAATCATGGCAATCATGGGAAATTTATTTAATACAGGATTACAGAGTGAGGATAAACCTCACAAGCTATAGAAAATGTTAGCCTAAAGGTTAAAATTTGCAATACTATAATTTAAAAGCAAAATGTTAATGTCGAATGTTCATGGAAATAAAATGTGAAATCGATAGTCACTCAGAGACGAGTGAGAATTCGAGTTGGGAAAAATTATTACATATTTGAAAACACAAAAATTTAAATAGCTCAGTGTTATTAAATAAGATATATCTCGGCTTAGGCCGCAAGATGATGATGATGATGATGAAATAAGATATCTACCTTTAATTGATTATCTTGAGCACGACTTTCTAGAAAATTTCTTGGGACGTTTTGAAATTGCCGTTAGACTTCTTCTCCAATACAGGCAGCAATTGAATGACGAAACAGCAATGAAAACGACTAATAAAAATGAAAATATTAATCACACAAAAAATGCCGCGTCATTTCTGCGTGACCGGAAATGGTACAGGATTATGTTTGATAGCCTAAGTCACGCTATTTTATAATACTTTAATAAAATGTATGCGTGAATATTCGTCAACTGATTTCTCATTTCTCATAACCAGTAAAGCAATGTGAAAAGTTTCCCTCTGACATGAAAAAATTCTAGTTGTAGGGAATTGCGCGAATACAAGACAAATATTACATCATTCTTAACTGACGTAATGTACACTAAAATACACTCGTCATTCTCAATGGCGTATATACCAAAACCGAAAGCCATTTCTTCATCAAAACTTTCTGAGTTTCGAAAGATAACGCAATAAAAAAACTATTCATTATCGCTAGATCAGCATATGCGTATAATCACTAGGATCTTTGGACGAAAATGCCAAAACGAAAGATAATTTTGTCAAAAGTCCAAAATATTTCTTCGAATGTATTTTGTCCACGAAATAAATGGCAAAATATAAGTTTCAAAATCAATGGTAAAGAAAACAGACTTTCATATAAATTCATATAGTGACGATAAACAAGATTACAGAGTGAGGAAAACCTAACAAGCCACAGGAAATATTAGCCGAAAGCGTTACAACAATAATATAATAAACGTAAAAGCAAATAATCAATGTCGAAAGTACATGGAAATAAAACGTTCTATCTATAGACTATAGTCACTCAGTGACAAATGGAATTCGAGAATATGAAGAATAATTCCATGTTACAAAATACAAAAATTCAAACAGCTCATTGCTATTAAATAAGATCTACCTTCAATTGACAATATTGAGCACGACTTTCCGTAAGACCTTCCCTCCAACACAAGCAGGAATTGAATGACGAAAAAACTGGAAATACAACAGCTAAAAATTAAAATATAGATCACGTGAGAAGTGCCATGTGACTTCTGCGTGACAAGAAATATAGAAAATTATGTTTCATGTCCATAGTCACGCTAATTTCTCTCAATAATTGAATAAAATCTGTGAAATTTTATCAACAAATTTCTCATTTAACCAGAACTAACACTACGATATCAAATATAAAGATCGAAAATAAACAGAAAGGCCTCGAGAAATCAACTTTTTCAATAAAGTTACCCCCATTTGTTCTCTGGGTTTTACCCAGTTTTGCTTTCTTCTTTGCCCTCTTTTCATCGAAATTTCATAAAAATCAATAATGGTACATTTTTTGAGCGTCTAATTCGTGAAATTCTTGATAAAAAGCAGTAAACAAAATGAACATATTGGAGCAACTTCATCCGCGAGCGTAGAATCTTCTCGACTCGTTAAAATATCAACCAATAAATTTTTAACGATAGTGTGGAAAAAACATATTGAACAGTTTTTCAGCAATATATTTGATGTGGAATGTCTATGATTGTCTATGATTGTCTGTGAAATCACATGTGCAATCATTGATGTATCATTATCGACGACAACAAGGAATTTGAAGTAGGAGACAATCTTCTGTACAAGTCACCAAAACTCAAACAAAATCAATCAATTATTAAATAAACAAGATTTACCTTCGGTTGAATCAGTATAGCACAATCTCTTTAAAGTTTTCGAAAGACGCGTTCTCCACAACAAACAGCGATTGAATTTATAAAGAATCGACAATGATGACGATTACTAGAAAAGGAAAGTGTTGATGACGTGAGCACATCATACGACCGGAACGTCATACGGCTTATAATTTATATTCAACACGGTCACGCACGCACGCTAATTTGTGCAGTAAGGAGTTCAAAATGAAGGATAAATTCCCATTTCACCAGAACTAAGACTACGTTATCAAATAAAAAGGAATTTCGTCAATACATAGAAAGATTTCGATAAATGTATTTTTTCACTTAATGGTAATTCCCCGTTTTTTTATGCAATGGTAATTCCCCGAAATTTTTTATTAAACGGTAATTCTCCGTTTTCTGGGTTTTCCCCAATTTTCCATTCCAAGCCTTTCTTCTTTGTTCTTTTTCCTTCGAATTTCATTGAAATCGATAATAGTGAACTCATTTTTGCGCGTCTGTCTAGTTGAGCTTCAGTTCATGCTCATTTATGATTGGAGACAGCAACAAGGAAGATAAATACTTTTTAAACAGGAAGTAAATGAAATGAAATCTCACGAACCACAAAAAATACTAACTTATGTATTTTGTATGATTGGATTAACTACGACAATGCATTTTAACGAATTTTTAGCAACAAATTGACGTTGAATGTCCAATGAATTAATATGCACAACGCGCGATACCAATTAACAGTCGAATGCCATATTTCTAAAAAGTAACAATAATTGGAGCAGCTAATAGATGACAAATGATATTTACCTTCGGTTGAAATATTTAGCTGAGCAGATTTGATCTCATGGAAAGTATTTTGGTCATCTTCAAAAACAGAGAATTGCACACTCACCACTACACTTACTTGAATGTAATGAATGCGATGAATCAAACCAAGGTCATTTTCAATGACAGAGTATGAATACCATGAGCCAATAGAAAGCAAGAATACCTTAATGATTTGTGAATGACGATCACGTGCCAACATAGAGCTTGATAGAGCGATTGCAGAAAGTCATTTGCAACATTAGCCAAATTCGGAAGCAAAAACCCCGAAACCAGTGGCATTTTCACTCTGCTTTTGTATATACAAAATACCTTAATTTATATTTCTTTAACAAATATAAAAAGTAATGTTTTTTAACATACAAGGACTTCAATTACAAACATTATACATAAAAACTTAAATACCAAGCATTGCAATTGTTCAGTAATTTAATCTGCTCGCAAACCTCGATTACAGAGACACAAAATATCATAGGACATATGAACTATGATACTTTGTGTCCCTGTGATCGATAGGATTATGCATGAAAGAGGTAGTTATAAAGTTGTACTCTTCACTTGAACAGGTCTATTGTCGATTAAGGTGGTGTCTTTCGTTTGCGACAGCTCTTTAAGGTTACTAAAAAAGATTTTTCAAACATCGAACAATAAAGCAGTGATGCAAACCCAACGTACAAATTTTAATATTTTTTTGAAAATAAAATGAACAGGATCAATAGAAGACATGCAGAAAGTGCAGAAAAATCATGACTCCGTCATGTTTCTGTTACAAAATCGATCAGCCTGTTGAACTCCAGATCGTTTCTAGCCGTCCATACTTCCAAAAGGCAGTCCTTAATTCCCTAGAAGCATCAAGATTGGTCAGCATTGCTTTCAATAATTGGCAAGTGTGTTCTGCAAAACGTTGTTCAAAAAGACGTGGCTAATCAGCTACCATTTAAAGCCCTTTTATCCGAATCGCTGATGCTCAACAGTTTTAAATCAATCATCAAATATTGCCTTATACTGAATCATAAGCCAAGTCAGACCGATGACAAACACAATACGATGCAATTCGCTTTCAATTCGATTTCTACTTATGTAGCCCCCACAACCCATCTTAGGTGTCAGAATTGGTTGAGTCACTGACAGTACATAACCTAAGCTTGCTGCTGTTTATCATTGCTCGCATCTAATAGGACAGAGTAGCGTTTAGTTGCAAACACTTCGAATGACAAATTGACAAACAGATATTCATTTCTTCGCATACGACGTCTTCACATTATTCCCTCATCATTTACACCCCGTTTAATTTAACACATGCCATGTATTTTTCTTTGCATTGTCGCCATTTTTCCACTTTCGCTTATATACTATTGATAAACTACAACCTTACAAATATCAGTTTTACTATGTAGATTTTAACGATAATACGCGCGTTTTAGAAAATCGTACCGCAACATCAATGAGGCAACCGTACGAAAACTCGGTTACACAGCATACGACGTCCCCTGGCATTTTAATTACTTTTCAAGCCTTGTTTCCTCACCAATTGAAGACGATATGAAAATGTTTGGCAAACATCACTTCGTACAAACGAAGTCTTAAAAGCTTGTAAGCATCAATATTGCTTGCAAATACGCCATGTTTAAAAACTCTCAGTCTATCTGTCCTTCGTGTGTGTTGAATCAGGACTTGATGAAAACTTCCAATGTAGAAGAGTTTGGGGCAATCATAAGTAAATTGAACACAAAGATAAACGAAAGACAAATAACGAGATGATAAAGATGATCTTTAGTCTCTCTGTCCTTCATGGGTGTTCACTCAAGATGAAACGTTCCTATGTAGGAGAGTAATGCAATCAAAAAAATTAAAGAGAAAGACAACAACGCCCAAATGTTGTGCCCCTTATTTGTTGTTGGGCAACGCCCTTTTTGTGTTTGGTCTGGCAAAAGTATTCTGCATCACCTAATTAAATCACCCAAGTTAAAGGTCTGCTTCAATTTAATCCGAGAAATGTTAAAAATTGGACCCAAGGAACGACATAAAAAACGTGTTACAACCGGAAGTGATAAATTCAAGCGCATACTTTTACAACTCGAATTTTAATATTGTTTATTTATTGTCTTGCATATACGCGTTACTGTAGCGAAGTATTCGAACAATAGAACAACCCTAGAACAATTGAACATTATTTGTTCAAAGTGAAGTCTCTCAGCGGAAGTGCTATTTTATGAATATGAGGTGACATTAGCAATTTTTCAAACAGCCTTAATTTAACAACCTTTTAAGACATTAATCTCAAATTTTGTATATGTTCATTTTGTTACCAAAATGATTTATGTAAATCTGAAAAAAAACAAAAGTTCGGGATTAAATTTTGCTAAAAAATTTGCTGATTTGAGATGTAATGATGCAACATCTCCTAAAAACCATAACTTTTACAAATATCGATAATCCTCAGGTTAATGTGCTTTAATTTTGCTTATGCAGTGGAATTCTCATAGGAATCAAGATTATTCATATTTCATAGCTTTTGCATTGATAAAAATGGACAGTTAAATCAATATTAATAAGGAAATTATGTCTATCATAAATGGCAAATAAATGACAATGTGCTTGGAATTCAAATTCATCCTGCATGTCATCCCAACCTGCCTGCCATTCTGTGTATGCACATTTCACCTACCAAAATTTTATTTTCCTCCTACCTCCTCTACGACCATTTTCCTTGTTTTCCCCTACTTTTCCCATACACAATAACATATCCCTTTATTATATACCTATGTCGGGTTGGACCAGTGAACTTTTTAGTATGTTTTTAAAAAAAAGATTATATTGAAAACTAAGAACAAGTGGATGACAAAGTTAGTAATTTGGCACAAAAAGTAATGACATGCAAGTGACTTAAATGACATACTGAGTTTATCCTAAATTGGCTAAATTTCTATTGCCATATATGGTCACAAAATGTGCCAAAAGAAAGATTCTGTTATAATCACATGTTAAATGGGGAGAAAACAGGAAGAAAAGAGTATTTTGCACAAAAATGAGAATAGACATTCTCATTTCAAAAGATCCCCTACACTCCACCAACATTTTAAAGTTTTCCCCTACTACCTACAAACAACTAAATCCCCTCACTGTAGGGGAAATACCCTTACTGTGGGGAAATCCCCTTACAGTGGGGATTTCTCTGACTAGTGGTAGGCACACTCAACATCAAGCTTCATAAGCTTTCACAACAATTCCCTAAATTGTAAATTTATATAATAATCAACAATAACCATAAAACCTAAAGGTCCAATGTAGGATTCATAACCACTTCCAAATTGAAAAAAGTATTTCACTTAAATCTTAGAAGAATGCTTTCGACAGCTTAATCAAGAAAACTCATCTTCACAGATGAAATTAGTTTGAGGCATAAAAGAATGATTCGTGTATAGTCATGAATCAATATTAAAATAATAACTGCCAAGTGAAAACTCCTTTTATAAATCAACATTTTCAATATAAATGATTCTAGAAAAGGCTAATAACCTACTTGATATTTGAAATATATCACGTTTTCTTCAATTTGACAAGATTTGTGAATCATTCTTACCTTTCAATGGCCCAACATGATCATAATATAACTAGCCAAAGCTCACATATCACTAATATAGTAACAATCGATTGGTTTCTATCAATTGTGAATAAAAGCGCAATAATGTTTGTCAATTCCAACTAAATACTTTAGCAAAATGGCTGAGATTTGAATGAACACGCCATATGACTATATGTCACTTTATATACATTGGAACACGTGGCATGACCCATGTTGCTTTCAACCCTATGTGACCAAAACTCTGTTTTATATAATCCGTTCTCCTCTCTCATTACTATGCTCAACAAATATTTGAAGGAAAATGTAATAAAATATGAAATTTTAGACGATTGCTCAAAGAATGTTGCCGATAGGCAGCAAAATAAAAGAAATTATGAAATGTAAACGATCAAACTATTCATACAAAATTATAGTCAAACTTTGTCTTACCTCAAATGTTTGCCACAAAAAAAATAATAATAATAAGTAAATCATGGTAACGTTCTGCGGAGTTTATCTCGTAATTAAAAAACAAGCACATATTTTAATTTTATATGCTTAAATTCAGTCACTCTGCTACAGCGCCGTCAATTGTGTTGTACATTGTGCTGCAATAGAAATTATTGAAAGTACGCGCCCCCCAAATTTAAGTTTACTTGTCAGCGGTTTGAACCAACAATTGACGAATATTCATGTAAGCTGTGGTTACTAATTCATAGTTACTACAAACCAAGTCTGATTGCATTCATGTTGTACTTCACGTATCCATCGTTAAAATAAATTATATTTGCCATTTTCGCTATGAATTTCAAAAAAAATATTTCATCAATTAATAGGGCTGGTGTACTATAACTTGTCTAAAGCTGGTCCTCCCTAGGCAAATATACCAACAATTGTGGGCTGTTTCCGTAATATAAATCGGCACATTTTATCTATTAACGTTGCAAAAGCTTGTACACCATTAATTCTAGTAGCCATCGTTCCTCAGGAGCAAAAATCAAGAGGCTAATAGAATTATAGAAACCCAAATGAAAAAAGTCTCTTCTCACCCAAAAGGTTAAAAATCAAATGAAATCAAACTGATTTTCAGTGACGTATTTTGATTTTTTTTAAAGTACTACGAACAAAGAAGTTGAAAATCACCTTTTATAATACAGCTCAATCCCACTCAAAAAGTACTCTATAGCTAGTCCTGGTATACCCTGATACCGAGTGATCTCCTTTGACGCAAGGTCTGTCGCTCCCAGGCATAATACGCCTGGGAGCGACGATAAATTAGAAATAAGAAAAACTTCAAAATTTCGACAGTAAAAGTAGACATGCATAAGCTGTTTTAGAAAGTACGCTGTCATTTCTAAAGTTTTAGTCAATGCCAACATAAAACTAGCAAAATGTTCGCATCATAGGCACTCTAAAGAATGTGTGTCAATCAAGATGCATTGCGCGTTAATCGCAGCGTGACAGCCATTTTATTGGTTTTTTTTGTGGAAGGAATGATATGTTTTAACGCTATCTTTCTTTATAAAATGAACATCCATACTTTAAGCTTCTCTGATTCTATCTGAATTTTTTTGCCTTTGTTTTACACACCAGTTTTTCGTTTTCTCATTTTTCGTTTTCTCATTTTTCGTTTTTGCCTTTTTAATTTTACTTAAGTACTTTTTCATATGATAATGATAACTTTCCCTACTGTGTTTTGCAGTCAATACTAATTTTAAAAAACCGCGTTTCAAAAAATGAAGGGATACTAATATATATCTAATTAAGATAGTTAATACAAACATAACTTTGATTGCTGAGATTCGAGTTGAAAAAGTAGTAAAAGTTGCAAAATTCAACGAAGTTTTGTCATTTCAGTTTTTATGCTGAGCGAATTAGAAAGTGTTTAATAGCTATTTTATCATCCCAAATCCCAAATGTATCTAGACATATTTTGCAAATATTGCATTCAAAAATGTTCAGTGTTGCTTTGTATAAAATAGTAGAGGTTATTAAAAAATATTGAACAGCGTTCGCTCTTATTCTTGGATTGCAACCAACCTCCACAGAATTATAAAATGACCCCCCCACACACCACCACCATCATTCTACGACGGCCGGTGCCCACAATAGCGTACATAAAGTATTAACTTGCACGACAAGTAAATTGCCAGCCACGTTTCTTCTTTAGATAAAAGACTGCTGTGATTTGAAAGACAGAGACACACGCCTGTCGCCTTTCAAGTAAGGATGCATTAAAGCACTTGGCATATTCCTAAGCCTCTGTAACATATTGCTTTCAGTCGTATCATGATGTGCAACTGTACGAATCAACATTCCCCTTTATAGAGTCCACTCTCGACTCAATTAATATGTAACGTTCAACAAATATCATTATGTCATTTTATGAGAAACGAACTGAAGCCATTCTACACCGTAATGCCAAGCACACGCACGACATTCCGCGATAAAAGCTTATATTTTACAAAGCATCGTCCTGTTCCAAGTTATAAACTGTTATATGTAAGTAAAGGTAGTAATGAATGAACAATGGAGAACGAGAAAAATCTTTTTACTATCTAAAATGTATAAGAAATAAGATAACGTGTGTCAGTGTAGGTAGTGATGAATGAAAAAGAGAGAATGAGAACAGTCTTTTTACCATCTAAAATGTATAAGAAATAAGATAACGTGTGTCAGTGCATGAAGGGATGAATGATGAATGAACAAGAGAGAACTAGGACAATCTTTTTACTATCTAAAATATAGAGTATAAGAAATAAAATAAAGTGTATCAGTTTTTCATATAATGTTCTACCTCATTCAATAATCTTTTATAATCAGTCTCTTGACCAACACTAACACATATTACCTTATTTCTTAAATCTGAGATAATGTTAAGGCTGTTTTTTCTCTTTTTTTCATTTATCACTACCTACACTGACAAGCTTTAACTTCAGGGTTGAACTAAAAACTCACTTTGCACTTGAGTGTGGTGTCCAGGCCAAGCCTCATGCGCAGTTACGGACCACTCCGAAAACCTAGGACCATGATTTTCAAGAAAAAAAGGTAGACCAAACTTTGCTGGAAATGTACACGCCTTTGTAGTGCTCTGAAAGTACTGGGCTCCGGATGAAGGATTAAAATTAGGCTCCATTTCAATAGGACAGTTAGGTACTGTTATCCATTCACCAGTACAATAACATAAATTGATGACTTTTGGTGCAAGCATGCTCATGACCTCTCGACATGACGTCATCCACACTTTTAATGATTTGTAGCGTTCCGGACAAAACTTTCGAGCACTTTCCATGTCTGTACAGCGCTTGTGGGCGGTAGCATTTGATTCGATCTCAGGAAAAGGCTCCTTGTTATAATATAGCGTTTGATTTGCTAGTATCTTACGAAAAGCTGCTATGGCGGCGGCTTCATGTGACAGTCCAGTGACATTTTTAGCTATTTCTACAACCTATTGCAAAGGAAAGGGGAACAAAGTTTTACAGCACTTGGTACGTTTTCTAAGGCGCCAAAAGGATTTTACGTAAATAGACAGGCAAGAAGTTTTTGAAATGATAATAAAGTTGACAATCTTTAGTCTATTTGTCCTTCATTTATGTTCAACCAGTACTTGATGAAACCTTCCTATATAGGAGAGTCTGAAGTAATCATAGGAGAATTGAACGCAAAAATAAATAAAGGACAAATTATAAGATAATAAGGACATTCTTAAGTTCGTCTGTCCTTCATATGTAATAAACTAACACTCGATAAAGCCATCCTATATGGGAGAGTTTAATATTTTTTCTAAATGTGTGCCTAACCAACGCTTCTTTACGTTTAAGAGATAAAACCTTGTTTGAGATATTCCTTCATTATATCACAAAAGAATAAAATCTTCACCTGAGGATAGAGAACATTTAATCGTTTATGTCCGATTTCGTTTATTCTTTCAGGAGTAATGTCACTCGTAGTAAAAAAAGCCAAAATGTCTTTGTACGATTTCTTTCCATCAATAATCGTGTTTGTGATAGGAAGTCTCCTGGTAGTGCGATTATCTTTTCTCTTTCCATCGACATATATATACTTCACTGGAAGATTGGCAAGACCACTGGCATGATTTAATGGAAGGCAATGTCGTAGATGTACATTTTCCATGTACTTAACAAGATCGACTACAGGCATTCCAATTCCTAAAACAAGGTTTAATTTTAACGTCGTATGACTGATATACTAGTGTAGATATACTAGTATGTCCTGACTTACTATTGTAGTGTCTTTATCAGGAATGATCTAATGTTGAAAGTTGAGTTCTTATACACTTTAGTCTACTGTCTTCATTAGGAGTGATGTAATGTTAAAATTTTTTATACATTATGGCGATAAATAGTAGATATACACGATGTTTTCATAAATAGTATTAAGATGGATTTCAACCGCCACGAGACCACATTACCAGGGGCAAAACTAAAATACCAATTGGGTGAGTGGGGCGTGACGGTGAATAATAAAATCTTCAGCTATGGCTTGCTAACATACCAAATCAGTAAGGTAGAGATGACTATTTGAATATTTACTCTCCCAATTAATGTTCTAGCTTCGCTCCTGCACATTTCCAAAAAATACAGACCCAAGGAACGAGTTTAGCCGCTTTAGGTCACTTTTCAAACAATATTTGGCTATCAAATACACTGACAATATCAAACACTTGATGACTGAGAACTATTCAAGTTTCGAATTTTTTTCCCTTTAATTATCTTCGATTAATCTTTCTTTAACGGATTGGCTAAAATTTTTCTTGTACGTTACCATCCATTTCTCTCGATCTTTCGCCGAAAAATCTTTACCGAACTCGTCTCGAACGTAGACATAAACAAACCACTCGTTAACCACTTCTCTGGCGTTATTTTCACTCGAAATTTTCTTAAACATCTGTTTGAACGAGTTAATACCAGAGATACAGTTAACTTTAGAGCGAACCATTCCAGTTCGAACGCCTAGCTGCATGTTTGATCTTAAAATAAAAGATACAAATCACATTGAATTCTGCTGTGAAACAGCACTACCAGCCCACTTATGTCTTGCTATGCAATTTTTTTCTCAGTTCAATAGCCGTAAATACAATACATTTGTGCAAAGCAATGAAACTGAGCTGGCTTGTTGGCTTCGCAATGCAATAAAGCAAATACCTTGCAAAAAGCATGACCCAAGGTCAATTAAGCTCACTTTGAGACCTGATGCAAGATCTCCCCTATTCCGTTAACAAGGCTCTTACCAGCAAGTCACATTATACTATATTAATCCTAACACGGTTTTTAATATACCAAGCCATTAACATCCAGTAAAACTGCTATAGTGGCGAAAATCTCTCGTCCTTACGCAGTTTAAAAGAGATTTGACTCGTCTCCAATCCCTGTGGGCTTGGTAGCTCAACAGATAGAGCGGCGGACTCGTATCCCGAAGGTGCAATTTCAAATCTCGTCCAAGTCACATGTTTTCCATGTGCATATTAAAACTGTGTTAGGATTAATATATTATATATTCTCAGATGATGGCTTTGGAACAAGTCACATTTATATCCGGGAAAAAATATTTCCCAATGGCCTGTGACTTTATGCAATATTGAATATTAAAGACTGCAAGAAATTTGTGCAACATGTCCTGAAACTTAAAAAACTAACAATGGAGGCCTGGGGCAAAATACCCCTTCTAAGGAATTCCAATTTATGCCCGTATAATTTTGGGTAAAATTTGTTTTAATGAGAATAATTTTGAATTTTCTTTACTTTCGCCAGCTTATGGTCCGATTATACAACCTTTTACTTCACAAGTTTTTTAGTCCTTTGAGTTTTGGATGGTTCCTATGATGTTGCAATACGGCAATGCTGTGAGGGAAAGCTACTAGGCTAAACATTCATGAAAGGATCTAACATGTATAAAGCGCAAAGGTCATATAGCTAGACTCGCTGCAGGTCAATGCGGAAGGTTTATTATCAGTGACTTGTGCAATTTGGAGATATCAAGAAATTTCTGGAAGAATCGATGGCTGTTAAAGCTGGCTCTCAGTTTGTTCTAAAAATTTAAACAATACTATCCGTTCCGCAGCGACTTATTAGTCTGAATCTCAAGCTTGCTATAAACATTGATTTGGGAGAGCATTTTCTAAAAACAACGTGTTAACTTAAGGGAGATGGTCCTATTGTGTTTTCTTGTTGTTAGTTTACCTAGTTGACGCAGTTGACGTATTTGAGAAAAAAGGAAAAAACTGGTTTGCTAACGTCGAAGGAAGCAAAACAAACTGTTTGTCTGTTTAGTTGTGGTCTATTTGTTTCAATACATTATTTATTCATTAATCAATTTTATCATTCGTCAATTAATCAATTGACTTATTTATACAGATAATTAACTATTTAACATTCAAGTTCACCGTATCTGAAAATATATATACAAATTTTACCTTAAAAACAAATGTCATTGATCATTGCAATAGTTTATTTGAATAGTCAAACGTTACTTGAGCCTTGAAGGTATAAATGTTTATCGACAAAAAATATGAAGAATTTTCCCAAGTTATAGCTAACATTTAGACGATATGTTGGGCATTTATTTGTACCTTTGTCCTAAGGGTAGAACTTCAGCAATGGCTCCATGTCTTGGACTGTTCATCGAAGGAAGATATGTCCATGAGTCACTAATCTCAATATTAAAACACTCAACTGATTTAAGAAATTTACCTTCCTCATTCTGACCCCCCATCACGACGATTGTATCTCCTGTAATAATAGCACAACACTCCAATCTTTTTTCCAACATTGGTGGTAAGGTTGTGATCTTACCGGTCTTACTATCGTACATCTTGACGTCGTTTAAGAATCTCCCATGACCAGTGCGACCGCCAAGAAGGACAACCTGATCTCTCCATGTAACTGTTGACATTCCAGTCATAGAATGAGGTAACGAAGGCATTTTCTTAAATGTGTGCGTCATTGGATCAAACTCAATTACACTGGACAAAGTATTGCCATATTTTCCCCATCCACCAAAAATAAGAACTTTATCATCAACAATCTCAGCTCCAAAGTTCCTTCGTGGTTCAGGCATATGACACAACTCTTTGAAAAGATCAGACGCGGCATCGCAAATCTGCACTTTACATATCAGAGAGGATATCGAATTGTTATCCAAGTCGTACCCTCCAATGCAAATAACCTGCTGTTTAAAAACAATTATTTTGTGGCTTCCGCATTTGTAATCAAGCCCTATGGGGAATGTCTGCCATGTCAAGGGCAACAAATTGAAATTCATCATCTCGATTGACTCGATTGACTTGCAACCTCCAACAACAAATATACTATCACCATAATTGAACGACGCAGCCCGCAAACGATTGTTTTCCATTGCTGAAATTTCAAACCATTTCTTGTCCTTCCAGGAATATATTTCTGTTCTTTTCTGGGAATCATTCGGCAAACCGCCAGCAATCAAAATATTTCCTTTTACTTCGTTCGTCACATCGTAAATTTTTGACAACTCGATTTTTTCTTTCTCGTCATTTTCTTTGGTGGAAAGAGCTGAGCTTCTAAAATTTGTATGCCTTTGACGTTTGATCATGGCGGAATCGAAACCAAATACTCTTTTCATGTTGAATCTCATGTTCATCTAAGCAGATAATACTTGTTAAAAATAGATCTACCTTTTCTTTATGTAAAGCACTATCTTCTTAACCAATAAATAATTGCAAAAAAACTTTCAGATTTGACAGACGAATTTCTTGTTTCATCAGATGTACAACACAAGTAAAGTTGTCAATATAAATGCCCAACGGTAATTCTCTAGTTGTTTAGTCGGAGTCCCCTTTCTCTTTCCTCCGTTCCTTATTTTGAGGATAACCTCGGCTAAGGCATTAGGAAATAGGATTATTAGGATACACTCAAAATATTACACGCCAATTTTGGCTTTTTGCGAGACGTCTGAGCCATAAATTTCGGTACAGCACCGAATTTTCTGGGTAATTAAACTAGGAATGAATATTGCGCTTTAAAATCGTGAAAGAAGTCGAATGATGGCCACACTACCAGGTTTAAGTTCTCAAAAAGATCAAATTTGAATTTTACTGTATATCTTACCATCAACAACGGTAAGTGGATGAGTTTCCGCGAGCGTAGAATCTTCTCGACTCGTTTAAATATCAACAATAAATTTTTAACGATAGTGTGGACAAAACATATTTAACACTTTTTCAGCAATATATTTACTGTGGAATGTCTATGATTGTCTGTGAAATCACATGTGCAATCATTGATGTATCAATATCGACGACAACTAGGAATTTGAAGTAGGAGACAATCTTCTGTACAAGCTACCAAAACTCAAATAAAATCAATAAATGATTAAATAAACAAGATCTACCTTCGGTTGAATCAGTAAAGCACAATCTCTTTAAAGTTTTCGAAAGACGCGTTCTCCACAACAATCAGCGATTGAGTTTATAAAGAACTGACAATGATGGCAATTACTAGAAAAGGAAAGTGTTAAGACGTGTGAACATCATACGACCGGAATAGGCTTTGTTGTAAATTGTCATATGATATTGTATGATAAATTGTAAAATGTTAGTCATATATTACTAGACAAATAGGAAAATACGTATATAGTTATTAAACTGTGGTTTCAGTGGAAATCCTGTACGTAAATTCAAAATACTTAGGAACACTTTTTCTACCCAATGTGGCATTGAGGTAGGATGTAGGTAACGACGGTACTCTATAAACGGAATGGCGTAGTTGCAAGTCATGGAAACGCCCAAAAATCATGTCCTAATAATTATAATATAAATAAGAGCTTGCAAGCGTTGGTTCGTCGTTCGGAAAAACAGACGTTGTTAGACGTACAAAAGTGATAAGTTAGAAGTCGTATCGCAGGAGGCGATAGCATTTGAATAAGTTTCAAGTTTAAGATTGACGGTTGGCCGTAATGTCAACGTTTCAATAACATATTTGTGTCGCAAAGAACCAACGTTTGGAACTCCGTGTCACAAATCGTGCACAAACCACTGTAAATATCCTATCAAGTGTTAAATACAATTGTCAAAACACAGTCCCATCGTTCGAGTGAAGTCTCGAGAGCAGTGAACCAGCACTTCGTACAGGTTGTGCGAAAGGCTTATAATTTATATTCAACACGGTCACGCACGCACGCCAATTTGTGCAGTAAGGAGTTCAATTCGAAGGATAAATTCCCATTTCACCAGAACTAAGACTGCGTTATCAAATAAGAAGGAATTTCGTCAATACATAGAAAGATTTCGATAAATGTATTTCCTCATTTAATGGTAATTCCCCGAAATTTTTTGTTAAACGGTAATTCCCCGTTTTCTGGGTTTTCCCCAATTTTCCATTCCAAGCCTTTCTTCTTTGTTCTTTTTCCTTCGAATTTCATTGAAATCGATAATGGTGAACACATTTTTGCGCGTCTGTCTAGTTCGAACTTCAGTTCATGCTCATTTGTGATTGGAGACAGCAACAAGGAAGATAAATACTTTTTAAACAGAAAGTAAATGAAATGAAATCTCACGAACCACAAAAAATACTAACTTGTGTATTTTGTATGATAGGATTAACTACGACAATACATTTTAACGAATTTTTAGCAACAAATTGACGTTGAATGTCCAAGGAATTAACATGTACAACGCGCAATACCAATTAACAACCGAATGCCATAATTCTAAAAAGTAACTATAATTTGAGCAGCTAATAGATAACGAATGATATTAACCTTCGGTTGAAATATTTAGCTGAGCAGATTCAATCTCATGGAAAGTATTTTGGTCATCTTCAAAAACACAGAATTGCAAACTCGCCACTACGATTACTTGAATGTAATGAATGCAATGAATCAAACCAAGGTCATTTTCAAAGACATGAGTATGAATACCATTAGCCAATAGAAAGCAAGAATACCTTAATGATTTGTGAATGACGATCACGTGCCAACATAGAGCTTGATAGAGCGATTGCAGAAAGTCATTTGCAACACTAGCCAAATTAGGAAGCAAAAACCCCGAAACCACTGGCATTTTCACTCTGCTTTAAATAGTTGTACATAAAAAATACCTTAATTTATATTTCTTTAACAAATATAAGATGAAATTAGTTTGAAGCATAAAAGAATGATTGGTGTGTAGTCTTGAATCAAGATGAAAATAACTGCCAAGTGAAAGCTCCTTTTATAAATCAACATTTTCAATCTAAATGATTCTAGAAAAGGCTAATAGCCTACTTGATATTTGAAATATATTAAGTTTTCTTCAATTTGACAAGATTTGTGAATCATTCTTACATTTCAATGGCCCAACATGATCATAATATAACTAGCCATAGCTCACATATCACTAATATGGTAACAATCGATTGGTTTCTATCAATTGTGAATAAAAGCGCAATAATGTTTGTCAATTCCAACTAAATACTTTAGCAAAATGGCTGAGATTTGAATGAACACGCCATATGACTATATGTCACTTTACATACATTGAAACACCTGGCATGACCAGTGAACTCTACAACAACTTGAAGGCTAAATCACAATATACATGCCTTGATCGTGGCCAATATGTTCATATTGAAAATACATGCCTAGACTTGTATAAAGCCACTTAGAAGCTGATTTGCCGCTTCGCGTGTATCTCGCGGGGACTGTTTTACTTGCGTGACAGATTGTTTTGCAAAACTGCTAACTTGGAAATAGAATGCTAGCCTAAATGTCTTATGTTTTAAGATGCATTGTGGACGTACCAAGACATGTTTTATATACGTAACGCTGTATTGTATAAAACATAAAAGTGAGAACTTGCTTCGAAATATAAATTTTTTATTTGTCATCGAAAGACCAAAAATTTAGAAATACCGAAAGATAAAACTGATAACAGGTAGTCTGTATCTTTGAATGCTGTGCAAAATACACACAATTCGCTTAACATAACATGTTTCATAACAATTTTACTGCTTTTAAAGTTAGACTTGCTTTGTAAGAATTTCACATGCTCTTTTTGTAGTGTGCGATAGTGATGATTTGAAATTTTGAACTATGGGTGATTGTTGGTTCTTGTCACTTACTTCTCCTACTTCTCAAGAACTGGTGGAAGATTTGACATGCATCCATATTTGTGTATTGAGCATTTTATAAGCAAGTTCATGCTTATAAATAAATAGCCAAGTGTACAACATGACAAGTATTGCTAATATAACCTGCTCTACATAAATGCCAAAAAGCAACCCCCATCCTCAGTGGTTTGAACCAGGGTTTTAAAATGATTATAAAGCAAGCAAAGCTATATCATATATCAAAATCTTATAGTATATCATATTGATTGTAAAATTAGTTTTTTCTTGTAATACAAATGATGATAAATGTCTATGTGATATATTATATTTTAGGATGTGTGTTTAAAATGTTTGGTCATATTTGTGAAAATATATGATGATTCTATAATATTAGACTAATAATCTTTTTCATACTTGTATTACATTACAAGTTTTAGAAAACAGCGTTTTTTTGCCCTGACAGCTTCATTTTCAAAGATTCAAACAATATTACAAGGATAGACAAGTGTGTTTTACATCATTTTAATGAAAAAAAACGAGGAGTGTCAGTTCTGCATTCAAGTTATAAGGCATGTTTTCACGCGCCAAAGCAAAGTTCGCTTTTCATCTTTCTAAAAAGAAGCTTAAACATGTACAAATGTCGTTCAAACTTGTTTTATATTAAACTCCAAATATTGTTGAAGGTTTTTAGACATTAAGCTGGCTCGAAAACCACTGTTTTTTGCAAAAAATCAGGCAATTTCGAAGTGATGTATTTCGCCTCCGTATCCTCAATAACGGCGATCATGCAGGCTTCAAAGATGGTGGCTAAGTTAGCGTTCCAGTTGTTGTAGAGTTCACTGGGCATGACCCATGTTGCTTTCAACCCTATGTGACCAAAACTCTATTTTATCTAATCCGTTCTCCTCTCTCATTACTATGCTCAACAAATATTTGAAGGAAAATGTAGCTGCAAGCGACATTCATTTTTTAAACAGTATAAAAGATTCTTTGAGCAATCGATTCAAAATGAAAGATCTAGGCGAACTAAAATGGTTCTTAGGAACATAATTCAAAAGAAGTGAAAATTGTTATAAGATGAATCAAACACGGTATATTCAGAAAGTTCTTTTAAAATTTAAAATGTCCGATTACAAACCAAAACCGACACCCTGTGTTTTTGAATTGAAAAAGTAATGAGCGAAGAATCACCGGTACTATCAAATCCAAAATTGTATAGAGCAATCGTAGGAAGCTTAATATATGTGATGACTGGAACCAGACCAGATTTGTTATATTGTTACTAAACTATCTCAAAAAATGTCTGAACCCACACAAGCAGATTTATCCATTGCCAAAAATGTTTTAAGATATTTAAAAGGGACAGAAGAGGTTCGATTAGTCTTTCAAAAATATGATTCACAACTTAAACTTACAGGTTTCTCTGACTCAGATTGGGGAGCGTCTATAAAAGATAGACGAAGTATTACAGGTTATAATTTTCAGCTTTCACAAGAAGGTCCTCTAATATCATGGAAGAGCCGAAAGCAACCAACTGTAGCACTATCAACGTGTGAAGCAGAATATATTGCCCTAGCAAATGCAATTCAAGAAGCGTAGTTTTCAATGCAACTTTGTTTAGATATGAAGGTAAGTATAATGGAAGGTAAGTCTTTTCTTTTAATAGATAATCAAGGAGCAATGAATCTAGCTAAAAACCCAGTTCATCATCAAAGATCAAAACATATCGACATTAGATACCACTTTATCAGATCAGAAATTCAGCAAGGAAGAGTTAGCTTAAAATATGTACCTAGTGAAGACAACGTAGCAGATATTTTTACAAAACCAACAAGCAAAAACAAATTGGAAAAATTTAGGCAGACAATATTAGGAAACGTGCGGTAGAAATTTTAAAGTGCGCATAAGTAAGGCCAAAGGTAAGTATCAGTTTAGGAATAATAATAAGACAAAAAAAAATGTAGGATGCTCAGAACATAAGAGCAACAGGGGGTGTTAAGATATGCTCTCATATTCTTTCTGTCATTAGTAAATAATTAAGTCAAGTGTAATTAACTAAATGATTATATTAAGAGATACTTATGTGCAATAATCACAACATTTTTTATAGTTCCTAATAGCTTTTCGTTGATTGTAAATTAACCATATTTAGTAAAGAAACGAATATATCCATACGTAATATCTTGTATAAATAGAAGTAGTTTAACCATTGTACGATAGATCGTAGACAATAGACATTGACGTTGAACATTAAACAAATGTGATCATAACAGTTATCTGTAATATCTCCATTTGTTGGTGTAAGTCAATATATACTAAAGAAGGTAGATGGCTACATCACAAAACCTCACAAACATAACTTTGATTGCTGAGATTCGAGTTGAAAAAAGAGTAAAAGTTGCAAAATTCAACGCAGTCTTCGTCATTTCAGTTTTTATGTTGAGTGAATTAGAAAGTGCTTTATAGCTATTTTATCAGCCCAAATCCCAAATGTATCTAGACATATTTTGCAAATATTGCATTCAAAAATGTTCAGTGTTGCTTTGTATAAAATAATAGGGGTTATTAAAAAATATTGAACAGCGCTTGCTCTTATTCTTGGATTGCAACCAACCTCCACAGAATTATAAAATAACACACCACCACCACCACCACCTCCACCACCATCCTACGACGGCCGGTGCCCACAATAGCATTGATAAAGTATTCATTTGCACGAAAAATAATTTGCCAGCCACCTTTCTTCTTTATCAAAAAGACTGCTGTGATTTTAAAGACATGACTATCGCCTTTCAAGTAAGGATGCATTAAAGCACTTGGCATATTCCTAAGCCTCTGTAACATATTGCTTTCAGTCGCATCATGATGTGCAACTGTACGAATCAACATTCCCCTTTATAGAGTCCACTTTCGACTCAATATGTAACGTTCAACAAATATCATTATGTCATTTTATAAGAAACGAACTGAAGCCATTCTAAGCCGTAATGCCAAGCACACGCACGACATTCCGCGATAAAAGCTTATATTTTACAAAGCAACGTCCTGTTCCAAATTCCACGGCAATGGTTTGCGTTTGCATGTGTGATGTGGTTTCTCCGCATGCTAACATATCAATGATGACGTCACTAGCTCATTATGGTAATGTGCTCAAAAAAGCTCCTACATGCATGGTAAAAAATTTGTAAACTTTAAAAGAGCACTAATGGCGGGCATTTTGAATAAGTTTATAGATACTCAAAAATGGCCGTTTTTGCAGTAAAAATGATAGCGCATATCGACTGTGGATGAAGCAGTCTTCTACAAGTGTACAACAAAATTTTTGTGCATTGTAATGATTGTATATAAATTACATGATCTTCTAATTATAAAAACAAGATTTAGTTGACTAATTCGAAACAAGAATTTCACATCCAAAAAAACCATAAATCGCTTATATGAGATTCATTTTATTTGGTCTCGCAGTCGAAACTGTACTTAGTCAGTGGATTTAGATCGTTGCCTGTTCCACCCCAAGACTGATAAATGAATGATTCGCTTCGCATTATGTGCTGTTGTCGTCTATCAAGGCCCAGCGAAGTTGTATCAACGCTTCATTATTTGGCGCTTTCATACTTTGCTACTCAGGCCAAGTCCAGTGACGATCTTTGCATAACACTACAGGCAAAGCGAAAGACGTCTGCTGTCAAACGAAAGTTTACTCAACATTAGCAAATGACAAACAAAGAACACCTTGAAATTACGGAAAATAAATGTTTCCAGAATATTTACCGGCAACTGAATACTTTATCACTTGTGAAAAACATCCCGTTGAGTCACCTGATTTTTTCAAGTCCTGAGACGATTGCTTAAATTGTCCAGCAAAGTGCGAAGATCATTTCTTCATTTAATGGGAAAAACACTGTCGCAAAAACAAAAGCGAGTAAATCTGGGGTGTATAGTAAACTGAAGAAGGATGAAATGAAAGACGGAGCTTGAGCATCCGGGGTTTATTTAGTCGATGATAGCAAACTAATATTGTCCTCTAATATAAGGGGTTATAAATAGTGTGATATGCTGTTATTCACTAACAAGAAACGTAGAATTTTTTAAAATTTCCGAAACTATTGATTGTCAAGGTCACAGGATTTCCTCATCCCCGTTTCGAATTGAAGAAATCCTCAACAACAAAAGTTAAAGGACTCCTCGCAAAAACTACAGAAAAAACGATAAAAATCTGTTAAAAATGTTCGACCTTGTTATACGTACTAAGTTCAAAAGCTATATATCTTTTAAGTATAGGTAAAATTATATAGACGTTCTCACAATAGATAGTTTGATTGTTATTATTAGGCTCTTGATTCACTGAGGGCCCGTCCACACTAACACGGATTCGGTCAAATCCGTAAACATTTTGATACGCTTAGGCCTTCCGACCACATTAGCATGCGGATCGGATTCACCGAGTCAGTATATCAGTTTGGAAATGCTGTCGAAAGTGGATAAAAACGACATATGTTTTGAGCTAGTATGGACGGTTGGATCTGCATAAAAATTGAAACGATGTCATCAACCAAACGCAAAACATAATATAAAATATTGTTCATTGGATATTGTAACTAGAGATTTGACAGTTATTTGTAAACTTACATGTAGCCAAGATTACTCGTAGAGTTTAAGTTAACATGCCTTTGGCATACAGCGAAAGTTTTGAGAGAAAAACACTTTTCACATACGTTTTAATAGGACGTTTTGAATATCTTCATTAATCATAATATGTCAATAAGATGTTACATTACAAGATATGTCATTGATGCGTGTCAACTGTGAAATCTCTAATTCCAATATCGAAAGAACAAAATCAGAAAAACGCGATTAGAAGACATTACTCGGGATTCTAATTTGTTTTATTTTTTGTTTTTTTGAAGTGGTCTCCAAGTCTTGGTCATAATAAAATTGTATACGGTGACTCCAAATAATGTAACACATTATTCTATGTCAACACGAAGAATCAAAAGGTTAACATAATTTGGAGTTATCGTTGTTGTGTATATACTACAGTTATTATAAATGACAAAGTTTCTCTCATTCCGGTTTTCCCAGATTCCGGATTTTCTCATTCCGGGTTTTCCCATTCCTCCATTCCATTCCCCGATTCCCCATTCCTTGTTTTACAGATAACCGACTGTTATGTGGAAATAGCTTTTCCTAGGACTGCATTCGACGAAATAGCTAAAACATGCGACTAAGTGAGGCGAAAAGATTTTTGTTGAAAGCGCGAGGTGACACCAGTTTCGTTTCACAAACTTTTGTTCCGAAAAGTCGTCTTTTGCATGAGCAAAGTGCTCATTATGTCTTGCAAGGCATTCATTACATCCTTCAAAGGGTAGTAAGGACCATTGGAAGCGCAAGAAAAACGGCAGTGTGGACGCGGATCAGTTGATGCGTTTTTGATTAAACGAATCCGTATTATTTTGAATCCGCGTTATTGTGGACGGGCCCTGGCACGTGAGTGACACACATGCGCAAGTGAATGCAATGATCTTTAGGAAATAACATCCAAGGAAAAGAAAAGTGGGAAGAAATTATGACTGGGGTGTATAAATCTAGTAGGAAAAGAGAAGGTGAAAATCGCATTTTTAAAATGGAGCAAAGTCATAATTTGGGGAGATATTGGGACAAAATTTGATGTATGATGAACATGAATGGTAAAAATACTAAACATAATGGGTTCTGGGTGGTCGAGGCGGTAAATAGTCATCGACAACCTGAGGCGAGGTATTTTTCTTTGGTGGCTTTAGGATAACATCACATGTCTTTCGAGTCAGCTTCCCGAGCTTACATTTTACAAATTTCTCAATGTATTTGTTAAGATAGGCCTCAGGCGCAGAACCTTGAGACAAAACCTGATAATGAAACTCTTGAATGTTGAATGAGTCATTCAGTTGTTTCTTTGCATAGTTTCTAAGCTCAACGAGTTTCTGTTGACCCAACATGTACGCTGTAGCTTGTCCGTGAAAACCCTGGTACCGAGTTATCTCCTTTTGGGCAAGGTCTGTGTCGTCCCAGGCATAGTGGGCGAAGTACCATAAGGCTTTGCTTCTGTAAAAATAAAAATAACAAAAATATTGGTCCATGTTACTGTGGTGAAAAACATGAGACATAATGTTAAATATCGATTTTTGAATCCATGTAAAGCAAGCAACACAATTATATATAATTGGTTAAACATCTATTTCAGAGAAGGTTGAAGTGAAAACGTCTTTAATGATGTTGAAGTATCACAATGAAGAAATGCGTATAGAAACGAACAAAGTTAAAATAGCTTTCGTATTTTTACTGAAAGTGGAGGATAATTTGAGGGTTGCAGTATTTGTCTATATTCCATGAGGGGGATAATTAGAGGGCTAAATGTCAAATAGAAGAAATACGTTAGTCAAAGTGCAAACCTGTTTTTCCGCTCGTATTTTATGATGCTGAAGTATCATAATATGTAAACTTAGTCAGGGGCGGATCTAGGGTATGTCAAATCAGTCACGCGACTGATGTTTACACTTCAAAAATTATTTATCAAATTTAATGATTACAATTTTTTTTGATCATTAAATTTTCGTTCTGTAATCGTTTGGATTTCATCGTCAAAATTCTGTTTTATGTATGAAAACTTATGCAAATATCACCTTAGTAAATAAATCAGAAGATAAAAACATATCTAGAATTATATTAACTGACTGACTGATAAGCGGGGTGGCTCGACTAGTTCGACCGATAACGGAGTTCAGAAACGCTAATTTAAGTCATTCCATTGGTCAATAGCCAGATCAGTGGACGATCTGGAATAATCTCGAAGGATAAGCGGGGTGACCGGACCGATAAGGGAGTCCAATTGCTATCGTGTAATCGGTTCGTTTAAATTTTTGTCTTACTGTGATTGGTTTGATCAATTTCGACTGATAGCAAACTGAACTAACATAGTCAAGCTCTGAATTGAAGGTTTCATCGTTTCATAGTAATTTTCTAAAGCGTGATAGAAACTTAACTACAATCACATGGAATTTATGGGAATCTTTTACAAATTCATATATTGACATGAATGCTGCTTTCCAAACTGTGAATTTTTTCAAGAGGGTGAAAAATTTATGGATGAATTGTAAATGCTTGGGAAAGTCATTGATGTTCAAAAGCAAGCCAACTTTGTTTTGAGTTTTCTCAGCAGAAATTTACTTCCAAAATCGTAAGTAAAGGACAACTGAAGTGTATGCATGAATGTAAAATATCAAAGTCAATTTATGGGAGTATGTGATGCAATTTATGTCAATATGGCGTATGGTAAGCAGATTGATGCTTCTAAAATTGTTATTGCCGAAGGACTTTTAGCTATGATTTCTTCAGTGTTAGGGGAATCGTGGCCGTTATATGGCAGCGAAATCCTACATTCCTTTAATTGTATTTCAATAGAAAAAAAATCTGTAGCAGTAAGGTGCCATACTATTATTATAAACAAATGTTTGGGGCTTTTCAGTCTATGATCATTGATCATTCAATCATTGGACAGTTATACTACATATTGTTTAAGATTTGAGAAAACTAAAATTGATTACATGAGAAGCTGTTTACTATAACCTGTGATTTTGAGTCTTTTCTGATCCATGCAGCTTTTTATTTTGACAATTTTACTGGAATGGTCTTAAACCTAAGTATTTCGCATAAATGAAATGTTGTCCCATGTCACATATTGTCCCCTTTTCTAGTTGAACACATCATGTAGAGATGTCAAGGTGTGTTGATCTACGGCTCATACCAGATTGTTTGCCATAAATTCAAAATGGCTATTGATGTATGAAAAGCATTTTCTATAAAGTTAAAATGTCTTCCTATGTATGCAGATAAACCTTGAAATTTGGCAAAACAGCAAAGTATTTTTCATGGTCACTAGGTAATTTTTTTGATGATCATTATAATTTCTATAATAAATTATTTCAGATTTACATTTAAACAAGCTTTGATCATATGAAAAGATATTTATCATAACCAGTAAGCACAACACATGAACCAATTTTAACATTCATGTAATTATATAATTAAAGACATGTTGGTTACATTCTGTTTGTATTTGCAAATACAATGCTACTAGTAATTGCTATATAGCACACCTTGCATATGCTTACAGAAGATAATAGTCTAGTGAAATGCCTAATAAACATTAAGGGCATTAAGCTGTCCTTAATTGCAAATTTTCTGATAATTTTTGCTTAATCTTTGGCAGAAAAAAATTTTGAGTTTTTTCTCAAAAGGTGAATTTGCTGGCACTGTATGTGGAGATGGGTAAAGGGTTACAATAAACTTGCATGGTTTGAAGTCTGAGCTTTTCTATATCTATGAACTGTCACTTGTAGTACCAAATTTCTAACTTAACTCATTACATAGAGGTTTGAATGGGGGTCTCTAGGGGGTCTATGCCTGATAACTTTGTAGAAATTTTTAAAGACAATATCTGTTTTTGAATAGCATTATTGTAAAATAAATTTTACGTTCCTAGACATGCTAATGAGCCATATATTTGGCATGATAATGAGCCTAAATATTTGGCAAAACATTCAAGTATTGTTCACTTCAGTTTTTTTTGAAAAAAACGTAAGCAAAATGTGTTGTATTTACGCAAAACGATGCCCACTAAATGCATTTTGTATTGCTCTAAAACGCTGAAAATGGCATTTTCAAGGCTCTGAAATTCAAAATTTCCCGTGGAAGAATGCCTCGGACCCCCCCAGGTACTGAGCACCTCCGACGTTTTATGACTGATGTTTGAAAACTCCTAGATCCGCCCCTGAACTTAGTAAAAAAGAGACTTTGTCGTGGTGACAAATTTGAATATCACCTTAAAAACTAAAAAAAAGGCAATTGCGATGGCGAATGGACAGAACCAAAGAAAACCACCAAACCCAAGATAAAACCGAGAAAAAAATAGCCAGAGAAAACCAAGAAAAATAAAGAGTTCTGAAAGAACTGTTTTACAATGAGAGTACTAACACGAAAGTGCTGAAAAGAACTGTTTTAGAAATTTAAGACACTTTATTCAATTCGGCAGTCAACTCGTCAGGTGTCAACGTCTGCTATCTGTTAAGGGTGAATCAGCTTGTAAATATATGATTGATTTTGACGATGACTCATCCAGCATGGGAGATGCGTCATCGTCGAAATAAAGTCAATTTAAAAATTAACTGCTTGGGTCGACAAAGGACCGGATTATTAAACTTGATAATGACTCCTTCCATTGTTTTGAGAGAAAAAGCAGACTTGAATTTGTGTAATATCTTACAAAATTTAGCATCTGAGTATGCATCAGCACAGGATTTGTTTGAAAGAAGGTGTGTGCCAATTGCCGAGTCAAACTCTATTTCGTGATGTTGTCTACACTTTCAAACTAGTAAGGCGATATTCAAATATGTAAACTTCTCTTTTTTACGATTTACTTTTAATCCTACGTCACATACCTATTCATTCCACGATAATGTAATCCAGTATCAACAATCAAACGTAGAGCTCTCCATACCTTAAAAAAACAGAACGAACTTGAACAAGCGTAATGATTGATGAAATTATTAAATGAAGTCGCTGAACAATTTGAAGACCAAATGAATTATCTATCTGAAGATGTCTTAGCAGAGACGTCATTGAGGAGATTGGGGTGGAGAGGTGAGAGATACATAACATGATTCTTTCGAACGCAGACAGATTTTGTACAGGGCGGGGATACTGGCTTAAGTCACTAGAAATTTGTACTACTCACAGCATTCTATTTCTGTAAATAACATATATTTGAAATTTGATTCTGTTTAGACTTTAAAGTGAAATCTAATATAAAACGTTATCGTCGTCAAAACTTCAAAATCTGATAAGGTTGTGCACCATTAAATAACTTTCTCTTGCGCAACAGGCAAAAGGCTCTAGGTCAGTGACTCAGTATAAAAATTTGATAGCTATAAGTAAATACAGAGATTTAATCATCACAAGCTGTAGAGTTGTTTCCTTGCTACAAATATAGTTCAACTATAGTTATAATTATCGCACTAAGCAGAATTAGTCCAGCAAATTTGTTTGTTTGATTGAAACAAGACATTTGGATTTTATGAATTCTATTAACATTACTTCTTATTTTCTGTTTTGTACCTGCCATTTTAGCATGCCAAATTTCTGCATTGGTTCTTCTTTGTAGGTGTCTGTGTCATCGGAAATGACAGGATTTTCCGAATACAAACCCCAGCCTTCGCTGAAGAATGTGTAATCGGTTATGTCATCAAGCCATTTTGGCAGACCACCATAAGGGTCTTTGAAATATTCTATATGACCTGGAATTCAAAGTTTGCTTTTTTATGCTAAGTACAGTTAGAAGCTGTTATGTGTAAGTAATGGTAGTGATGAATGAACAATGGAGAAGGAGAACAGTCTTTACACTATCTAAAATATCTAAGAAAGAAGACAACTTGTGTCAGTGCATGTAGGGATGAATGAACAAGAGAGAACTAGGACAATCTTTTTACTATCTAAAATATAGAGTATAAGAAATAAAAGTGTATCAGTTTTTTTATATAATGTTCTACCTCATTCAATAATCTTTTATAATCAGTCTCTTGACCAACACTAACACATATTACCTTATTTCTTAAATCTGAGATAATGTTAAGGCTGTTTTTTCTCTTTTGTTCATTTATCACTACCTACACTGACAAGCTTTAACTTCAGGGTTGAACTAAAAACTCACTTTGCACTTGAGTGTGGTGTCCAGGCCAAGCCTCATGCGCAGTTACGGACCACTCCGAAAACCGAGGACCATGATTTTCAAGAAAGAAAGGTAGACCAAACTTTGCTGGAAATGTACACGCCTTTGTAGTGCTCTGAAAGTACTGGGCTCCAGATGAAGGATTAAAATTAGGTTCCATTTCAATAGGACAGTTAGGTACTGTTATCCATTCACCAGTATGATAAAATAAATTAATGATTTTTGGTGCAAGCATGCTCATGACCTCTCGACATGACGTCATCCAAACTTTTAATGATTTGTAGCGTTCCGAACAAAACTTTCGAGCACTTTCCATGTCTGTACAGCGCTTGTGGGCGGTAGCATTTGATTCGATCTCAGGAAAAGGCTCCTTGTTATAATATGACGTTTGATTTGCTAGTATCTTACGAAAAGCTGCTATGGCGGCGGTTTCATCTGACAGTCCAGTGACATTTTTAGCTATTTCTACAACCTATTGCAAAGGAAAGGGGAACAAAGTTTTACAGCACTTGGTACGTTTTCTAAGGCGCAAAAAGGATTTTACGTAAATAGACAGGCAAGAAGTTTTTGAAATGATAATAAAGTTGACAATCTTTAGTCTATTTGTCCTTCATTTTCGTTCAACCAGTACTTGATGAAACCTTCCTATATAGGAGGGTCTGAAGTAATCATAGGAGAAATGAATGCAAAAATAAATAAAGGGCAAATCATAAGATAATAAGGACATTCTTAAGTTCATCTGTCCTTCATATGTAATAAACTAACACTCGATAAAGCCCTCCTATATGGGAGAAATTATTATTTTTTTTAAAATGTGTGCCTAACCAATGCTTCATTACGTTTAAGAGATAAAACCTTGTTTGAGATATTCCTTCATTATATCACAAAAGAATAAAATCTTCACCTGAGGATAGAGAACATTTAATCGTTCATGTCCGATTTCGTTTATTCTTTCAGGAGTAATGTCACTTGTAGTAAAAAAAGCCAAAATGTCTTTGTACGATTTCTTTCCATCAATAATCGTGTTTGTGATGGGAAGTCTCCTGGTAGTGCGATTATCTGTTCTCTTTCCATCGACATATATATACTTCACTGGAAGATTGGCAAGACCACTGGCATGATTTAATGGAAGGCAATGTCGTAGATGTACATTTTCCATGTATTTAACAAGATCGACTACAGGCTTGCCAATTCCTAAAACAACGTTTAATTTTAACGTCGTATGACTGATATACTAGTGTAGATATACTAGTATGTCCTGACATACTAGTGTAGTGTCTTTATCAGGAGTGATCTAATGTTGAAAGTTGAGTTCTTATACACTTTGGTCTTCTGTCTTCATTAGGAGTGATGTAATGTTAAAATTTTTTATACATTATGGCGATAAATAGTAGATACACACGTTGTTTTCATAAATAGTATTAAGATGAATTTTAACCGCCACTAGACCACATTACCAGGGGCAAAATTAAAATATCAATTGGGTGAGTGGGGCGTGACGGTGAATAATAAAATCTTCAGCTATGGCCTGCTAACATACCAAATCAGTAAGGTAGAGATGAATATATGAATATTTACTCTCCCAATTAATGTTCTAGCTTCACCCCTGCACATTTCCAAGTAATGCAGACCCAAGGAACGAGTTTAGCCTCTTTTGATGGAATTTGATCACTTTTCAAACAATATTTGGCTATCAAATACACTGACAAAATCAAAAACTTGATGACTGAGAACTATTCAAGTTTCGAATTTTTTTTTCTTTTACCTACCTTCGATTAAACTTTCTTTAACGGATTGGCTAAAATTTTTCTTGTACGTTTCCATCCATTTCTCTCGATCTTTCGTCGACAAATCTTTACTGAACTCGTCTCGAAGGTAGACATGAACAAACCACTCGTTAACCACTTCTCTGGCGTTATTTTCTCTCGAAATTTTCTTAAACATCTGTTTGAACGCGTTAATACCAGAGATACAGTTAACTTTTGAGCGAACCATTCCAGTTCGAACGCCTAGCTGCATGTTTGATCTTAAAATAAAAGATACAAATCACATTGAATTCTGCTGTGAAACAGCACTACTAGCCCACTTATGTCTTGCTTTGCAATTTTTTCCTCAGTTCAATAGCCGTAAATACAATACATTTGTGCAAAGCAATGAAACTGAGCTGGCTTGTTGGCTTCGCAATGTAACAAAGCAAATACCTTGCAAAAAGCATGACCCAAGGACAATTAAGGTTACTTTGAGACCTGATGCAAGATCTCCCCTATTCCGTTAACAAGACTGCTACCAACAAGTCACATTTATATCGGGGAAAAAATATTTCCCAATGGCCTGTGACTTTATGCAATTTTGAATATTAAAGACTGCAAGAAAATTGCGCAACATGTCCTGAAAGTTAAAAAACTAACAATGGAGGCCTGGGGCCTCCATTGGTTTGGAGGCCTGGGGCAAAATACCCCTTCTAAGGAATTCCAATTTATGCCCGTATAATTTTGGGTAAAATTTGTTTTAATGAGAATAATTTTCTTTACTTTCGCCAGCTTATGGTCCGATTATTCAACCTTTTACTTCTCAAGTTTTTTTAGTCCTTTGAGTTTTGGATGGTTTCTTTAATGTTGCAATTCGGCAACGCTTAGAGGGAAAGCTACTAGGCTAAACATTCATGAAAGGATCTAACATGTATAAAACTTAAAGGTCATATAGCTAGACTTGCTGGAGGTAAATGTGGAAGGTTTATTATCAGTGACTTGTGCAATTTGGAGATATCAAGAAATTTCTGGAGGAATCGATGGCTGTTAAAGTTGGCTCTCAGTTTGTTCTAAAAATTTAAATAATACTATCCGTTCTGCAGCGACTTATTAGTCTGAATCTCAAGCTTGCTATAACCATCGATTTGGGAGAGCATTTTCTGAAAGCAACGTGTTTTCCTAAGGGAAATGGTCCTATTGTGTTTTGGTGTTGTGAGTTTGGTTTACCTAGTTGACGCAGTTGACGTATTTGAGAAAAAAGAAAATAAAACCTGGTTTGTTAAATTCGAAGGAAACAAAACAAACTGTTTGTCTGTTTAGCTGTGATCTATTTGTTTCAATACATTAATTATTTATTAATCAATTTTATCATTCGTCAATTGATCAATTGACTTATTTATACAGATAATTAACTATTTAACATTCAAGTTCACCGTATCTGAAAATATATATACAAATTTTACCTTAAAAACAAATGTCATTGATCATTGCAATAGTTTATTTGAATAGTTTATTCAAACGTTACTTGAGCCTGGAAGGTATAAATGTTTGTCGACAAAAAATATGAAGAATTTTCCCAAGTTATAGCTAACATTTAGACGATATGTTGGACATTTATTTGTACTTTTGTCGTAAGGGTAGAACTTCAGCAATGGCTCCACGTCTTGGACAGTTCATCGAAGGACGATATGTCCATGAGTCACTTCTCTCAATATTAAAACACTCAACTGATTTAAGAAATTTACCTTCCTCATTCTGACCCCCCATCACGACGATTGTATCTCCTGTAATAATAGCACAACACTCCCATCTTTTTCCAACATTGATGGTAAGGCTGTGATTTTTCGGTCTTACTATCGTACATCTTGACGTCGTTTAAGAATCTCCCATGACCAGTGTGACCGCCAAGAAGGACAACCTGATCTCTCCATGTAACTGTTGACATTCCAGTCATTGAATGAGGTAATGGAGGCATTTTCTTAAATGTGAGCGTCATTGGATCAAACTCAATTACACTGGACAAAGTATTGCCATCTTTTCCACATCCACCAAAAATAAGAACTTTATCGTCAACAATCCCAGCTCCAAAGTTCCTTCGTGGTTCAGGCATATGACACAACTCTTTAAAAAAAATCAGACGCGGCATCGTAAATCTGCACTTTACAGATCAGAGAGGATGTTGCCTTGTTATCGAAGTCGTACTCTCCATTGCAATTAACCTGAGTCAATCATCTCGATTGACTTGCAACCAACAACAAATATACTAGCGCCATAAATGAACGCTGCAGCCCGCAAACGATTGTTTTCCATTACTGAAATCTCAAACCATTTCTTGTCCTTCCAGGAATATATTTCTGTTCTTTTCTGGGAATCATTCGGCAAACCGCCAGCAATCAAAATATTTCCTTTTACTTCGTTCGTCACATCGTAAATTTTTGACAACTCGATTTTTTCTTTCTCGTCATTTTCTTTGGTGGAAAGAGCTGAGCACAGAACATTTTCGTTTCCACCTTCGCCATTTATTTTCTAAAATTTGTATGCCTTTGACGTTTGATCATGGCGGAATTGAAACCAAATACGCTTTTCACTTAATAGGGAAAGACAATGGTAAAAACTCCAGCCTTCAGGCATACATCAACAAAATGAAATTGGTAGATTACAGCACAGTTTGTGCAGTAGACTATTAAGCAATAATACTTCATTGAGTATTGATTCAAAGTTTCATGGACCGACAATATGATACAATGCTGAAGATATTTGTTGAAACTTGATAGTTCTGCTCCATTTAAATAAACTGCCTCCTACGTATTGAATGATATTAAGTATGCTGATTTCGTGAAATAAAATGAACTGTGACTTATCCTAATTGCTCATGGCTTTTAAAACACAAATCAATAATTTGTTCAACGCACGCAAAGACTAATACACCAAAGCGACAAATGCAAGTCGAAGACTAATAATCTTTTGGTTACGAATTAATTACTTCTGCATCACTTTGTTGGCTTTGGTAAATTCTCTTCACAGTTCGTGATTTATTACTAAAGATTAATAAATTAAGTTGATTTCGAAAGATCGAAATGCTTTCGGCTTCCCGGTGCCGGAAGTCTCAAGTTTTTCTCCAAAATCGTCAGTTTTTGGTGCGGAAAGTCTCAAGTTTTTCCTCGAAAATCTTTAGTTTTTTTAATGGCACAAGTCGAAATCTTCAATTGCATGGTCTTCTAATGTTGGCGAGCCTGGTAAAACTCTGCTTTTTCATTAAAGTTCTTAACAATTCTAACATGCATGGTTATATGCGAGTGTTCTAACTGTCGCGGGCAGAAAACACTTATATGACTTGCTCAAAAACTTTTGCCTTCCTGTCTTACCTGATAGAGTGGCAAACTAGCATATCCGGGAGTGTATCGAACTGTCGCGGGTCGCATAATAAAGACGCGTTAAATTCTCAGGAATTCTTTATGTCTATGTATGCCCACTTGAATGTGCTCTATAAATCAACGTTCTCTGCTGTCAAAATATGTCACCGGTGCTTTGGATATTTAAGATGTGTTTTGTTTTACCTATCCAAATATACAAAACGATGCGTTGTCAATAAGAGAGGAATTATTATTATAAAACATATTATTGCTAAGTAAAAGAAACTTGCCAATCGTGCGCAAGGAAAAGTGGAAGCGGTTTTACTTATATAATCTATCCATAGCTTATGAAATATGATCATAAACGAAATGTGTTTACAACTTTAAGTGGATGTACGGAGTTTTCAACGACAATGTCCTCAAACCTTGCAGCCTCTAATTATAGAATTTACATACTGGTTACATTGTGTATATCGTAAGTATAACTTACACTTTACGTCTGTTGGAAATTTGCGTTTCCCTTATAACTACCAGTAATTCAATTTCTAATGCATGCAAATTTTTACATTTGGCAATGCTTTTCATGATCGATGTTTTAATTCTGGGTGTCATGTTAACAACATATCTAGAGTTACCATAACTTAGTAAAAGCACTATTAATATTGCGCATTTAATGAATACGACAAGTTTTTTTAAATAAACATGTTTCAACATCTCATGATGCCATTTTAGTATATAGTTGTACACGAGTAATTCCTTGAATTGTTGACTGTTGTTAAGCGCACAACTATATGCACGATTATAGCAATAAAGTACTTTGAAGTTTAATCCAACACATGTATATTTGGATAGATAAAACAAACACAAATCTTAAATATCCAAAGTACCGTTGACATATTTTAATGTTGACAGCAGAGAACGTTGATTCATAGAGCACATTCAAGTGGGCATACATAGACATAAAGAATTCCTGAGAATTTAACATCGACTTCTTTCAAACTTTTCCATGCAAAAGAGTGTTTTTATTCCGCGACTTTACCCGCGACACGCGTCTTTTTATCCGCGACCCGCGACAGTTCGATACACTCTCGGACGTGCTAGTTTGCCACTCTATCAGGTAAGAAAGGAAGGCAAAAGTTTTTGAACAAGTCATACTTCTGATGTAGTGTTATAGTCCGTTTCATAAACACCGGAATATTCATTCTCAATTGTACCGTGATTTGAGTGTATTTCAAAACCATTGGCAGTACGTTTTTAAATCCCATCTAAGCTACATTTTTCTCAAGCTGTATCCTCTATGTTGAAGTAAAGTGACTACTTGTTACGAACCGTTCACAAGATCCGATTTGTTGGATCGTATAAAAACGGATCATGTGAACACATATAAAATGAGCCTCCGACAGTCGGACAGTCAGTCAGAAAAATTGGATGGAAATAGAACTTGGTCTTTTTTCATCCGATAAGATCAGAGGAAGCCAACCAGCCCCAGACTTTGCACTCTCCATACTTCCAAATTTGATTAGGCGTAAAAAATTACATAAAAAAGACTTGCAAACAAGAACAAAAATACGCAAAATATATCGATAAATGTACTGGAAAACATAAATCTCTGCCACCACGACTGGAAATATCTAAACGAATATAAATATCAACATAATTGTCGGACCGTCTGAACAAGAAACCGAAAGTCGAAACCGAAACAAACAGATCCGACAATCGGATCCTGTGAACGGGCCTTTGGTGTTTTATATATGAACGAGTCTCCCGATTGGTTCCATCTGACAATGACAATGAACATTACCTATTCGCTTTTTAGATACAAAACTTCAATACCATATTGTACTTTATTGTACTCCGAACTAATCGTAAGCCCGATTTCATAAGTTAATACACCATTTAGGCGTTTTGTGTTATTTTGTGAGAATTTTAAAATCATACAAGACTTACTTGAATTGCATAATAGAATGCCTGTTCGATAAAATTTTCTCTATAATTTCCTTAGCGTCTTCAAAACTTTGTGGTGTAACACGGCTTCCGTAAGAGACGATGTGGTAAGGAATTGAACAGATTGCTTGCCAACAAAAATGGTTTGGACCCATCATCCAATCTGCATTATAAAAGTTTTCGTTGTAAGGAGCACCAAAAATCGTTTTCAGAAAGTGCTTTACCTGAAAGGAGTGTCATAAAATGGCTTGTTTTATACAAAAGCTAAACCTTGCTGTCAAGATTGTGAGGTAAGTATTTATTTTGCCCAACAAAAGAGCATGGCAAAAGAGTACGCATGTTATCTACAATACATGGTTGCCTCGAGATCTTATGTTATCACAGGGATTTTTACTGACGTATTTCCCTCAATCTTAGGGATGAGGTTTAGTTCTAAATATTCCTCATCAATATTAAAACAATACGCCTTGTTTTTACATCTTATTTTATATTTTGGTCATGTAGAAATTACTTTAGCTTGCATCTTAACTTTTCGACGGCTGAATAATTCTGCTAAATGAAAATGGTTAATTGCACAATGTCTTCCGCAAGTCCTTTGAAACCACGACACTTTGTGGGCAATTTTACCAAATCGAATATCGTTTTGCTCGACTGTTGTTACATCGTTAATTTTTCAGAATCAGAGACAAGGTAAATCTTTTGACCTATAGTTCAAATCGACAAACTTACGTTATTACAAGCCTTAGTGCCTTACAATTAATGTCGTTGAGTGGTAACAGAAATCGTCCTTCCTTAGGGTCAGAAAATTTCTTGTCACTTACTTGGGAGAACCAATGATGAACCATCAATAACTTCAACAATAATGAATATTTGCAAAGCAAATTTAAAACAGATTCACTGAAGCAGTTCAAAAATAAAATTCACAATTCAAAAGCTACATGAATTTCTTTATTTCATCACTAACCATAAACAATGTACGCTACAAACAACATCATTATGATTGTCAATATTTGAATGAACGAGCTCAAAATTCGATAAAATTATTATCAAACGGAAGAGTCTAATGCATTGATTATTCCCTCTGCAACCATGTTATTACACAGTAAACCCATGATTTCAGTGTATTAAATATTCGTTTAAGCCTCGAGAGGTTTAGAAAAAGCCCTCGAACTTTTACTAAGCCTCCCTCGGTTTGCAGGACAAAGAATTAATCACTAATACCCTGACAGCATGCGTTTACTTATAATGAAATCGTTTTTGTATAAGATATTATGGACAGAGGCGTAATCTCAAAAAGGGATGGGATTGGACTTTTTCAACCTCAACACCACAATTTACACTCTTGGTTTTAAAGCCAAGGCTACAATGAACTACTGTATATTGTGATAATTAAATGCGATTATTCAGGAGTTGGGGCGAGGGGAAATAATACCTGCTCCAAAGCTTTAACTTCGCGAGGGGTCATTTTATTTTCATCGATGTTTTTTGCGTTGATTTCATCTAAAAGTTTTAATACAGCATCCGTTTTTTCCTTAAGATATTCTGGAGTTGCGTTGTAAGGAAGATGTCTGTAGAAGTAAACCACAAAATATAAATATGACGCTTGAACTGAACGCACAATATCTGTTACATATGGATAAAGGGGTGTAACATTTGAGTACAGAGTTTAAGCACATGGATATATGGGTGTAACATCTGGATAAAGAGGTGTAAAATCTGGGTAGAGAGGTATAACATCTAGGTAGAGAGGTTAGATATCTGGATAGAGGTATGTGGCACATGGGTATAGGGGTGTAACATCTAGAGAGAGGGATAGAGAGGTGTAACATATGGATGTAACATCAGATGGACAGGGAGAGGTAACATTTGGGTGGAACATGAGAGATAAAGATATCTGGGAGGGGAAGTGTGGAAGTAGGAGTGACAGATGGATGTGTAACATCTGAGTGAAACAACTGGGTAAGTAACAAGTGCGTGACCATTGTCAACTTTCTTGACAAAGTTTATAGCGATACAATATAAAAAATTTATGACAGTTTGTTATACATGCATTGTCAACACAGCATCTAAAGACAAACACCATGCCATTAAAGTATAGCACATGAGATATATATTGATGGCAGCCCTATCCGAAGGAGTTAAAGGCCAAAAGAGATTTTCGATAAATTTGAATTGTAAACAAGACAAATCTTTTGTTTAATTCAACTGGCAAGATGGCGGCCGTATCGTAACAAGCAACTAAACTATATGTTGTTATCTGTTGTTGAATTTCGATGGTTCAAGGAGAAGTTGGGAATTAGGAGATGTTGGGAAAAACAAATTAACAACAAAGCCAATTCTGGCTTACAACCAGTGACTAACGAGTAACAGCATGAACGAAACAAACCTGCGTTTCAGTTCGTCGGTTCGTATCTGAGGTTCCCAAGTAAGCGTGTGTGGATTATACTTGAAATATGTATCTTGAACCCTTTGTAAGAAATTTTGTAATTTGATGCGTTGAGCTTCATCAGAATAAACGTATATGCTCTTAGTTGAATCTAAAGAAAAAACACTTGAAGGTAAAAATGCCAAATATTTCGGTGGGAATACACAATACCATGATGTTTATTAGGAGTATACAGGATAATACAGTAAGATACATTTGTTATTAACACGCTACCATGTTTTATATTATAGGTGTATTGCGCTGTAGGATACATTTAGCGTTAAGCTTGTTTTCCACTAGCCACGTATCGTAACGTATCGTAGCAAAACGTAACATGGCGCATGCGTGCTTATAAATTTGATGGTCAATATGCACAAGCACGCATGCGCCATGTTACGTTTTGCTACGATACGTTACGATACGTGGCTAGTGGAAAACAGGCTTTAGCGTCAATCCGAAATAACTTGGGGGGGGACCATATTCATATATTCTGCTATGCCTAGGTAAAACTTTAGAATCCAAATGAATAGGTAACGAAAGTTTTATTATCATTTGCCGTCAACAAAGTGTATTGGCAAATTTGATTAATATCTGCAGTTGTCAGCACCTCATTAAAACGACTTTTTTGTTGACGTTAAATAAAACGGCGAGGCGAAATGCGATTTCTTATCGCAGATAAATGGTCAAATTTAAGCAATACAACGCGAAATTACATTGTTGCTTTGCTTTTACACTGTATTTTTCAAATGGTTTGCTACATTTAAACAATTTCATTGGGATGGAACTCGAAGTCAAAAACCTCAAAACAAATTTTGTCAGGTTTAAAACGTTTAACGGGTTGCTTTGTGAGAAACATTTGCCTTAACTTACGTATACTTAACACACATAGTTAAAACAAACAAATATTATCTAAGACTGAAAGCTCTAAAGAAATGCTTAGAAACAGTTAAACAAACATTTCCACAACAGCCACCGATGTACGCGAATCTTTCACCTCCCTATATTTAGCATTTCTAATCGCCAAAAACCATATTTTATTAGAGTCATATGAATGAAATATCAGGTCTGAAAGACTGTGCGAACTTGTGATTTGTGAAAAGTGTTTCTCCATTGGGTTTTAACACTCATGCTAATTACGATTCTGCTAAATATTTGTAAACTATTCAACTACGTACACGGACACGGTACAATTCACTTTAAATACTAGAAGAACAATTGCCACTAGATAGCATTGTTGAAAAATAACTAGAGTGTTTAAATAACAAGCCCTTGATAACCGAGCTCGAGGTCTTTACGGAGAAATATCGGACCAAAGTTTTTTTTGTACAGAAAGCGAGGTTATTAAAGAGTCTATTATATGGCATTATTTGATCTGAAACGAAGCTTGCTTTTATTCTCGTCCTTGCTGTTTTTGACCGGTTGGCTTTCACTTTTCTAGTTTTCGTCCATAAAAAATAAATCTTTTCAATTTGTATTGTCTGGATAGTTGAACTGTTTTCCAAGTGCTTTTCCTTCGAATCACATTCGTAAATGGTTTTTGTTTCGTTTTTCATGCGTTTTGCTGTTTGCTTTGCGATGTTTGTTTACATTTGACTGTAAAATTACGCGTTTTGGACCGTGGTCGATTACAGAAAAATAATGGACAAGCAAAAACGTTTCTGAGCCAATCAAAGCGTGCCATTCTACCGGATGGGACGCTTGCTATATAATAATACAGATTAATGAATTGATAACCTATCTATTCGTAAAATATTTTCTGCTAAGTGCATATATTGCAAATCTTTGTCTGTATGGCACAAAAGTTTTCTTCTCCTGGTGAATTAAACACATCTTTAACGGTTCTAAACGCAAAACATGCAGAGTTATAATGCAGGAATTATAGAAAGTGATTAGTCATCGAAATTCTAACAATTGGCAAATATCCTAGGATTCTTATTTAATACATCCTGTAGATATGAGTATGTTAGTTTAAGCATGAAGGATCGTCATAATAAAATAAACTATTTTTTATTTGGTCCTAATTTGCAATCCGCTTTCGAGGTCTTTGTTTATAATAACAACAATTAATAATGAACAAAAACTCAAAATTGAACTACATGAAATCATCAAACCTTTCAGAAATTTCAATATTTAACGTCAAGCTCTTTCATTAAGTCCGTTGTCGGGCAGTGCACCATAAAACCTGGTTTCCACTATTAACACGACAAACGCGACATGGATTAATTTTAATCGCGATAATCCCATATGAGAATGTGGTAATAATCGCAATAAACGACGACTAACAATCGCGACAAACGCGATAAAATATCAAAAATTTTTGATATTTATTCGCATTAATCGCCAAAATGACGTCATCTTAAATGAAAATTTAGGAATTTAAGATGGCGAAGCCAAAACGTTGTTTTCTTTTCTTCGATGCCTTTTAACGGTGTCTTTGTCGCCTCCATAAAACATAAGCTACTGTAATTACTACCAGATCGTATTTTTTTACTGACGCCATTTCACAAATAATCGCCATCCGACATAATGTAAACAACACGTTTAATCGCACAACCATTGCGAATAAAAGTTATCGCTATCGCTTTTATCGTGATAAACCAATAGTAGAAACCAGGCTTAATGGTCGAGATTTGCAACACTTTATAATTGTTTACAAATAGCACAATGAGGCAAACATTAGCTAGAACGTTGAGACAGTTAAAATATTTCAAATGTAATTTAAAGAAACCTTTAATCCTTAAAGCATCCAAAGCATGTATTATTGATGTGAAATTAGTAAACTTCTGTTGTCGAAGGCTCTTATTTTAAAGTGATGACTATCTTTGTGATGACACTCAGCTAATTAGTTAAAAATATTATATTTCGAGTTTGTTTGTGAAATTGTCGTGCGTGAAATAAGTTGCATGTAAACAACACAAGAAAGGCAATTCTACATTTGATTTCAAAAGGCTTTTACAGCTTAATCCAAACCATACAGTTCCTTAAAATTGGTATAAATCTTTAATGAACTGTTTCGACGGTTTAACATTTTGATTTCCTAATTCAATTAAGACGCTCAAACCACACATTTTTTTAGTGGAACTAATTTAAAAAATTCAATTGGGAATTTGCTTTCATGAAGAAGTAACACATAAAATAATCGCGGAAGGGTTGACATTTCAGTTAGTTAAAAAATTCCCAAGTTTTTTTTATTTCTTTCCTTTTTACCTAAAAACTAAACGTTTCTCCTGAAGATTATACTTCTACGCTATAGTTTCAAAAACGATAGCGTAAGACCACAAGTAATGTGTTCCTCTCTCGCGCATACAAAATCAACAGGATGTATTTTTTTCTAATTAGTGTAGTAGTGGCGTTCATGCATTTAGACTCTCACGCTTTATCCCATCTCATCAAACATAACCACATACAATGTTTCTCATGCTGACATCCTATCCTTAAAAATAAACTTCTTCATTCATCTATGGTCAAGCCTGACAATTTCATGGATATTATCTAAAATACGTGCAATTAACGCGACTATGCTATTTCCGCTAGTCGATTTGTTTATAATGAAAATTGCAACAAAGAACGACTTATGCTTAGAAAGTAAATCTGCCTCGGCGTTGAGTTGTCTTGCCATTTTTCTATTACATCTACTAATTACAACATCCACATTGTCACTATAGATTGAATTGTATAATCGCTTTAGATTTCACAACAATTAATGCAACTTAAGAATTAAGCGCCCCCATAAAGAGTTGACAAACCACACAGTACTGGAAGATTATTTGTTTCAATAGAAGCAATAATCGTTTCCTCACCCATTGCCGCAAGCAAACGCACAAACAATTGATGAATCCATTCATCGACATCAATCTAAAATCGTTGTTACCAATCATAACAATCGCCTATTTATATCAATTGAACCATTCAGAAATAAAGCGGCGCTAAAACAAATTTCCCCACTTGCTAGAATCGTCGCCCACAACTCATGGTGGCCTCAAGCAGGTATTTTCATGACAATGCAAACCTTCAAACAACTAATAAACTATACGATTGAGAAAAGTAAGCAACGAACAAAGATAACATTGTATATGCACCAATAATTACAAACCGACCTTCATTTTCTGAATTTGAAACATCCTTCGCAGATTTTGTCACCAATAAAGCCATGAGCACTATGCAGATTATAAACAAGATAACAGCAACAGAAACAGAAATAAGGAGTCGCAGATTTTTCTTTAAACTCCGAAAAGCGAAAGTTTTTTCTTTTAAATCTCCAGTCAGTTTCGTCTCAGACAAGCCACGAGCGTGCTTCGATCCTTTCATTTCAAATTCCAACTCGGTAGCGTCGTTTTCTGCAGCCATTGCTTTGTTAGTTGTTCCTATCGCGATAAGAGGGAGTTTATTACTTCATTAACAATTCATCCAAATGACCTTTTCAACTTTATTCGAGGCTTAGAGGGCTGGCCTGTAATTTGATAACGTAAAATCCAAAATGTTTCTAAATCTAAGGAAGTGTTTTAAACGAAGAAGCCACACGAATTATATTTGTTTAGCCATAAAAGCACTCAACTGAGACAAAAAGACGTAATGTATACAATTTAAAGGAAAACTTACGCAGCAAATTCAAACGCGCCACTTTTTCCGACAAAACACAACGTGCAACTATTTTGATTATGTGAAAGTAATCCAAAATGAAACTGGCGTCAAATAGACGTTGCAATTTCCTTTCGATAAATTGAAATACAACATCGAAAGAATATTTGAGTCATTAAAGAATTTGCTATAAATGCTACATAAATGAAAACTTGGCGAATGGCGGGAAACATGATTCTTAACGAAATTTGTCATTTAACCACATTAAATAGCAGCGGATTTGAGTTTTGCAAAAAGTAATCGAAGGTCTAATGGCTTTTCTTAGTTAAAAAGCATTTGGTATTTTATAAGCTTGTACTATTAATGTTGCATTTTATTTAGCAACTCACCGCGAGCAAGAAAACTTCCTTATGTAAACAAACTTTCTACAATTTACCTTCTTCCTTTTAAGATGAACGAGCAAATACGAAAAAGTCAATCAGACAATAACGATGAACAGTAACTACTTTAATAACTCCTCTAATCTACTCTAATCGGACTAAGGAGTTATTAAATAATAGAATTATTTAATAACTCCTTAGTACGATTATTTCTATAGCGTAGTAGCTAAGTACGTCATGGTTTTTTGAACCAATCATAACCGCCTACCATATATATGGGCACTGAACCAGATGAAGTTGACTTGATAGCGTTATCGTCATATCATTAGCCAAGCAGGTTGCATCTGGGTCGCATGATCTGAGCATAATAAAGTAATGTCAAGTCTAGGTATCAAAAGGAAGAGACATTCCGAATTTTGAATAGCATCACAAAGCCAATTTTAAAGCAACGTATTTCTTCTAAAATTTCTCTTGCTAAAGAGGAATTTTAGAAGCAAATTTTATACATCAAATAAATGTAAATCGAAACCACGACAGTTGTTCACAAATGACGAATGTTAACTGGCCGAAGAGGGATGTTAGCTAAAAGTGATGATGTCATCCAAGAAATGTGTTGATGTCATCCAAGGGATTTTTCTCTGCATGCATCTCTCTCCTATGTTAATTGCTCTCCTATGTTAAAACGTTATCAATGATAAAATATTAATGACCAACAAAGTTTTGACTAGAGCCATAGAAATAGTCCAAGAATTGTCTTTTAACTTCTCTTTATTTTACTTCCTAACTTCCTTATCATATATCCATTTGACACCGCCTCTTTTAGTAGTAATTTAACACTCAATTGTAATAAATATATCTTGTCTTAACATCCTATTTATTAATTGTCTGAAGATGTCTTGAGTAAAGACGAAACGTCACAATAAATTCAATTTTACAATTTTTTGGTCTATTTCTATGGCTCTAATGAAAACTTATGTTGGGCATTGATTTTTATTACACGAATTCGATTTCCGCTGGGCAAGTCTCTCGCTACAATGATAAAAGAGTTCTTTCTATATTAATACTCCTCGGCATTTTCGAAGCATTCCTTTTGAAATAGTGTATCCTGTAGAAACTAGAATCAACGATGAATGCTCTTGACAAACAAGTAAAGATTTTAATGCCAAATTTGCTATCAAAACTAGGGAGCACGCTACTGAAAACTATAATTTGAGAAATAAATATTTATGTCTAAATATTCTGAAGTAAATATTGTCCATCTATGGGCAAACTTACCTATAAACGTATGCCTTATGCCGTGTAATAAATATGAATACTTTACGTATACCACAACAGTTAAAAAAAACTCCTCGAAAAAACTATTGGGGAAACGAAAAAACAACTTTTTCACAAACCTTGGCAAATGGAAGAAAAACAACCTCTACTCACGTGATTATAGATCTCTTAAAAATTGTCAATTCTTGTCATATATATATATCAAATGCAATGAATTTCGATGGAGCTCTCAATGACCCTAACCCGTGTTATCACTCTGACAACAAAGAATATTGATTATGCATTTGCGCGTTTGTGTTTGTGTGACGATAACAGAATGTAAAAGGCGAAAGACGAAGGGAATGGTAAGAAATTATGACTAAGAGTACAAAGCTAGTCACTATGCGGAGGTAGAAGGTGATAGAATATAAATGCATAACGTACATGAATGGTAAAAATACTAAATATAATGAGTTCTAGGTGGTTGGGGCGATTCATAATCATCGACGACCTGGGGCGAGTTACTTTTCTTTGGTGGTTTTAGGATAACATCACATGTCTTGCCAGTCAGCTTCCCAAGCTTACACTGCACAAATTTTTTAACATGTTTGTTAAGATATGCCTCAGGCGCAGAACCTTGAGACAAAACCTGATAATGAAACTCTTGAATCTTGAATGTATCATTCAGTTGTTTCTTTGCATAGTTTCTAAGCTCAACGAGTTTCTGCTGACCCAACATGTACGCTGTAGCTTGTCCGGGAGAACCCTGGTACCGAGTTATCTCCTTTCGAGCAAGATCTGTCTCGTCCCAGGCATAGTGCGCGAAGTACCATAAGGCTTTGCTTCTGGGAAGTCCAAATAATAAAACTATTATTCATAGTTAAACGTTTGTGGTGGATAAAAATGAGTCTATGACTTAAAAGTATGCAATTGTAAAGCATGTATTACAATTCAAAATAATAGGCTAAACATCCATGTATCGTATTTTCTCCATTTGTCCCCCTGAAGGTTTTATTTCACTGGAATCGTTTCTATTATTGTCTTGGTACGCTACACTGGGGCCTAAATAGATTTTCACGCCAAAGTGCAAATGCGATTCTGGTTTCAATATTAATTTCTAATCATTAAAATACCTAATTCAGTAAGTACAAAAGTGCATTTTAAAATGAAAACCTAAACACATTTGATTTGTTTGAAATTTTGATACAAAGGAAGTGATTATTTTGATCTTTACATGTAACTTTCAGACAAAAATACAAACGCCTAAATCAATGAATAGCATTCCTATTTTGTTACAATTTCACAGCGAGATTGATTTCCCGTTGAGTTTTAATTTACTGAGAGTGGGAGATAAAAAGATGGTCGGAGTTTTTTACGGCCTTTCGTGTGGGAAATTATTATGATGTAAAAAAAGGCTGGAGATGAATAGAGGAATATAGATACGTTAGTCAAAGTGAACACATTCTTTCCTAATCCAATTTCAGTCTCTCCAACTTCTCTCTATTAGTCTAACTTGATTTTCTAGTATACTCGGGATTTTGCAATTTTTTTCACTTTATAGCAAGTGCACGTGCAGAAAACATCAATGCCATGTAATACATGAAGAGAGTCCATAACCGCTACGTCACATACCTATTCATTATAAAAGGCATGGGGAGAGCATAACTGCCTCGTCACATACCTAATCATTATCTAAAGCATAGGAAGAGTATAACTGCTACGTCACATACCTAATCATTATCTAAAGCATGGGAAGAGTATAACTGCTACGTCACATACCTATTCATCATCAAAGGCATGGGGGAGTATAACTGCCACGTCATATACCTATTCATTATCTAAGGCATGGGAGAGTATAACTGCTACGTCACATACCTATTCATTCCACGATAATGTAATCCAGTATCAACAATCAAACGTAGAGCTCTCCATACCTTTAAATGAAAATAATAATTGATAAAATTGTCATATTAAATTGTTTAATGTACACCCAACAAAAATTGATGGGAATTATTTCTAGACAAAAAACACAAACCTACACACATATGCTAGTTGATTTAAACATTTAGGAAGCACGGTTCGAATGGGATTTTTTGATTTTCAGACTATTTCTTACAAAATAACTAATGATATCCAAGGATACTGCAATGTTTTCAACAGCTTGTATATTCAGGCAACCTTATATATATTTTGCTTGCAGTTTCCATTGGTATATACCACTTCCACGATATATCTCTCTCGTAAATGGCTTCATGTATCATGAGCAAACCATGGCCTTCATGACAAATAAAGATCATTCTACTTTCCTACACAATTGCAATGCTATTCATTATGAAAAGCGCTACAAATATCATGAAGTAGATCATCATTCTCATACATCAATTTATTTGTGTAGCTTAATGTGATTAGTTTCTTAGTAGTTTAATGTAATCAGTTTAGTAGTAGTTTAATGTAATCAGTTTAGTAATAGTTTAATGTAATCAGTTTGGTAGGACCTTTGTCATACTAATCGCACGACACATAACGATAGTGTGGAACGTTGCCTGGCAACATATAGCTTGTTTTAACGAGTACAACTGTGACTCACCCAGAATCTATTATTTTGTTTTGTACCTGCCATTTTAGCATGCCAAACTTTTGCATCGGCTCTTCTTCGTAGGTGTCGGTGTCCTCGGCAATGACGGGGTTTTCCGAATACAAACCCCAGCCTTCGGTAAAGAATGTGTAATAGGTTCTATCGTCCAACCATTTCGGCAGACCACCGTAAGGGTCTTTGAAATATTCTATATGACCTTAAAATAAAAGTCTCCTTTCTTGAGCTCAGAGCAAAAATAACTATTTAACTTGACGTTTTCTTTTGTTTATTCATCACTACCTACATCAACACACGTTATATTATTTCTTGTAAAGATTGTTGTCGTTCTCTGTTGTTCATTTATTACTACCTACACTGACACACGTTATCTTATTTCTTATCTATTTAAAATACTGTAGAGACTGTTCTAGCTTTCTGTTAATCATTCATCACTTGCTACGTTCACACACGTTATCTTGATTGTTATACATTTTAGACGATGCAAAAACTATTCCCGTTCTCTGTTGTTGATTAACACCTATACTCAGACTAACATGCATACGCTACTTTCTGGCCACACAAGAAACTAAACTAGATTAATACATGGAAAACCCACTTTGTATTTGAGTGTGGTGTCCAGGCCACGACTCGTGCGCTGTTACGGACCACTCCGAAAACCGAGGACCATGATTTTCTAGAAAGAAAGGTAGACCAAACTTTGCAGGAGTTGTACACGACTTAGCAGTGCGTCGGAAGAACTGCGCTCCTGCCGAAGGATTAAAACTAGGCTCCATTTCAATAGGGCAGTTCGGAACTGTTATCCATTCACCAGTATGATAAAACAAATTGATAATTTTTGGTGCTAGCATGCTCATGACCTTTCGACAGGACGCTATCCAAGCCTTCAATGACTTGTAGCGTTCGGGACAAAACTTTCGAGCACTTTCGATGTCTGTGCAGCGTTGGTGGGCGGTAGCATTTGATTCAATCTCGGAAAAAGGCTTCTTGTTGTAATATGTCGTTTGATTTGCCAGTATCTTACGAAAAGCTGTTATGGCGGCGGTTTCATTTGACAGTCCCGTGACATTTTTAGCGATTTCTACGACCTATAACAAACAATTTTGTAGGGAGCCAAAGCATAATTTGACAAGGATTTTACGAAAACAGACAGGAAAGAACTGATATGATAATAAAGACATTTTTTAATTTATTTGTCCTTCAGATTCGTTCAAATAGGACTTGATGAAACATTCCTATGTAGGAGAGTTTAATATAATTTAAAAATGAGTGCATAACAAAGATTTCTTTACGTTTAAGAGATAAAACCTTTCTTGAGATATTCCTTTATTAAATCACAGGAAAAAACTTTACCTGAGGATAGAGGACATTCAATCGTTCATGTCCGATTTCGTTTACTCTTTCAGGAGTAATGTCACTCGTAGTAAAAAAAGCCAAAATGTCTTTGTACGATTTCTTTCCATCAATAATCGTGTTTGTGATAGGAAATCTCCTGGTAGTGCGATTATCTGTTCTCTTTCCATCGACATATATATACTTCACTGGAAGATTGGCAAGACCACTGGCATGATTTAATGGAAGGCAATGTCGTAGATGTACATTTTCCATGTATTTAACAAGATCGACTACAGGCTTGCCAATTCCAAAAACAATGTTTATTTTAGAAAGTTTAAATTTCTGAATTGCTTTATAAAATGTCTTTATGAAGAGTGACTCAATTTTGATACTTGAGTTCTTGTCTTGGTATTTTCCTAAAAAGTGATCTTATATTGAATCTTCAAATACTCCAATCCAGTGCCTTTATCACAAGTGATCTTATGTTGAAACTTGAGTTCTTATACACCATATACTCCAGTCTAGAGTCTTCCTCAGGAGTGCATGATCTGATGCTGAAACTTGAGTCCTTATGAACTCCAATCTAGTGTCTTCATCAGGAGTGAAACTTGAGTCCTTATGAGCTCCAGTCTAGTGTCTTCATCAGGAGTGATCTGATGTTGAAACTTGAGTCCTTATGAACTCCAGTCTAGTGTCTTCATCAGGAATGATCTGATGTTGAAACTTGAGTCCTTATGAACTCCAGTCTAGTGTCTTCATCAGGAGTGATCTGATGTTGAAACTTGTGTTCTTATATACTCCAGTCTAGTGTCTTCATCAGGAGTGATCTGATGTTGAAACTTGTGTTCTTATATACTCCAGTCTAGTGTCTTCATCAGGAGTGATCTGATGTTGAAAATTTTGTGCTTATATATTCCAGTCTAGTGTATTTACCAAGAGTGATCTGAAGTTTGGAAGCTCAGTCCTTATGTATTCCAGTCAAGTGTCTTCAACAAGAGTGATCTGATGTTAAAACTTGAGTCCTGATATACCATATACTCTAGTCTAGTAACTTCACTAAAAGGGCCATGATCTTAAAACTTTCCTAGGTCTATCGACTAACAAGGCTTTGAAGTTTTTTTTTGACTCTGCTCATTACCTTCAATCAAACTTTCTTTAACTGACTGGGTAAAATTTTTCTTGTATGTTACCATCCATTTCTCTCGATCTTTCGTCGACAAATTCTTGATGAACTTTTCTTTAGTGTACACATCTACAAACCACTCGTTCACCACTTCACTAGCGTTATTTTTACTTGAAATTTTCTTGAAAATCTGTTTAAACGCGTTGATGCCGGCGATACAGTTGAATTTGGAGCGAACCATTCCAGTTCGAACGCCTAGCTGCATGTTTGATCTTAAAATACAAATTGTATACTTTCCTGTGAATGTTATTTTTAAATTAAAAAGGTTAACGTGCAGCAAGCCAGATTATTTAATTCTGTTAAATCATTCTGTATTTTAAAAAAATGAATGATGACAATATCCTGTACTTTACATAGCAGGACCATCCCAAAACTAATCAGAGGGATTAGAACATGGAAATATCAGAACATAGAGCTAATCCCAAGGACTAGAACGTTAAGGCTGATTTCAATTCAGGGCAAATTGTCGCGCAATCGACTTTTTCCGATCACTTTCTTTTGAATTGTGTGTAGCAGTATGAAACTGCTCCGGTCGAGAGTATATAACAGAATTATCCCAGGAATGAGAACAACAAATACCTAATCCCAGTGATCAGAACATTATAGAACTAGTCCCAGTGATCAGAACATTATAGAACTAATCCTAGTGATTAGAACATTATAGAACTAATCCCAGTGATCAGAACATTATAGAGCTAATCCTAGTGATCAGAACATTATAGAACTAATCCCAGTGATCAGAACATTATAGAACTAATCCCAATGATCAGAACAATATAGAACTAATCCCAGTGATCAGAACATTATAGAACTAATCCCAGTGATCAGAACATTATAGAACTAATCCCAGTGATCAGAACATTATAGAACTAATCCTAGTGATCAGAACATTATAGAACTAATCCCTGTGATCAGAACATTATAGAACTAATCCCAGTGATCAGAGCTTTCTAAAGATATGAATGGTGAAAATGTAGTCAAATTTAAATAATAGGGAAAAAATATTAGGCTGACAACGCCACCGAGAAAATCAAACCCTGACAACTGTAACCTGTTAACTCAAGCCAATTCCTTCAAGAGCAAAAGTTGTGATGAAACTTGGTTTGAAAGGCAAAAACGAAAAATTTTAAGTTTTAATGACCTTGTTTTGAAATGCCACCATGTAATCAGATTGTTTGAAATTTTGATAGCTTGTGCAACACAATCCATATTTTGACTGAGGGTGATTAAATTACTTTTCTAATGGCTGATTGCAAAGTTGTATTGCCGCAAATTCAGAACAGAGGGAATGTCTAATCTCATCTAACCGAATCTGGTAAAAAAACTTGTCTGGTCACACTGCTCACAACACTTACTTGAATTGAAAAATCGAATGCCTGTTCGATAAAATTTTCTCTATAATTTTCTCAGCGTCTTCAAAACTTTGTGGTGTAACACGGCTTCCGTAAGAGGCGATGTGGTAAGGAATTGAACAGATTGCTTGCCAACAAAAATGATTTGGACCCAACATCCAATCTGCATTATAAAAGTTTTCGTCGTAAGGGGCACCAAAAACCGTCTTCAAAAAGTGCTTCACCTGAAAGAAATGTAATTATAAGATTGACGGTTGGCCGTAATGTCAACGTTTCAATAACATATTTGTGTCGCAAAGAACCAACGTTTGGAACTCCGTTCCACAAATCGTGCACAAACCACTGTAAATATCCTATCAAGTGTTAAATACAATTGTCAAAATACAGTCCCATCGTTCGAGTGAAGTCTCGAGAGCAGTGAACCAGCACTTCGTACAGGTTGTGCGAAAGGCTTATAATTTATATTCAACATGGTCACGCACGCACGCCAATTTGTGCAGTAAGGAGTTCAAATGCTATTCAAAGGATAAATTCCCATTTCACCAGAACTAAGACTGCGTTATCAAATAAAAAGGAATTTCGTCAATACATAGAAAGATTTCGATAAATGTATTTTTTCATTTAATGGTAATTCCCCGAAATTTTTTGTTAAACGGTAATTCCCCGTTTTCTGGGTTTTCCCCAATTTTCCATTCCAAGCCTTTCTTCTTTGTTCTTTTTCCTTCGAATTTCATTGAAATCGATAATGGTGAACTTATTTTTGCGCGTCTGTCTAGTTCGAACTTCAGTTCATGCTCATTTGTGATTGGAGACAGCAACGAGGAAGATAAATACATTTTAAACAGGAAGTAAATGAAATGAAATCTCACGAACCACAAAAAATACTAACTTGTGTATTTTGTATGATAGGATTAACTACGACAATACATTTTAACGAATTTTTAGCAACAAATTGATGTTGAATGTCCAAGGAATTAACATGTACAACGCGCAATACCAATTAACAACCGAATGCCATAATTCTAAAAAGTAACTATAATTTGAGCAGCTAATAGATAACGAATGATATTTACCTTCGGTTGAAATATTTAGCTGAGCAGATTCAATCTCATGGAAAGTATTTTGGTCATCTTCAAAAACACAGAATTGCAAACTCGCCACTACGATTACTTGAATGTAATGAATGCAATGAATCAAACCAAGGTCATTTTCAATGACAGAGTATGAATACCATGAGCCAATAGAAAGCAAGAATACCTTAATGATTTGTGAATGACGATCACGTGCCAACATAGAGCTTGATAGAGCGATTGCAGAAAGTCATTTGCAACATTAGCCAAATTCGGAAGCAAAAACCCCGAAACCACTGGCATTTTCACTCTGCTTTAAATAGTTGTACATAAAAAATACCTTAATATATATTTCTTTAACAAATATAAGATGAAATTAGTTTGAAGCATAAAAGAATGATTGGTGTGTAGTCTTGAATCAAGATTAAAATAATAACTGCCAAGTGAAAACTCCTTTTATAAATCAACATTTTCAATATAAATGATTCTAGAAAAGGCTAATAGCCTACTTGATATTTGAAATATATTACGTTTTCTTCAATTTGACAAGATTTGTGAATCATTCTTACATTTCAATGGCCTAACATGATCATAATATAACTAGCCATAGCTCACATATCACTAATATGGTAACAATCGATTGGTTTCTATCAATTGTGAATAAAAGCGCAATAATGTTTGTCTATTCCAACTAAATACTTTAGCAAAATGGCTGAGATTTGAATGAACACGACATATGACTATATGTCACTTTACATACATTGAAACACGTGGCATGACCACTGAACTCTACAACAACTTGAAGGCTAACTCACAATATACATGCCTTGATCGTGGCCAATATATTCATATTGAAAATACATGCCTAGACTTGTATGAAGCCACTTAGAAGCTGATTTGCCGCTTCGCGTGTATCTCGCGTGGACTGTTTTACTTGCGTGACGGATTGTTTTGCAAAACTGCTAACTTGGAAATAGAATGCTAGCCTAAATGTCTTATGTTTTTCAAAACCGTTAGCAAAATTTGGTTATTAATGTGTTAAGATGCATTGTGGACGTACCAAGACATGTTTTATATACGTAACGCTGTATTGTATAAAACATAAAAGTGAGAACTTGCTTCGAAATAGGAATTTCTTATTTGTCATCGAAAGACCAAAAATTTAAGATAAAGCTGATAACAGGTAGTCTGTATCTTTGAATGCTGTGCAAAATACACACAATTCACCTAACATAACATGTTTCATAACAGTTATCTGTAATATCTCTATTTGTTGGTGTAAGTCAATATATACTAAAGAAGATAGATGGCTACATCACAAAACCTAACAAACATAACTTTAATTGCTGAGATTCGAGTTGAAAAAGTAGTAAAAGTTGCAAAATTCAACGCAGTCTTCGTCATTTCAGTTTTTATGCTGAGCGAATTAGAAAGTTCTTTATAGCTATTTTATCAGCCCAAATCCCAAATGTATCTAGACATATTTTGCAATTATTGCATTCAAAAATGATCAGTATTGCTTAGTATAAAATAGTAGAGGTTATTAAAAAATATTGAACAGCTTTCGCTCTTATTCTTGGATTGCAACCAACCTCCACAGAATTATAAAATGAACCCCCCCCCCACCACCACCACCTCCACCATCATCCTACGACGGCCGGTGCCCACAATAGCATTGATAAAGTACTCACTTGCACGAAAAGTAAATGGCCAGCCACGTTTCTTCTTTAGAAAAAAGACTGCTGTGATTTGAAAGACAGAGCCACACGCCTGTCGCCTTTCAAGTAAGGATGCATTAAAGCACTTGGCATATTCCTAAGCCTCTGTAACATATTGCTTTCAGTCGTATCATGATGTGCAACTGGGCGAATCAACATTCCCCTTTATAGAGTCCACTCTCGACTCAGTTAATATGTGACGTTCAACAAATATCATTATGTCATTTTATAAGAAACGAACTGAAGCCATTCTAAACCGTAATGCCAAGCACACGCACGACATTCCGCGATAAAAGCTTATATTTACAAAGCAACGTCCTGTTCCAAATTCCACGGAAATGGTTTGCGTTTGCATGTGTGATGTGGTTTCTCCGCATGCTAACATATCAATGATGACGTCACTAGCTCATTATGGTAATGTGCTCAAAAAAGCTCCTACATGCATGGTAAAAAATTTGTAAACTTTAAAAGAACACCAATGGCGGGCATTTTAAATAAGTTTATATATGCTCAAAAATGGCCGTTTTCACAGTAAAAATGATAGCGCATTTCTACTGTGGATGAAGCAGTCTTCTACAAGTATACAACAAAATTTTTGTGCATTGTAATGATTGTATGATTGTATATATATTACATGACCTTCTAATTATAAAAACAAGATTTAGTTGACTAATTCGAAACAAGAATTTCACATCCAACAAAACCATAAATCGCTTATATGAGATTCATTTTATTTGGTCTCGCAGTCGAAACTGTACTTAGTGGATTTAGATCGTTGCCTGTTCCACCCCAAGACTGATAAATGAATGATTCGCTTCGCATTATGTGCTGTTGTCGTCTACCAAGACCCAGCGAAGTTGTATCAACGCTTCATTATTTGGCGCTTTCATACTTTGCTACTCAGGCAAAGCGAAAGACGTCTGCTGTCAAACGAAAGTTTACTCAACATTAGCAAATGACAAACAAAGAACACCTTAAAATTACGGGAAATAAATGTTTCCAGAATATTTACCGGCAACTGAATACTTTATCACTTGTGAAAAACATCCCGTTGAGTCACCTGATTTTTTCAGGTCCTGAGACGATTGCTTAAATTGTCCAGCAAAGTGCGAAGATCATTTCTTCATTTAATGGGAAAAACACTGTCGCAAAAACAAAAGTGAGTAAATCTGGGGTGTATAGTAAACTGAAGAAGGATGAAATGAAAGACGGAGCTTGAGCATCCGGGGCTTATTTAGTCGATGATAGCAAATTAATATTGTCCTCTAATATAAGGGGTTATAAATAGTGTGATATACTGTTATTCACTAACAAGAAACGTAGAATTTTTTAAAATTTCCGAAACTATTGATTGACAAGGTCACAGGATTGCCTCATCCCCGTTTCGAATTGAAGAAATCCTCAACAACAAAAGTTAAAGAACTCCTCGCAAAAACTACAGAAAAAACGATAAAAATCTGTTAAAAATGTTCGACCTTCTTATACGTACTAAGTTCAAAAGCTATATATCTTTTAAGTATAGGTAAAATTATATAGACGTTCTCACAATAGATAGTTTGATTGTTATTATTAGGCTCTTGATTCACTGAGGGCCCGTCCACACTAACACGGATTCGGTCAAATCCGTAAACATTTTGATACGCTTAGGCCTTCCGACCACATTAGCATGCGGATCGGATTCACCGAGTCAGTATATCAGTTTGGAAATGCTGTCGAAAGTGGATAAAAACGACATATGTTTTGAGCTAGTATGGACGGTTGGATCTGCATAAAAATTGAAACGATATCAACCAAACGCAAAACATAATATAAAATATTGTTCATTGGATATTGTAACTAGAGATTTGACAGTTATTTGTAAACTTACATGTAGCCAAGATTACTCGTAGAGTTTAAGTTACATGCCTTGGGCATACAGCGAAAGTTTTGAGAGAAAAATACTTTTCACATACGTTTTAATAGGAGGTTTTGAATATCTTCATTAATCATAATCTGTCATTAAGGTGTTAAATTACAAGATATGTCATTGATGCGTGTCAACTGTGAAATCTCTAGTTCCAATATCGAAAGAACAAAATAAAAAAAACTCGATTAGAAGACATTACTCGGGATTCTAATTTGTTTTATTTTTTGTTTTTTTTTGAAGTGGTCAGTAAGTTTTGGTCATAATAAATTTGTATATGGTGACTCCAAATAATGTAACACATTATTCTATGTCAACACGAAGAATCAAAAGGTTAACATAATTTGGATTTATCGTTGTTGTGTATATACTACAGTTATTATAAATGACAAAGTTTCTCTCATTTCGGGTTTTACAGATTCCGGCTTTTCCCATTCTGGGTTTTACAAATTCCGGCTTTTCCTATTCCGGCTTTTACAGATTCCAGCTTTTCCCATTCCGGGTTTTACAGATTCCGGTTTTTCTCATTCCGGGTTTTGCAGATTCCGGCTTTTCTCATTCCGGGTGTTACAAATTCCGGCTTTGATGATTCCGGGTTTCAAAGATTCCGGCTTTTCTCATTCCGGGTTTTCCCATTCCTCCATTCCATTCCCCGATTCCCCATTCCTTGTTTTACACACAGCCGACTGTTATGTGGAAATAGCTTTTTCTAGAGCTGCATTCAACGAAATAGCTACAACATACGACTAAGTGAGGCGAAAAGATTTTTGTTGAAAGAGCGAGGAGACACCAGTTTCGTTTCACAAACTTTTGTTCCGAAAAGTCGTCTTTTGCATGAGCAAAGTGTTCATTATGTTTTGCAAGGCATTCATTACATCCTTCAAAGGGTAGTAAAGACCATTGGAAGCGCATAAAAAAAGGCAGTGTGGACGCGGATCAGTTGATGCGTTTTTGATTAAAGGAATCCGTATAATTTTGAATCCGCGTTAGTGTGGACGGGCCCTGGCACGTGAGTGACACACATGCGCAAGTGAATGCAATGATCTTTAGGAAATAAGATCCAAGGAAAATAAAAGTGGGAAGAAATTATGACTGGGGTGTATAAATCTAGTAGGAAAAGAGAAGGTGAAAATCGCATTTTTAAAATGGAGCAAAGTCATAATTTGGGGAGATATGGGGCCAAAATTTGATGTATGATGAACATGAATGGTAAAAATACTAAACATAATGGGTTCTGGGTGGTCGAGGCGGTAAATAGTCATGGACAACCTGTGGCGAGTTATTTTTCTTTGGTGGCTTTAGGATAACATCACATGTCTTTCGAGTCAGCTTCCCAAGCTTACATTTTACAAATTTCTCAATGTGTTTGTTAAGATAGGCCTCAGGCGCAGAACCTTGACACAAAACCTGATAATGAAACTCTTGAATCTTGAATGTATCGTTTAGTTGTTTCTTTGCATAGTTTCTAAGCTCAACGAGTTTCTGTTGACCCAACATGTACGCTGTAGCTTGTCCGGGAAGACCCTGGTACCGACTTATCTCCTTTTGCGCAAGGTCTGTCTCGTCCCAGGCATAGTGGGCGAAGTACCATAAGGCTTTGCTTCTGTAAAAATAAAAATAACAAAAATATTGCTCCATGTTACTAAACTGTGGTGGAAAACATGAGACATAATGTTAAATATCGACTTTTGAATCGATGTAAAGTAGGCAACACAATTATATATAATTGGCTAAACATCTATTTCACATGGTTGAAGTGAAAACGTCTTTTAATGATGTGAAGTATCACAATGAAGAAACGCGTATAGAAACGAACAAAGTTAAAATAGCTTTTGTATTTTGTGATGATTTGATCGTGAGATAAACTTCACGCTGATTTTTTAATTCACTGAAAGTGGACGATAATTTGAGGGTTGCAATGTTTGTCTACATTCCATGAGGGGGGTAATTAGAGGGATGCGTAATTTAGTACTTAGTCAGGGGCGGATCTAGGGTATGTCAAATCAGTCACGCGACTGATGTTTATAGTTGAAAAATTATTTATCAAATTTAATGATTACAATTTTTTTTGATCATTAAATTTTCGTTCTGTAATCGTTTGGAATTCATCGTCAAAATTCCGTTTATTTATAAAACTTATACAAATACCATCATATAAACAGATCAGTATATAAAAACATATCTATAGAATTATATTAACTGACTGACTGATAAGCGGGGTGGCTGACTGGTTCTACCAATAACGGAGTTCAAAAACGCTAATTTAAGCAATTCCAATGGTCAATAGCCAGATCAGTGGACGATATGGAATAATCTCGACCGATAAGAGGGGTGGCCAGACCGATAAGGGAGTCCAATTGCTATCGTGTAATCAGTTCGTTAAAATTTTTGTCTTACTGTGATTGGTTTGATCGATTTCGACAAATAGCCAACTGAACAAACATAGTCAAGCTCACTGTCTGAATTGAATGTTTGATCGTTTCATAGTAATTTTTAAAAGCATGATAGAAACTTAACTACAATCACATGGAATTTATGGGAATCTTTTACAAATTCATATATTGACATGAATGCTGCTGTCCAAGCTGTGAATTTTTTCAAGAGGGGGCAAATTTATGGATGAATTGTAAATGCTTGGCAAAGTCATTGATGTTCAAAGGCAAGCCAACTTTGTTTTGAGTTTTCTCAGCAGAAATTTATTTCCAAAATCGTAAGTAAAGGATAACTGAAGTGTATGCATGAATGTAAAATATCAAAGTCAATTTATGGGAGTATGTGATGCGATTTATGTCAATATGGCGTATGGAAAGCAGATTACATGTTTGTAAATGTAGATTGTCCAGGATGGTATAGTCCCGAGAAGGACTGTTTTTGTTGTTGTTGACTGACGTTTTGACAACCTTAGTGGTAGTCATCTTCCCGAGTCAAATGAGGAGTAAAAGTCAGGTTAGCCGTATTTGTTATCTGGTTCTTACGTCATTGTATGGTGTGTACAGGAAATGTGTATTGTCATTGTGAATTAGTGTGTAGTGAAATATTCTTAGTTGTAATGTGTGATTTAGGTGTGATGTTTTTACTTGTAATGTGTGGGTGTCAATTGTGTATTTTCATTGTGAATTAGTGTGAAGTGTAATGTTTTAAGTTGATCGTTGTTTTGATTGTGAATAAGGCGTTTGTAAGGCGTCGGTAATTGCTGTGATCTGTTCAGGGGGGTTTGTTCCAAGTTGATATACCAACTTTCTAATGTAAGCCGTTGTCTATAGTCAGTACTGTAAGCGATGCATTTTGCCGAGTCCCAGTCAATGTTGTGCTTTGTGATTCGGTGATGTTCGGCAATGTGATTAGTTTTGTCTTGTTTCTTAGAAGCTCATTTGTGTTCAGTAAGTCTTATGTTTAAGTTCCTGCCAGTTTCCCCGATATAGGAGGCGTGGCAGTCGGAGCAGTTTATTTTGTAAACTACACCTTGTCGTTTGTTGGGTTGTTCTTTGTCCTTTATGTTCGTTAGTACTTGTCGTAACGTTGTGATTGGTTTATGTGCGACACGTATGTTGTATGGTCGTAAGATACGCGAGATAGTCTCAGACGTACCTTTGATATAAGGTACCGTTGCTGTTGTCACTGAGTTGTTCGTTTCGTTGGGTTCGTTGGGTTTGTAAGTGTTGCGTTTGATAAAGTCAGAGTTATAGTTGTTTTTGTCAAAAACTCGTTTGAGATAGTTGTTTTCGTTGTGTAGAGCGTCCGGTGAATCACATATGATTTGTGCACGTCTTGTTAATGTTCTGATTGTGGTGGCTTTGTGTAATGTTGGGTTGTAAGATGATTGGTCTAGTAGTCGGTCAGTATGTGTTGGCTTGCGATAAACTGTCGTTCGTAGTTTTTGATTGTCATGTTTTACCAAACAGTCGAGAAAAGGAAGAGTTCCGTTTTCTTCGACATCTTTGGTAAATTGTATGTGGCTGTTCTGTTTGTTGATATGAGTGTGAAAGTCATCAATCTCGTCGGCATGTAGTGCTGTGATTGTGTCATCTACGTAGCGAAACCAAAAAGGTAGTGCATGTTTGTAAGTCGTGAGCACCCGTTCCTCTATAGATTGCATTACAATTTCAGCAACTACAGCAGAAACGGGCAAGCCCATTGCTGTCCCATGTAATGGTTTGTAGTGTGTGCCTTTGTACTGGAAGTAAGTTGATGTGAGGCAGAGCTCCAGTAGCTCCATAATGTCTTCTATCGGTAATGGCAGTACGTCCGTGGTGTTTGTAATGAGGGTTTTTGTACAATTAAGTGCCAGATTAAGTGGAATACTGGTGAACAGCGATTTCACATCAAAAGACACTAGTATATAGTTTTCCGGTATATGTATAGTGCTCAGTTTTTTAAAGGAAGTTTCAGCGAATTGTAGCTTGTGCTTTGATTTGTTTATAAGTGGTTGAAGTATGTCAGTCAAGTACTTTGAAAGTTCGTACGTAGGCGAACCACAGAATGATACAATTGGTCGCATGGGTATTTGTGGTTTGTGAAGTTTTGGTAGTCCGGATCGTCTGGGTGGTCGTGGTACTAGTACTGACTATAGACAACAGCTTACATTAGAAAGTTGGTATATCAACTTGGAACAAACTCCTGAACAGATCACAGCAATTACCTGCACCTTACAAACGACTTATTCACAATACAAACAAACGATCAACTTAAAACATTACTCTTCACACTAATTCACAATGGCAATACACAATTGACACCCAAACATTACAACTAAAAACATCACACCTAAATCATACATTACAACTAAAAATAAAAATATTTCACTACACACTAATTCACAATGACAATACACATTTCCTGTACACACAATACAATGACGTAAGAACCAGATAACAAATACGGCTAACCTGACGTTTACTCCTCATTTGACTCGGAAGATGACTACCACTAAGGTTGTCAAAACGTCAGTCAACAACAACAAAAACAGTCCTTCTCAGGACTATACAAACCTGGACGATCTACATTTACAAACATGTAACGATACTCCCGGGTTCAAACCATTTACTTTGGTATGCAGATTGATGCTTCTAAAATTGTTATTGCCGAAGGACTTTTAGCTATGATTTCTTTAATGTTTGGGGAATCGTGGCCGTTATATGGCAGCGAAGTCCTACATTCCTTTAATTTTATTTCAATGGACAAAAAAAATCTGTAACCGCAAGGTGCCATACTATTATTGCAAACAAATGTTTGGGGCTTTTCAGTTTATGATCATTGATCATTCAATCATTGGACAGTTATACTACATATTGCTTAAGATTTGAGAAAACTAACATTGATTACATGAGAAGCTGTTTACTATAACCTGTGGTTTTGACTGTAATGGTCTTAAACCTAAGTATTTCACATACATGAAATGCCGTCCCATGTCACATATTGTCCCCTTTTCTAATTAAACACCTCAGGTAGAGATGTCAAGGTGTGTTGATCTACGGCTCATACCAGATTGTTTGCCATAAATTCCAAATGGCAATAAATGTATGAAAAGCATTTTTTCTAAAGTAAAAATGTCTTTCTATGTATGCAGATAAACCTTGAAATTTGGCAAAACAGCAAAGTATTTTTCATGATCACTAGGTAATTTTTCTGGTGATCATTATTATTTCTATTCTAAATTGTTTCAGATTTACATTTAAACAAGCTTCGATCATATGAAAAGATATTTATCATTTACCCATTAAGCATGACACATGAACCAATTTTAACATTCATGTAATTATATGATTGAATGCATGTTGGTTACATTCTGTTTGTATTGGCAAATACAAAGCTACTGGTGATTGCTATATAGCTCACGTTGCATATATCTACAGAAGATAATAGTCTAGTGAAATGCCTAATAAATATTTATGGCATTAAACTGTCCTTAATTGCAAATTTTCACTCTGATATTTTTGTTTAATCTTTGGCAGAAAAAAAATTTTGAGTTTTTTCACAAAAGGTGAATTTGCTGGCACTGTATGTGGAGATGGGTAAAGGGTTACAATAAACTTGCATGGTTTGAAGTCTGAGCTTTTCTACATCTATGAACTGTCACTTGTAGTACCAAATTTCTAATTTAACTCATTACATATGAATGTTTTATGCAGTGCGGTGTTTGAAATTATCATATCTTCATTTAATTAACTCACTACATAGATGTTTGAATGGGGGTCTCTAGGGGGGTCTATGCCTGACAACTTGGTAGAAATTTTTAAAGACAATATCGTTTTTGGAATAGCTTTATTGTAAAATAAATTTTATGTTCCTAGACATGTAAATGAGCCATATATTTGGCATGATGATGAGCCTAAATATTTGGCATGATGATGAGCCTAAACAGTCAAGTATTGTTCACTTCAGTTTTTTTGAAAAAAAGTAAGCAAAATGTGTTGTTTTTACGCAAAACGATGCCCACAAAATGCATTTTGTATTGCTCTAAAACGCTGAAAATGGCATTTCCAAGGCTTTGAAATCAAAATTTCCTAGGGGAGAATGCCTCGGACCCCCCAAGGTCCTGAGCGCCTCTGACTTTTTATGACTTATGTTTGAAAAAATCCTAGATCCGCCCCTGAACTTAGTGAAAAAGAGATTTTGTAGTGGTGACAACTTTAAATATCGCCTTAAAAACTAAAAAAAGGGCAATTGCGAGTGTGAATGGACGGAACCAAAGAAAAACCACGAAATCCAAGATAAAACCGAGAAAAAATAGCCAGAGAAAACCAAGGAAAATAAAGAGTTCTGAAAAGAACTGTTTTACAATAAGAGTACTAACACGAAAGTGCTGAAAAGAACTGTTTCAGAAATATAAGACACTTTATTCAATTCGGCAGACAACTCGTCAGGTGTCAACGTCTGCTATCTGTTAAGTGTGAATCAACTTGTATATATATGATTGATTTTGATGATGACTCATCCAGTATGGGAGATGAGTCATCATCGAAATAAAGTCAATTTAAAAATGAACTGCTTGGATCGACAAAGGACCGGATCATTAAGCTTGATAATGACTCCTTCCATTGTTTTGAGCGAAAAAGCAGACTTGAATTTGTGTAATATCTTACAAAATTTAGCATCTGAGTATGCATCAGCACAAGATTTGTTTGAAAGAAGGTGTGTGCCAATTGCCGAGTCAAACTCTATTTCGTGATGTTGTCTGCACTTTCTAACTAGTACAGCGATATTCAAATATGTAAGCTTCTCTATTTCACGGTTTACTTTTTTTGCACTAAAATCCCGTGTTCCTGCGCGCAATTCGAGCAAATTTACAAAGACACCTCAGGAACATAATATAAAGTTTTTGATTAATGTAAGACAGTATAAAGGAAAATAGTGATTAAGTCAGACTGATTGAAAAGAAAATCACATTCTAATGGCAGAGAGATAGGTTTCCATGAGAAATTTTGGTCTGTCCCACAACTTTTTGTGATTTCCGTTCGACTGCTACATCACATACCAATTCATCATCTTAGACATGGGGAGAGCTTGACTGCTACGTCACATACCTATTCATCGTCTTATGCATGGAGAAAGTTTGACTGCTACGTCATATACCTATTCATTATTTAAGTCATGGGGAGAGTTTAACTCATACGTCACATACCTATTCATTCCACGATAATGTAATCCAGTATCAACAATCAAACGTAGAGCTCTCCATATCTTAAAAAAACAGAACGAACTTGAACAAGCGTAATGATTGATGAAATTATTAAATGAAGTCGCTGAACAATTTGAAGACCAAATGAATTATCTAGTTGAAGATTTTTTAGCAGAGACGTCATTGAGGAGATTGGGGTGGAGAGGTGAGAGATACATAACATGATTCTTTCGAACGCAGACAGATTTTGTACAGGGCGGGGATACTGGCTTAAGTCACTAGGAATTTGTACTACTCACACACTTGAAATTTGATTCTGTTTTGATTTTAATGTGGAATCTAACATAAAACGTTATCGTCGTCAAAACTTCAAAATCTGATAAGGTTGTGCACCATTAAATAACTCTCTCTTGCGCAACAGGCAAAAGGCTCTAGGTCAGTGACTTGGTGTAAAAAATTGATAGCTATAAGTAAATACCGAGATTTAAACATCACAAGCTGTAGAGTTGTTTCCTTGCTACAAATATAGTTCAACTATAGTTATAATTATCGCACTAAGCAGAATTAGTCCAGCAAATTTGTTTGTTTGATTGACATAGGACATTTGGACTTTATGAATTCTATTAATATTACTTCCTATTTTTTGTTTTGTACCTGCCATTTTAGCATGCCAAATTTCTGCATTGGTTCTTCTTTGTAGGTGTCGGTGTCCTCGGAAATGACGGGGTTTTCCGAATACAAACCCCAGCCTTCGCTGAAGAATGTGTAATAGGTTCTATCGTCCAACCATTTCGGCAGACCACCATAAGGGTCTTTGAAATATTCTATATGACCTTAAAATAAAAGTCTCCTTTTTTGAGCTCAGTGCAAAAATAACTATTTAACTTGACGTTTTCTTTTGTTTATTCATTACTACCTACAGCAACACATGTTATCTTATTTCTTGTAAAGATTGTTCTCGTTTTCTGTTGTTCATTCATCACCACCTACACTGACACTCGTTATCTTATTTCTCATATATGTGTAAAGACTGTTCTCGTTCTCTGTTAATCATTCATACAAACCCCAGCCTTCGCTGAAGAATGTGTAATAGGTTCTGTCATCAAGCCATTTTGGCAGACTATCATAAGGGTCTTTAAAATATTCTATATGACCTGGAATTCAAAGTTTGCTTTTTTATGCTAAGTACAGTTATAAACTGTTATGTGTACGTAAAGGTAGTGATGAATGAACAATGGAGAACGAGAACAGTCTTTACACTATCTAAAATATTTAAGAAATACGCTAACTTGTGTCATTGCAGTAGTGATGAATGAAAAAGAGAGAACGAGAACAATTTTTTTACTATCAAAAATGTATAAGAACTAAGATAACGTGTATCAATGCAGTAATGATGAATGAAAAAGAGAGAACGAGAACAATTTTTTTACTATCTAAAATGTATAGGAAATAAGATAACGTGTGTCAGTACATGTAGGGATAAATGAACAAGAACTAGAACAGTCTTTTTACTATCTAAAATATAGAGTATAAAAAATAAAATAAAGTGTATCAGTTTTTTATATCATGTTCTGCCTCATTTAATAGTCGTTTATAATCAGTCTTTTGACCTACACTAACACATATTACCTTATTTCTTAAATCTGAGATAATGTTAAGGCTGTTTTTTTCTCTTTTGTTCATTTATCCCTACCTACACTGACAAGCTTTAACTTCAGGATTGAACTAAAAACTCACTTTGCACTTGAGTGTGGTGTCCAGGCCAAGCCTCATGCGCAGTTACGGACCACTCCGAAAACCGAGGACCATGATTTTCAAGAAAGAAAGGTAGACCAAACTTTGTTGGAAATGTACACGCCTTTGTAGAGCGCTGAAAGTACTGGGCTCCAGATGAAGGATTAAAAGTAGGCTCCATTTCAATAGGACAGTTAGGTACTGTTATCCATTCACCGGTATGATAAAATAAATTGATGATTTTTGGTGCAAGCATGCTCATGATCTCTCGACATGACGCCATCCAAACTTTTAATGATTTGTAGCGTTCCGGACAAAACATTCGAGCACTTTCCATGTCTGTACAGCGCTTGTGGGCGGTAGCATTTGATTCGATCTCAGGAAAAGGCTCCTTGTTATAATATGACGTTTGATTTGCTAGTATCTTACGAAAAGCTGTTATGGCGGCGGTTTCATCTGACAGTCCAGTGACATTTTTAGCGATTTCTACAACCTATTGCAAAGCAAAGGGGAACAATGTTTTACGGCACTTGGTACGTTTTCTAAGGCGCCAAAAGGATTTTACGTAAATAGACAGGCAAGAAGTTTTTGAAATGATAATAAAGTTGAAAATCTTTAGTCTATTTGTCCTTCATTTATGTTCAACCAGAACTTGATGAAACCTTCCTATATAGGAGAGTCTGAAGTAATCATAGGAGAATTGAACGCAAAGATAAATAAAGGACAAATTATAAGATAATAAGGACATTCTTAAGTTCATCTGTCCTTCATATGTAATAAACTAACACTCGATAAAGCCATCCTATATAGGAGAGTTTAATATTTTTTTAAAATGTGTGCCTAACAAACGCTTCTTTACGTTTAAGATATATAACCTTGTTTGAGATATTCCTTCATTATTTCACAAGAGATAAAATCTTCACCTGAGGATAGAGGACATTCAATCGTTCATGACCGATTTCGTTTACTCTTTCAGGAGTAATGTCACTCGTAGTAAAAAAAGCCAAAATATTTTTGTACGATTTCTTTCCATCAATAATCGTGTTCGTGATAGGAAGTCTCCTGGTAGTGCGATTATCTGTTCTCTTTCCATCGACATATATGTACTTCACTGGAAGATTGGCAAGACCACTGGCATGATTTAATGGAAGGCAATGTCGTAGATGTACATTTTCCATGTACTTAACAAGATCGACTACAGGCTTGCCAATTCCTAAAACAAGGTTTAATTTTAACGTCGTATGACTGATATACTAGTGTAGATATACTAGTATGTCCTGACATACTAGTGTAGTGTCTTTATCAGGAGTGATCTAATGTTGAAAGTTGAGTTCTTATACACTTTAGTCTACTGTCTTCATTAGGAGTGATGTAATGTTAAAATGTTTTATACATTATGGCAATAAATAGTAGATATACACGATGTTTTCAAAAATAGTATTAAGATGGATTTCAACCGCCAGGAGACCACATTACCAGGGGCAAAACTAAAATACCAATTGGGGTGGAGGAGATGTGACGGTGAATAATAAAATCTTCAGCTATGGCCTGCTAACATACCAAATCAGTAAGATAGAGATGAATATATGAATATTTACTCTCCCAATTAGCGTTGTAGCTTCGCCCCTGCATATTTCTAAGTAATGCAGACCGAAGGAACGAGTTTAGCCTCTTTTGATGGAATTTGGTCACTTTTCAAACAATATTTGGCTAATACATTGACAAAATCAAACACTTGATGACTGAGAACTATTCAAGTTTCGAATTTTTTCTTCTTTTACTTACCTTCGATTAAACTTTCTTTAACGGATTGGCTAAAATTTTTCTTGTACGTTACCATCCATTTCTCTCGATCTTTCAACGACAAATCTTTACTGAACTCGTCTTGAACGTAGACATTAACAAACCACTCGTTCACCACTTCTCTGGCGTTATTTTCACTCAAAATTTTCTTAAACATCTGTTTGAACGAGTTAACACCAGAGATACAGGTAACTTTTGAGCGAACCATTCCTGTTCGAACGCCTAGCTGCATGTTTGATCTTAAAATAAAAGATACAAATCACATTGAATTCTGCTGTGAAACAGCACTGCCAGCCCACTTATGTCTTTCTATGCAATTTTTTCTAAGTTAAATAGCCGTGAATACAATACATTTGCGTAAAGCAATGATGCTGAGCTGGCTAGTTTGCTTTGCAATGCAACAAAGCAAATACCTTGCAAAAAGCATGACCCAAGGTCACTTTGGTCACAATTAAGGTCACTTTGAGACCTGATACAAGATCTCCCCTATTCCAAGACTGCTACCAACAAGTCACATTTATATCGGGGAAAAAATATTTCCCAATGCCCTGTGACTTTATAGAATTTTGAATATTAAAGACAGCAAGAAATTTGCGCAACATGTCCTGAAAGTTAAAAAACTAACAATGTGATCGTTTGGAGGCCTGGAGCAAAATACCCGTTATAAGGAAATCCAATTTTTGCCCGTGTAATTTTGGGTAAAATTTGTTTTAATAAGAATAATTTTGGATTTTCTTTACTTTCGCTAGCTTATGGTGCGACTATTCAACCTTTTACTGCGCAAGTTTTTTTGGTCCTTTGAGTTTTGGATAGTTTCTTTAATGTAGCAATACGGCAACGCTGAGAGGGAAAGCTACTAGGCTAAACATTCATGAAAGGATCTAACATGTATAAAATGCAAAGGTCATATAGCTAGACTCGCTGGAGGTAAATGTGGAAGGTTTATTATCAGTGACTTGTGCAATTTGGAGATATCAAGAAATTTCTGGAAGAATCAATGGCTGTTAAAGTTGGCTGTCAGTTTGTTCTAAAAATTTAAACAATACTATCCGTTCTGCAGCGACTTATTAGTCTGAATCTCAAGCTTGCTATAACCATCGATTTGGGAGAGCATTTTCTAAAAACAACGTGTTTTCCTAAGGGAGATGGTCCTATTGTGTTTTCGTGTTGTGAGATTGGTTTACTTAGTTGACGCAGTTGACGTATTTGAGAAAAAAGAAAAAAACCTGGTTTGTTAACGTCGAAGGAAACAAAACAAACTCTCTAAACGTCTGTTTAGTTGTGATCTATTTGTTTGAATACCTTAATCATTCCATTAATCAATTTTGTCATTCGTCAATTGATCAATTGACTTATTTATTCAGATAATTAACTATTTAACATTCAAGTTCCCCGTATCTGAAACTATAAATACAAATTTTACCTTAAAAACAAATGTAATTGATCATTGCAATAGTTTATTTGAATAGTCAAATGTTACTTGAGCCTTGAAGGTATAAATGTTTATCGACAAAAAATATGAAGAATTTTCCCAAGTTATAGCTAACATTTAGACGATATGTTGGACATTTGCTTGTACTTTTGTCCTAAGGGTAGAACTTCAGCAATGGCTCCATGTCTTGGACAGTTCATCGAAGGAAGATATGTCCATGAGTCACTAATCTCAATATTAAAACACTCAACTGATTTAAGAAATTTACCTTCATCATTCTGCCCCTCATCACGACGATTGTATCTCCTGTAATAATAGCACAACACTCCAATCTTTTTTCCAACATTGGTGCTAAGGTTGTGATCTTACCGGTCTTACTATCGTACATCTTGATGTCGCTTAAGAATCTCCCATCACCAGTGCGACCGCCAAGAAGGACAACCTTATCTCTCCATGTAACTGTTGACATTCCAGTCATAGAATGAGGTAACGAAGGCATTTTCTTAAATGTGAGCGTCATTGGATCAAACTCAATTACACTGGACAAAGTATTGCCATCTTTTCCCCATCCACCAAAAATAAGAACTTTATCATTAACAATCTCAGCTCCAAAGTTCCTTCGTGGTTCAGGCATATGACACAACTCTTTAAAAAAAATCAGACGCGGCATCGCAAATCTGCACTTTACAGATCAGAGAGGATATCGAATTGTTATCCAAGTCGTACCCTCCAATGCAAATAGCCTGCTGTTTAAAAACAATTATTTTGTGGCTTCCGCATTTGTAATCAAGCCCTCTGGGAAATGTCCGCCATGTCAAGGGCAACAAATTGAAATTCATCATCTCGATTGACTCGATTGACTTGCAACCTCCAACAACAAATATACTATCTCCATAATTGAACGACGCAGCGCGCAAACGATTGTTTTCCATTGCTGAAATCTCAAACCATTTCTTGTTCTTCCAGGAATATATTTCTGTTCTTTTCAGCGAATCATTCGGCAAACCGCCAGCAATCAAAATATTTCCTTTTACTTCGTTCGTCACATCGTAAATTTTTGACAACTCGATATTTTCTTTCTCGTCATTTTCTTTGGTGGAAAGAGCTGAGCACAGAACATTTTCGTTTCCACATTCGCCATTCATTTTCTAAAATTTGCATGCCTTTGACGTTTGATCATGGCGGAATTGAAACCAAATACGCTTTTCACTTAATAGTGAAAGACAATGGTAAAAACTCCAGCTTTCAGGCATACATCAACAAAATTAAATTGGTAGATTACAGCACAGTTTGTGCAGTAGACTATCAAGCAACAATACTTCATTGAGTATTGATTCAAAGTTTCATGGACTGACTATATGATACAATGCTGAAGATATTTGTAGAAACTTGATAGTATTGCTCCATTAAAATAAAACTGCCTCCTACGTATTGAATGACATTAAGATTGATGGTTTCGTGAAATAAAATGAACTGTGCACTTATCGTAATTGCTCATGGCTTTTAAAACACAAATCAATAATTTGTTCAACGCACGCAAAGACTAATACACAAAAGCGACAAATGCAAGTCGAAGACTAATAATCTTTTGGTTACGAATTAATTACTTCTGCTTGACTTTGTTGGCTTTGGTAAATTCTCTTCACAGTTCGTGATTTATTACTAAAGATTAATAAATTAAGTTGATTTCGAAAGATCGAAATGCTTTCGGCTTCCCTGTGCCGAAAGTCTCAAGTTTTTCTCCGAAATCGTCAGTTATTGGTGCGGAAAGTCTCAAGTTTTTCCTCGAAAATCTTCTGTTTTTTTAATGGCACAAGTCGAAATCTTCAATTGCATGGTCTTTTAATGATGGCGAGCCTGGTAAACACTGCTTTTTAATTAAAGTTCTAAACAATTCTAACATGAATGCAGGGGCGGATCTAGGATTTTTCAAACATCAGTCATAAAACGTCGGAGGCGCTCCGCGCCGGGGGGGTCTGAGGCACTCTCCCCTGAGAAATTTTGAATTTCAGAACCTCTAAAATGCCATTTTCAGCGTTTTAGAGCAATACAAGATGGATTTTGTGGGCATCGTTTTTCGGTAAAAACAACACATTTTGCTTACGTTTTTTTCAAAAAAAAATGAAGTGAACAATACTTGAATGTTTTGCCAAATATTTAGGCTCATTATCATGCCAAATATATGGCTCATTAGCATGTCTAGGAACGTAAAATTTATTTTACAATGCTATTCAAAAACAGATATAGTCTTTAAAAATTTCTACCAAGTTGTCAGGCATAGACCCCCCTAGAGACCCCCATTCAAACCTCTATGTAATAAGTTAAGTTAGAAATTTGGTACTACAAGTGACAGTTCATAAATATAGAAAAGCTCAGACTTCAAACCATGCAAGTTTACTGTAACCCTTTACCCATCTCCACATCAGAGCCAGCAAATTCACTTTTTGAGAAAAAACTCAAAATTTTTTTCTGTCAAAGATTAAGAAAATTATCAAAGTGAAAAATTGCAGTTAAGGACAGCTTAATGCCATGAATATTTCTTAGGCATTTCACTAGACTATTATCTTCTGTAATAATATGTAAGGTGTGCTATATAGCAATCACTAGTAGCATTGTATTTGCAAATACAAACAGAATGTAACCAACATGTCTTTAATTATATAATTACATGAATGTCAAAATTGGTTCATGTGTCATGCTTACTGGTTATGATAAATATCTTTTCATATGATCAAAGCTCGTTTAAATGTAAATCTGAAATAATTTAGTTTAGAAATTATACTGATCATCAGAAAAATTACCTAGTGATCATGAAAAATACTTTGCTGTTTTGCCAAATTTCAAGGTTTATCTGCATACATTGGAAGACATTTTTACTTTATAGAAAATGCTATTCATACATCAATAGCCCTTTGGAATTTATGGCAAACAATCTGGTATGAGCCGTAGATTAACACACCTTTACATCTCTACATGAGGTGTTCAGTTAGAAAAGGGGACAATATATGACATGGGACAACATTTCATGTATGTGAAATACTCAGGTTTAATACCATTCCAGTCAAATTGTCAAAATAAAAAGCTTCATGGATCATAAGACTCAAAATCACAGGTTATAGTAAACAGCTTCTCATGTAATCAATGTTAGTTTTCTCAAATCTTAAACAATATGTAGTATAACTGTCCAATGATTGAATGATCAATGATCATAAACTGAAAAGCCCCAAACATTTGTTTATGATAAAGTAAATAATAGTATGGCACCTTATGGCTACAGATTTTTTGTCCATTGAAATATATTTGCAGAAATGTAGGATTTCGTTGCCATATAACGTCCACGATTCCCCAAGCATTAAAGAAATCATAACTAAAAGTCCTTCGGCAGCAACAATTTTAGAAGCATCAATCTGCTTACCATACGCCATATTAACATAAATCGCATCACACACTCGCATAAATTGACTTTGATATATTGCATTCATGCATACACTTCACTTGTCCTTTACTTACGATTTTCGATGTAAATTTCTGCTGATAAAACTCAAAACAATGTTGGCTTGCTTTTGAACATCAATGACTGAAATGTCGCTCGCGAGATCGTCTTTGCCAAGCATTTACAATTCATCCATAAATTTTTCACCCTTTTAAAAAAATTCCCAGTTTGGAAAGCAGCATTCATGTCAATATATGAATTTGTAAAAGATTTCCATAAATTCCATCTGATCGTAGTTTAGTTTCTATCATGCTTCAGAAAATTACTATGAACGATGAAACATTCAATTCAGACAGTGAGCTTGACTATGTTAGTTCAGTTGGCTATCAGTCGAAATCGGTCAAACCAATCACAGTAAGACAAAAATTCAAATGAGCCAATTGTAAGATAGCAATTGGACTCCCTATTATCGGTCGAGATTATTCCAGACTGTCCACTGATCTGGCCATTGACCAATAAAATAGCGTTTCTGGCGTTCATAGACTCCTTTATAAGTCGAACCAGTCAAGCCACCCCGCTTATCAGTCGGTTATTCCAGGTCAATTAAAATTCAACTGATCTGGTTACCAAGGAGATATTCGTTGCATTAGTCATTAGTTTTCAATAATAAATAAAGCTGGATTTTTATCACGAAGTAAATGGGATAATAAAGTAAGAATAATTAATGATTTTTAATTAATATGAATAGGTAATTTTTGAATTTCAAACATCAGTCGCGCGACGGATTTGACATACTCTAGATCCGCCCCTGCATGAATGGTTATATGCGAGTGTATCTACTGTCGCGGGTAAAAAGTCGCGGGTAGAAAACACTTTTTTTGCATGGAAAAGTTTAAAAAAAGTCGATGTTAAATTATCAGGAATTCTTTATTTCTATGTATGCCCGCTTGAATGTGCTCTATGAATAAACATTCTCTGCTGTCAACATTAAAATATGTCACCGGTGCTTTGCATATTTAAGATTTGTTTTGTTATACCTATCAAAATATACAAAACGATGCGTTGTTAATAAAAGAGGAATTATTATTAGTTTTGAGGGCCGTTAAAATTCTTATAAAATTGAAGTTGTAAAACCTGGTTCATATAAATTATTAGATATGGTTTATTTGTATGTATAACTTGCACTTTCTCACGATTATAAATTTGCTTTTCTCTAGCAACTCAGATCTCATTACCATTAAAACAGTTGTATCCAAGTAAATCTTGAATGGTTAGTGATGCTTGGTATTAATGAAAAGCTAACTATGTTTTTCATAGTGATTAGTGTATAAGTTCTTTATATTAACATTATATTTGGTACATAGAACAAACACACATTGCTCATGAGTCACGATTTTACGCAACGCAAATGAGGTATTTCTTTTGACAAAAGAGAACGTGTCTCTTATACACCCTGGCTCTAAGTGTCGAAGTCATAACAAATATCAACCATTAATTCAAGATTTATTTGGATAGAGCTCATATAACGGATATAAAACATATCATTGCTAAGTAAAAGAAAGTTTCTTGCCAATCGTGCGCAAGGAAAAGTAGAAGCGGTTTTACTTATATAATCTATCCATAGCTTATGAATTATGATGCTAAACGAAATGTGTTTACAACTTGAAGTGGATGTACGGAGTTTTCAACAGCAATGTCCCCAAACCTTGCAGTCTCTAATTATAGAATTTCCATACTGGGTACATTGTTTATATCATAAGTATAACTTACACTTTCCGACTATTGGAAAGTTGCTTTTCCTTTATAACTATAAGTAATTCAATTTCCAATGCATGCGAATTTTTACATAAAGCAATGCTATTCAATAACTTCTGAGTATCATGTTAACAACATCTCTAGAGTTACCGTAACTTCGTAAAAGCACTATTAATATTGTGCGTTTAATGAATACGACAATTTTTTTTAAATAAACATGTTTCAACATCTCATGATGCCATTTCAGTATATGGTTGTACACGAGTAATTCCTTGAATTGTTGACGGTTGTTATGCGCACAACTATATGCATGATTATAGCAATAAAGTACTTTGAAGTTTAAATCCAACAAATGTATATTTGGATAGGTATAACAAACACAAATCTTAAATATCCAAAGCACCGGTGACATATTTTAATGTTGACAGCAGAGAACGTTGATTCATAGAGCACATTCAAGTGGGCATACATAGAAATAAAGAATTCCTGAGAATTTAACATCGACTTCTTTCAAAGTTTTCCATGCAAAAAAGTGTTTTTATTCCCGCGACTCTACCCGCGACACGCGTCTTTTTACCCGCGACAGTTCGATACACTCCCGGACATGCTAGTTTGCCACACTATCAGGTAAGACAGGAAGGCAAAAGTTTTTGAATAAGTCATATTTCCGATGTAGTGTTATAGTCCATTTCATAAACACCGGAATATTCATTTCAAAACCACTGGCAGTACGTTTTTAAATCTCATCTAAGCTACATTTTTCTCAAGCTGCATCCTCTATGTTGAAGTAAAATGACTACTTTTTACGATTTTCACAAGATCCGATATGTTGGATCGTATAAAAACGGATCATGTGAATACATATGAGATGAGCCTCCGACAGTCGGATCAGTCAGTCAGAAAAATTGGATGGAAATAGAACTTGGTCTTTTTTCATCCGATGAGATCAGAGAAAGGCAACCAGCCCCAAACTTTGCACTCTCCATACTTCGAAATTTGATTAGGCGTAAAAAATTACATAAAAAAAGACTTCCAAACAAGAACAAAAATACGCAAAATATATCGCTAAATGTACCACGACTGGAAATATTTAAACGAATACAAATATCAACATAATTGTCGGACCGTTTGAACAAGAAACCTAAAGTCGAAACAGAAACAAACAGATCGGATAATAGGATTCTGAGAACGGGCCTTTGGTACTTTATATATGAACGAGTCTCCCGATTGGTTCCATCTGACAATAACAATGAACATGACCTATTTGCTTTTTAGATTTAAAACTTCAAAACCATATTGTACTTTATTGTACCCCGAACTAATCGTAAAACCGATTACATAAGTTAATACATCCATTTAGGCGTTTTGTGTTATATTGTGAGAATTTTATAAGCATACAAGACTTACTTGAATTGCATAATTGAATGCCTGTTCGATAAAATTTTCTCTATAATTTTCTCAGCATCTTCAAAACTTTGTGGTGTAACACGGCTTCCGTAAGAGTTGATGTGGTAAGGAATTGAACAGATTGCTTGCCAACAAAAATGGTCTGGACCCATCATCCAATCTGCATTGTAAAAGTTTTCGCCGTAAGGAGCACCAAAAATCGATTTCAGAAAGTGCTTTACCTAAAAGGAATGTCATAAAATGGCTTGTTTTATACAAAGGCTAAACCTTGGTGTCAAGATTGTGTGGCGAGGATTTATTTGTGGCAAAAGAGTACGCATGTTATCTACAATACATAATTGCCTCGAGATCTTATGTTATCACAGAGACGGTTACTGACGTATTTCCCTCAATTGTAGGGATGAGGGACGTTTAGTTCTAAATATTCCTCATCAATATTAAAACAATACGCCCTGATTTTACATCTTATTTTATATTTTCGTCATGTAGAAATTGCTTTAGCTTGCATCTTAACTTTTCGACGGTGAATAATTCTGCTAAATGAAAATGGTTAATAGCACAATATGTTCGGCAAGTCCTTTGAAACCACAACACTTCGCTGGCATTTTTACAAAGTCGAAAATCGTTTTGCTCGACTGTTGTTGCATCGTTATTTCTTCAGAATCAGACACAAAGTAAATCTTTTGACATATAGTTCAAATCAACAAACTTGCGTTATTACAAGCCTTAGTGCCTTGCAATTAATGTCGTTGAGTGGTAACAGAAATCATCTTTCCTTAGTGTCAGAAACTTTCTTGTCACTTACTTGGGAGAACCAGTGATGAACCATCAATAACTTCAACAATAATGAATATTTGCAAAGCAACTTTAAACACAGATTAACTGAAGCAATTCAAAAACAAAATTCACAATTCAAAAGCTACATGAATTTCTTCATTTCATCACTGACCATAAATAATGTACGCTTCAAACAACATCATTACGATTGTCAATATTTGAATGAACGAGCTCAAAATTCGATAAAATTATTATCAAACGGAAGAGTCTAATGCATTGATTATTCCTCTGCAACCATGTTATTACACAGTAAACCCATGATTTCAGTGTATTAAATATTCGTTTAAGCCTCGAGAGGTTTAGAAAAAGCCCTCGAACTTTTACTAAGCCTCCCTCGGTTTGCAGGACAAAGAATTAATCACTAATACCCTCTCTGATTATGGAAAATTTGTACGTAACAATTTTTCACGTTTAAATCTCAAAAAGGGATGGGATCGGTCTTTTTCAACCTCAACACCACAATTTACCCTTTTGGTTTTAAAGCCAAGGCTACAATGAACTACTGTATATTGTGATAACTAAAAGCGATTATTCAGGAGTTGAGGTTAGGGGAAATAGTACCTGCTCCAAAGCTTTAACTTCGCGAGGGGTTATTTTATTTTCATCGATGTTTTTTGCGTTGATTTCATCTAAAAGTTTTAATGCAGCATCCGTTTTTTCCTTAAGATATTCTGGAGTTGCGTTGAATGGTAAATGTCTGTAGAAGTAAACCACAAAATATTAATATGACGCCTGAACTGAACGCACAATATCTGTTACATATGGATAAAGAGGTGTAACATTTGAGTACGGAGTTTAAGCACATGGATATATGGGTGTAACATCTGGATAAAGAGGTGTAAAATCTGGGTAGAGAGGTATAACATCTAGGTAGAGAGGTTAGATATCTGGATAGAGGTGTGTGGCACATGGGTATAGGGGTGGAAAATCTGGATAGAGAGGTGTACCATCTGGATAGTGAGGTGTAACATATGGGTAGATAGATGTAACATCAGAGTAGAGAGGATAACATTTGGGTGGAGAGGTGCAACATTTGGGTAGAGAGTTGTAACATCTAGGGAGAGATGTTAGATATCTGGAGAGAGAGAAGTAACATCTGAGTAGGCAGGTGCAACATTTGGATAGAGAGGTGTAACATCTAGGCAGAGAGAGGTGTAACATCTGGGTAGGAGTGAAACAACTGGGGAGCTAACAAATACGTGACAGTTGTTCACTTTCTTGACAAAGTTTATAGCGATACAATATAAAAAATTTATGACAGTTTGTTATACATGCATTGTCAACACAGCATCTAAAGACAAACACCATGCCATTAAAGTATAGCACATGAGACATAGATTGATGGCAGCCCTATCCCAAGGAGTTAAAGGCCAAAAGAGATTTTCGCCATTTTGAATAAAATTTGAATTGTAAACAAGACAAATGTTTTGTTTAATTCAACTGGCAAGATGGCGGCCGTATCGTAACAAGCAACTCAACTATATGTTGTTATCCATTGTTTACGAAAAATTGGAATTAGGAGATGTTGGGAAAAACAAATTAACAACAAAGCCAGTTCTGGCTTACAACCAGTGTCTAACGAATAATAGCATGAGCAAAACAAACCTGCGTTTCAGTTCGTCGGTTCGTATCTGAGGTTCCCAAGTAAGCGTGTGTGAATTATACTTGAAATATGTATCTTGAACCCTTTGTAAGAAATTTTGTAATTTGATGCGTTGAGCTTCATCAGAATAAACGTATATGCTCTTAGTTGAATCTAAAGAAAAAAGCACTTGAAGGTAAAAATGCCAAATATTTAGGTGGGAATACACAATACCATGATATTTATTAGGAGTATACAGGATAATACAGTAAGATACGCTACCATGTTTTATATTATAGGTGTACTGCGCTGTAAGATACATTTAGCGTTCGCGTCAATCCGAAATTACTTGGGAGGAGGGACCATATTCATATATTCTGCTATGCCTAGGTAAAACTTTAGAATCCAAATGAATAGGTAACGAAAGTTTTGTTGTCATTAGCCGTCAACAAAGTGTATTGGCAAATTTGATTAATATCTACAGTTGTCAGCACCTCATTAAAACGACTTTTTTGTCAACGTTAAATAGAACGGTGAGGCGAAATGCGATTTCCTATAGCAGATAAATGGTCAAATTTAAGAAATACAACGCGAAATTACATTGTTGCTTTGCTTTTACACTGTATTTTTTAAATGGTTTGCTACATTTGAACAATTTCATTGGGATGGAACTCGAAGTCAAAAACCTCAAAACAAATTTTGTCAGGTTTAAAACGTTTAACGGGTTGCTTTGTGAGAAAGAATTTGCCTTAACTTACGCATACTTAACACACATAGTTAAAACAAACAAATATTATCTAAGACTGAAAGCCCTAAAGAAATGCTTAGAAACAGTTAAACTAACATTTCCACAACAGTCACGGATGTACGCGAATCTTTCACCTCCCTATATTTAACATTTCTAATCGCCAAAAACCATATTTTATTAGAGTCATATGAATGAAATATCAGGTGTGAAAGACTGTGCGAACTTGTGATTTGTGAAAAGTGTTTCTCCACTGGGTTTTAACACTCATGCTAATTACGATTCTGCTAAATATTTTGTAAAATATTCAACTACGTACACGGACACGGTACAATTCACTTTAAATACTAGAAGAACAATTGCCACTAGATAGCATTGTTGAAAAATAACTAGAGTGTTTAAATAACAAGCCCTTGATAACCGAGCTCGAGGTCTTTACGGAGAAATATCGGACCAAAGTTTTTTTTGTACAGAAAGCGAGGTTATTAAAGAGTCTATTATATGGCATTATTTGATCTGAAACGAAGCTTGCTTTTATTCTCGTCCTTGCTGTTTTTGACCGGTTGGCTTTCACTTTTCTCGTTTTCGTCCATAAAAAATAAATCTTTTCAATTTGTATTGTCTGGATAGTTGAACTGTTTTCCAAGTGTTTTTCCTTCGAATCACATTCGTAAATGGTTTTTGTTTCGTTTTTCATGCGTTTTGCTGTTTGCTTTGCGAAGTTTGTTTACGTTTGACTGTAAAATTACGCGTTTTGGACCGTGGTCGATTACAGAAAAATAATGGACAAGCAAAAACGTTTCTGAGCCAATCAAAGCGTGCCATTCTGCCTGATGGGACACTTGCTATATAATAATACAGATTAATGAATTGATAACCTATCTATTCGTAAAATATTTTCTGCTAAGTGCATATATTGCAAATCTTTGTCTGTATGGCACAAAAGTTTTCTTCTCCTGGTGAATTAAACACACCTTTAACGGTTCTAAACGCAAAACATGCATAGTAATGCAACAGTGGAATTATAGCAAGTGATCAGTCATCGAAATTCTAACAATTGGCAAATATCCTAGGATTCTTATTTAATACATCCTGTAGATATGAGTATGTTAGTTTAAGCATGAAGGATCGTCGTAATAAAATAAACTATTTTTTATTTGGTCCTAATTTGCAATCCGCTTTCGAGGTCTTTGTTTATAATAACAACAATTAATAATGAACAAAAACTCAAAATTGAACTACATAAAATCATCAAACATTTCAGAAATTTCAATACTTAACATCAAGCTCTTTCATTAAGTCCGTTGTCGGGCAGTGCACCATAAAGCCTGGTTTCCACTATTAACACCACAAACGCGACATGGATTAACTTTAATCGCGATAATCCCATATGAGAATGTGGTAATAATCGCAATAAACGGCGACTAACAATCGCGACAAACGCGATAAAATATCAAAAATTTTTGATATTTATTCGCATTAATCGCCAAAATGACGTCATCTTAAATGAAAATTTAGGAATTTAAGATGGCGAAGCCAAAACGTTGTTTTCTTTTCTTCGATGCCTTTTAACGGCGTCTTTGTCGCCTCCATAAAACATAAGCTACTGTAATTACTACCAGATCGTATTTTTTACTGACGCCATTTCACAAAATAATCGCCATCCGACATAATGTAAACAACACGTTTAATCGCACAACCATTGCGATAAAAAGTTACCGCTATCGCTTTATCGTGATAAACCAATAGTGGAAACCAGGCTTAATGGTCGAGATTTGCAACACTTTATAATTGTTTACAAATAGCACAATGAGGCAAACATTAGCTAGAACGTTGAGACAGTTAAAATATTTCAAATGTAATTTAAAGAAACCTTTAATCCTTAAAGCATCCAAAGCATGTATTATTGATGTGAAATTAGTAAACTTCTGTTGTCGAAGGCTCTTATTTTAAAGTGATGACTATCTTTGTGATGACACTCAGCTAATTAGTTAAAAATATTATATTTCGAGTTTGTTTGTGAAATTGTCGTGCGTGAAATAAGTTGCATGTAAACATCACAAGAAAGGCAATTCTACATTTGATTTCAAAAGGCTTTTACAGCTTAATCCAAACCATACAGTTCCTTAAAATTGGTATAAATCTTTAATGAACTGTTTCGACGGTTTAACATTTTGATTTCCTAATTCAATTAAGACGCTCAAACCACACATTTTTTTAGTGGAACTAATTTAAAAAATTCAATTGGGAATTTGCTTTCATGAAGAAGTAACACATAAAATAATCGCGGAAGGGTTGACATTTCAGTTAGTTAAAAAATTCCCAAGTTTTTTTTTATTTCTTTCCTTTTTACCTAAAAACTAAACGTTTCTCCTGAAGATTATACTTCTACGCTATAGTTTCAAAAACGATAGCGTAAGACCACAAGTAATGTGTTCCTCTCTCGCGCATACAAAATCAACAGGATGTATTTTTTTCTAATTAGTGTAGTTCATGCATTTAGACTCTCACGCTTAATCCCATCTCATCAAACATAACCACATACAATGTTTCTCATGCTGACATTCATCTATCTTCTTCATTCATCTATCAATAAACTTCTTCATTCATCTATCGTCAAGCCTGACAATTTCATGGATATTATCTAAAATACGTGCAATTAACGCGACTATGCTATTTCCGCTAGTCGATTTGTTTATAGTGAAAATTGCAACAAAGAACGACTTATGCTTAGAAAGTAAGTCTGCCTCGGCGTTGAGTTGTCTTGCCATTTTTCTATTACATCTACTAATTACAACATCCACATTGTCACTATAGATTGAATTGTATAATCGCTTTAGATTTCACAACAATTAATGCAACTTAAGAATTAAGCGCCCCCATAAAGAGTTGGCAAACCACACAGTACTGGAAGATTATTTGTTTCAATAGAAGCAATAATCGTTTCCTCACCCATTGCCGCAAGCAAACGCACAAACAATTGATGAATCCATTCATCGACATCAATCTAAAATCGTTGTTACAATCATAACAATCGCCTATTTATATCAATTGAACCATTCAGAAATAAAGCGGCGCTAAAACAAATTTCCCCACTTGCTAGAATCGTCGCCCACAACTCATGGTGGCCTCAAGCAGGTATTTTCATGACAATGCAAACCTTCAAACAACTAATAAACTATACGATTGAGAAAAGTAAGCAAGGAACAAAGATAACATTGTATATGCACCAATAATTACAAACCGACCTTCATTATCTGAATTTGAAACATCCTTCGCAGATTTTGTCACCAATAAAGCCATGAGCACTATGCAGATTATAAACAAGATAACAGCAACGGAAACAGAAATAAGGAGTCGCAGATTTTTCTTTAAACTCCGAAAAGCGAAAGTTTTTTCTTTTAAATCTCCAGTCAGTTTCGTCTCAGACAAGCCACGAGCGTGCTTCGATCCTTTCATTTCAAATTCCAACTCGGTAGCGTCGTTTTCTGCAGCCATTGCTTTGTTAGTTGTTCCTATCGCGATAAGAGGGAGTTTATTACTTCATTAACAATTCATCCAAATGACCTTTTCAACTTTATTCGAGGCTTAGAGGGCTGGCCTGTAATTTGATAATGTAAAATCCAAAATGTTTCTAAATCTAAGGAAGTGTTTTAAACGAAGAAGCCACACGAATTATATTTGTTTAGCCATAAAAGCACTGAACTGAGACAAAAAGACGTAATGTATACAATTTAAAGGAAAACTTACGCAGCAAATTCAAACGCACCACTTTTTCCGACAAAACACAACGTACAAGTATTTTGATTATGTGAAAGTAATCCAAAATGAAACTGGCGTCAAATAGACGTAGCAATTCCCTTTCGCACTTAAGTGCTTTCTTTCTCTTAATTTGTATAATATTTTGCCCAATCATAATTGAAATAGATTTGCAAAAATTAGTTTTTTTGTATAGCTTTCAACACAATTACGTTCGCAAAGTGATCATACTGTCTAGGAGACGTTACATTAGTTAAAACAGCAGGTCATTTAAATCGTTATAAGTCCAGCGCAGGTGGAAGTCGCACACGAGTCCATTAAGATGCACGAGAAAAAATATAGAAAACATTCAAAGAGATTATAAATTAGTAAACACGGTTTGCAATACATACGTGCGAACTTTATCGGTCCGATAAATTGAAATACAGCATCGAAAGAATATTTGAGTCATTAAAGAATTTGCTATAAATGCTACATAAATGAAAACTTGGCGAATGGCGGGAAACATGATTCTTAACGAAATTTGTCATTTAACCACATTAAATAGCAGCGGATTTGAGTTTTGCAAAAAGTAAACGAAGGTCTAATGGCTTTTCTTAGTTAAAAAGCATTTGGTATTTCATAAGCTTGTACTATTAATGTTGCATTTTATTTAGCAACTCACCGCGAGCAAGAAAACTTCCTTATGTAAACAAACTTTCTACAATTTACCTTCTTCCTTTTAAGATGAACGAGCAAATACGAAAAAGTCAATCAGACAATAACGATGAACAGTAACTACTTTAATAACTCCTCTAATCTACTCTAATCGGACTAAGGAGTTATTAAATAATAGAATTATTTAATAACTCCTTAGTCCGATTATTTCTATAGCGTAGTAGCTAAGTACGTCATGGTTTTTTGAACCAATCATAACCGCCTACCATATATATGGGCCCTGAACCAGATGAAGGTTGCATCCAACCAAGCAGGTTGCATCTGGGTCGCATGATCTGAGCATAATAAAGTAATGTCAAGTCTAGGTATCAAAAGGAAGAGACATTCCGAATTTTGAATAGCATCACAAAGCCAATTTTAAAGCAACGTATTTCTTCTAAAATTTCTCTTGCTAAAGAGGAATTTTAGAAGCAAATTTTATATATCAAATAAATGTAAATCGAAACCACGACAGTTGTTCACAAATGACGAATGTTAACTGGCCGAAGAGGGATGTTAGCTAAAAGTGATGATGTCATCCAAGAAATGTGTTGATGTCATCCAAGGGATTTTTCTCTGCATGCATCGAGCAGAATTTACTCTCCTATGTTAAAACGTTATCAATGATAAAATATTAATGCCCAACAAAGTTTTGACTAGAGCCATAGAAATAGTCCAAGAATTGTCTTTTAACTTCTCTTTATTTTACTTCCTAACTTCCTTATCATATATCCATTTGACACCGCCTCTTTTAGTAGTAATTTAACACTCAATTGTAATAAATATATCTTGTCTTAACATCCTATTTATTGTCTGAAGATGTCTTGAGTAAAGACGAAACGTCACAATAAATTCAATTTTACAATTTTTTGGTCTATTTCTATGGCTCTAATTAAAACTTTATGTTGGGCATTGATTTTTATTACACGAATTCGATTTCCGCTCGGCAAGTCTCTCGCTACAATGATAAAAGAGTTCTTTCTATATTAATACTCCTCGGCATTTTCGAAGCATTCCTTTTGAAATAGTGTATCCTGTAGAAACTAGAATCAACGATGAATGCTCTTGACAAACAAGTAAAGATTTTAATGCCAAATTTGCTATCAAAACTAGGGAGCACGCTACTGAAAACTATAATTTGAGAAATAAATATTTATGTCTGAAGTAAACATTGTCCATCTATGGGCAAACTTACCTATAAACGTATGCCTTATGCCGTGTAATAAATATGAATACTTTACGTATACCACAACAGTTAAAAAAAACTCCTCGAAAAAACTATTGGGGAAACGAAAAAACAACTTTTTCACAAACCTTGGCAAATGGAAGAAAAACAACCTCTACTCACGTGATTATAGATCTCTTAAAAATTGTCAATTCTTTTCATATATATATCAAATGCAATGAATTTCGATGGAGCTCTCAATGACCCTCCCCCGTGTTATCACTCTGACAACAAAGAATATTTATCATGCATTTGTGCGTTTGTGTTTGTGTGACGATAACAGAATGTAAAAGGCGAAAGACGAAGGGAATGGTAAGAAATTATGACTGGGAGTACAAAGCTAGTCACTATCCGGAGGTAGAAGGTGATAGAATATAAATGCATAACGTACATGAATGGTAAAAATACTAAATATAATGAGTTCTAGGTGGTTGGGGAGATTCATAATCATCGACGACCTGGGGCGAGTTACTTTTCTTTGGTGGTTTTAGGATAACATCACATGTCTTGCCAGTCAGCTTCCCAAGCTTACACTGCACAAATTTTTTAACATGTTTATTAAGATATGCCTCAGGCGCAGAACCTTGAGACAAAACCTGATAATGAAACTCTTGAATCTTGAATGTATCATTCAGTTGTTTCTTTGCATAGTTTCTAAGCTCAACGAGTTTCTGTTGACCCAACATGTACGCTGTAGCTTGTCCGGGAGAACCCTGGTACCGAGTTATCTCCTTTCGAGCAAGATCTGTCTCGTCCCAGGCATAGTGCGCGAAGTACCATAAGGCTTTGCTTCTGGGAAGTCCAAATAATAAAACTATTATTCATAGTTAAACGTTTGTGGTGGATAAAAATGAGTCTATGACTTAAAAGTATGCAATTGTAAAGCATGTATTACAATTCAAAATAATAGGCTAAACATCCATGTATCGTATTTTCTCCATTTGTCCCCCCCCCCTGAAGGTTTTATTTCACTCAAATCGTTTCTATTATTGTCTTGGTACGCTACACTGGGGCCTAAATAGATTTTCACGCCAAAGTGCAAATGCGATTCTGGTTTCAATATTAATTTCTAATCATTAAAATACCTAATTCAGTAAGTACAAAAGTGCATTTTAAAAATGAAAAACCTAAACACATTTGATTTGTTTGAAATTTTGATACAAAGGAAGTGATTATTTTGATCTTTACATGTAACTTTCAGACAAAAATACAAACGCCTAAATCAATGAATAGCATTCCTATTTTGTTACAATTTCACAGCGAGATTGATTTCCCGTTGAGTTTTAATTTACTGAGAGTGGGAGATAAAAAGATGGTCGGAGTTTTTTACGGCCTTTCGTGTGGGAAATTATTATGATGTAAAAAAAGGCTGGAGATGAATAGAGGAATATAGATACGTTAGTCAAAGTGAACACATTCTTTCCTAATCCAATTTCAGTCTCTCCAACTTCTCTCTATTAGTCTAACTTGATTTTCTAGTATACTCGGGATTTTGCAATTTTTTTCACTTTACAGCAAGTGCACGTGCAGAAAACATCAATGCCATGTAATACATGAAGAGAGTCCATAACCGACCGCTACGTCACATACCTATTCATTATCAAAGGCATGGGGAGAGCATAACTGCCCCGTCACATACCTAATCATTATCTAAAGCATAGGAAGAGTATAACTGCTACGTCACATACCTAATCATTATCTAAAGCATGGGAAGAGTATAACTGCTACGTCACATACCTATTCATCATCAAAGGCATGGGGGAGTATAACTGCCACGTCATATACCTATTCATTATCTAAGGCATGGGGAGAGTATAACTGCTACGTCACATACCTATTCATTCCACGATAATGTAATCCAGTATCAACAATCAAACGTAGAGCTCTCCATACCTTTAAATGAAAAGAATAATTGATAAAATTGTCATATTAAATTGTTTAATGTACACCCAACAAAAATTGATGGGAATTATTTCTAGACAAAAAACACAAACCTACACACATATGCTAGTTGATTTAAACATTTAGGAAGCATGGGATTTTTTGATTTTCAGACTATTTCTTACAAAATAACTAATGATATCCAAGGATACTGCAATGTTTTCAACAGCTTGTATATTCAGGCAACCTTATATATGTTTTGCTTGCAGTTTCCATTGGTATATACCACTTCCACGATATATCTCTCTCGTAAATGGCTTCATGTATCATGAGCAAACCATGGCCTTCATGACAAATAAAGATCATTCTACTTTCCTACACAATTGCAATGCTATTCATTATGAAAAGCGCTACAAATATCATGAAGTAGATCATCATTCTCATACATCAATTTATTTGTGTAGCTTAATGTGATTAGTTTCGTAGTAGCTTAATGTAATCAGTTTAGTAGTAGTTTAATGTAATCAGTTTAGTAGTAGTTTAATGTAATCAGTTGAGTAATAGTTTAATGTAATCAGTTTGGTAGGACCTTTGTCATACTAATCGCACGACACATAACGATAGTGTGGAACGTTGCCTGGCAACATATAGCTTGTTTTAACGAGTACAACTGTGACTCACCCAGAATCTATTATTTTGTTTTGTACCTGCCATTTTAGCATGCCAAACTTTTGCATCGGCTCTTCTTCGTAGGTGTCGGTGTCCTTGGCAATGACGGGGTTTTCCGAATACAAACCCCAGCCTTCGGTAAAGAATGTGTAATAGGTTCTATCGTCCAACCATTTCGGCAGACCACCGTAAGGGTCTTTGAAATATTCTATATGACCTTAAAATAAAAGTCTCCTTTTTTGAGCTCAGAGCAAAAATAACTATTTAACTTGACGTTTTCTTTTGTTTATTCATCACTACATACATCAACACACGTTATATTATTTCTTGTAAAGATTGTTGTCGTTCTCTGTTGTTCATTTATTACTACCTACACTGACACTCGTTATCTTATTTCTCATATATGTGTAAAGACTGTTCTCGTTGTCTGTTAATCATTCATCACTACCTACATTGACACTCGTTATCTTATTTCTTATCTATTTAAAATACTGTAAAGACTGTTCTAGCTTTCTGTTAATCATTCATCACTTGCTACGTTCACACACGTTATCTTGATTGTTATACATTTTAGACGATGCAAAAACTATTCCCGTTCTCTGTTGTTGATTAACACCTATACTCAGACTAACATGCATACGCTACTTTCTGGCCACACGAGAAACTAAACTAGATTAATACATGGAAAACCCACTTTGTATTTGAGTGTGGTGTCCAGGCCACGACTCGTGCGCTGTTACGGACCACTCCGAAAACCGAGGACCATGATTTTCTAGAAAGAAAGGTAGACCAAACTTTGCAGGAGTTGTACACGACTTAGCAGTGCGTTGGAAGAACTGCGCTCCTGCCGAAGGATTAAAACTAGGCTCCATTTCAATAGGACAGTTCGGAACTGTTATCCATTCACCAGTATGATAAAACAAATTGATGATTTTTGGTGCTAGCATGCTCATGACCTTTCGACAGGACGCTATCCAAGCCTTCAATGATTTGTAGCGTCCCGGACAAAACTTTCGAGCACTTTCGATGTCCGTGCAGCGTTGGTGGGCTGTGGCATTTGATTCAATCTCGGGAAAAGGTTTCTTGTTGTAATATGACTTTTGATTTGCCAGTATCTTACGAAAAGCTGTTATGGCGGCGGTTTCATGTGACAGTCCAGTGACATTTTTAGCGATTTCTACGACCTATAACAAACAATTTTGTAAGGAGCCAAAGCATAATTTGACAAGGATTTTACGAAAACAGACAGGAAACAACTGATATGATAATAAAGACATTTTTTAATTTATTTGTCCTTCAGATTCGTTCAACTAGGACTTGATGAAACATTCCTATGTAGGAGAGTTTAATATAGTTTAAAAATGAGTGCATAACAAAGATTTCTTTACGTTTAAGAGATAAAACCTTTCTTGAGATATTCCTTTATTAAATCACAGAAACAAAACTTTACCTGAGGATAGAGGACATTCAATCGTTCATGTCCGATTTCGTTCACTCTTTCAGGAGTAATGTCACTCGTAGTAAAATAAGCCAAAATGTCTTTGTACGATTTCTTTCCATCAATAATCGTGTTTGTGATAGGAAATCTCCTGGTAGTGCGATTATCTGTTCTCTTTCCATCGACATATATATACTTCACTGGAAGATTGGCAAGACCACTGGCATGATTTAATGGAAGGCAATGTCGTAGATGTACATTTTCCATGTATTTAACAAGATCGACTACAGGCTTGCCAATTCCTAAAACAATGTTTATTTTAGAAAGTTTAAATTTCTGAATTGCTTTATATAATGTCTTTATAAAGAGTGACTCAGTATTGACACTTGAGTTCTTGTCTTGGTATTTTCATAAAAAGTGATCTTATATTGAATCTTCAAATACACCAATCCAGTGCCTTTATCACAAGTGATCTTATGTTGAAACTTGAGTTCTTATATATACCATATACTCCAGTCTAGTGTCTTCATCAGGAGTGCATAATCTGATGTTGAAACTTATGTTTTTATATACTCCAGTCTAGAGTCTTCCTCAGGAGTGCATGATCTGATGTTGAAACTTGAGTCCTTATGAACTCCAGTCTAGTGCCTTCATCAGGAGTGATCTGATGTTGAAACTTGTGTTCTTATATACTCCAATCTAGTGTCTTCATCAGGAGTGATCTGATGTTGAAAATTTTGTGCTTATATATTCCAGTCTAGTGTATTTACCAAGAGTGATCTGATGTTGGAACTTCAGTCCTGATATACCATATACTCTAGTCTAGTAACTTCACCAAAAGGGCCATGATGTTAAAACTTTCCAAGGTTTATCGACTAACAAGGCTTTGATTTTTTTTTTGACTCTGCTCATTACCTTCAATCAAACTTTCTTTAACTGACTGGGTAAAATCTTTCTTGTATGTTACCATCCATTTCTCTCGATCTGTCGTCGACAAATTCTCGATGAACTTTTCTTTAGTGTACACATCTACAAACCACTCGTTCACCACTTCACTAGCGTTATTTTTACTTGAAATTTTCTTGAAAATCTGTTTAAACGCGTTGATGCCGGCGATACAGTTGAATTTGGAGCGAACCATTCCAGTTCGAACGCCTAGCTGCATGTTTGATCTTAAAATACAAATTGTATACTTTCCTGTGAATGTTATTTTTAAATTAAAAAGGTTAACGTGCAGCAAGCCAGATTATTTAATTCTGTTAAATCATCCTGTATTTTAAAAAAATGAATGATGAGAATATCCTGCACTTTACATAGCAGGACCATCACAAAACTAATCAGAGGGATTAGAACATGGAAATATCAGAACATAGAGCTAATTCCAAGGACTAGAACGTTAAGGCTGATTTCCATTCAGTGCAAATTGTCGCGAAATCGACTTTTTCCGATCACTTTCTATTGAATTGTGTGTAGCAGTATGAAACTGTTCCGGTCGAGAGCTTATAACAGAATTATCCCAGGAATGAGAACAACAAATACCTAATCCCAGTGATCAGAACATTATAGAACTAATCCCAGTGATCAGAACATTATAGAACTAATCCTAGTGATCAGAACATTATAGAACTAATCCCAGTGATCAGAACACTATAGAACTAATCCCAGTGATCAGAACATTATAGAACTAATCCCAATGATCAGAACATTATAGAACTAATCCCAGTGATCAGAACATTATAGAACTAATCCCAGTGATCAGAACATTATAGAACTAATCCCAGTGATCAGAACATTATAGAACTAATCCCAGTGATCAGAACATTATAGAACTAATCCCAGTGATCAGAACATTATAGAACTAATCCCAGTGATCAGAACATTATAGAACTAATCCCAGTGATCAGAACACTATAGAACTAATCCTAGCGATCAGAACATTATAGAACTAATCCCAGTGATCAGAGCATTATAGAACTAATCCTAGTGATCAGAACAGTATAGAACTAATCCCAGTGATCAGAACATTATAGAACTAATCCCAGTGATCAGAACATTATAGAACTAATCCCAGTGATCAGAACATTATAGAACTAATCCTAGTGATCAGAACATTATAGAACTAATCCTAGTGATCAGAACATTATAGAACTAATCCCAGTGATCAGAACATTATAGAGCTAATCTTAGTGATCAGAAACTTATAGAACTAATCCCAGTGATCAGAGCATTATAGAACTAATCCTAGTGATCAGAACATTATAGAACTAATCCCAGTGATCAGAACATTATAGAACTAATCCCAGTGATCAGAACATTATAGAACTAATCCCAGTGATCAGAACATTATAGAACTAATCCCAGTGATCAGAACATTATAGAACTAATCCCAGTGATCAGAACATTATAGAACTAATCCTAGTGATCAGAACATTATAGAACTAATCCCAGTGATCAGAACATTATAGAACTAATCCTAGTGATCAGAACACTATAGAACTAATCCTAGCGATCAGAACATTATAGAACTAATCCCAGTGATCAGAGCATTATAGAACTAATCCTAGTGATCAGAACATTATAGAACTAATCCCAGTGATCAGAACATTATAGAACTAATCCCAGTGATCAGAACATTATAGAACTAATCCCAGTGATCAGAACATTATAGAACTAATCCCAGTGATCAGAACACTATAGAACTAATCCTAGCGATCAGAACATTATAGAACTAATCCCAGTGATCAGAGCATTATAGAACTAATCCTAGTGATCAGAACATTATAGAACTAATCCCAGTGATCAGAACATTATAGAACTAATCCCTGTGATCAGAACATTATAGAACTAATCCCAGTGATCAGAACATTATAGAACTAATCCCAGTGATCAGAACATTATAGAACTAATCCCAGTGATCAGAACATTATAGAACTAATCCCAGTGATCAGAACATTATAGAACTAATCCTAGTGATCAGAACATTATAGAACTAATCCCTGTGATCAGAACATTATAGAACTAATCCCAGTGATCAGAACACTATAGAACTAATCCTAGCGCTCAGAACATTATAGAACTAATCCCAGTGATCAGAACATTATAGAACTAATCCCAGTGATCAGAACATTATAGAACTAATCCTAGTGATCAGAACATTATAGAACTAATCCCAGTGATCAGAACATTATAGAACTAATCCCAGTGATCAGAACACTATAGAACTAATCCTAGCGATCAGAACATTATAGAACTAATCCCAGTGATCAGAGCATTATAGAACTAATCCTAGTGATCAGAACATTATAGAACTAATCCCAGTGATCAGAGCATTATAGAACTAATCCTAGTGATCAGAACATTATAGAACTAATCCCAGTGATCAGAACATTATAGAACTAATCCCAGTGATCAGAACATTATAGAACTAATCCCAGTGATCAGAACATTATAGAACTAATCCCAGTGATCAGAACATTATAGAACTAATCCCAGTGATCAGAACATTATAGAACTAATCCCAGTGATCAGAACATTATAGAACTAATCCTAGTGATCAGAACATTATAGAACTAATCCCTGTGATCAGAACATTATAGAACTAATCCCAGTGATCAGAACACTATAGAACTAATCCTAGCGCTCAGAACATTATAGAACTAATCCCAGTGATCAGAGCATGATAGAACTAATCCCAGTGATCAGAACATTATAGAACTAATCCCAGTGATCAGAACATTATAGAACTAATCCCAGTGATCAGAACATTATAGAACTAATTCCAGTGATCAGAGCTTTCTAAAGATATGAATGGTGAAAATGTAGTCAAATTTAAATAATAGGGAAAAAACATTAGGCTGACAACGCCACCGAGAAAATCAAACCCTGACAACTGTAACCTGTTAACTCAAGCCAATTCCTTCAAGAGCAAAAGTTGTGATGAAACTTGGTTTGAAAGGCAAAAACGAAAAATTTTAAGTTTTAATGACCTTGTTTTGAAATGGCACCATGTAATCAGATTGTTTGAAATTTTGATAGCTTGTGCAACACAATCCATATTTTGAGGGTGATTAAATTACTTTTCTAATGGATGATTGCAAAGTTGTATTGCCGCAAATTCAGAACAGAGGGAATGTCTAATCTCATCTAACCGAATCTGGTAAAAAAACTTTTCTGGTCACACTGCTCACAACACTTACTTGAATTGAAAAATCGAATGCCTGTTCGATAAAATTTTCTCTATAATTTTCTCAGCGTCTTCAAAACTTTGTGGTGTAACACGCCTTCCGTAAGAGGCGATGTGGTAAGGAATTGAACAGATTGCTTGCCAACAAAAATGATTTGGACCCAACATCCAATCTGCATTATAAAAGTTTTCGTCGTAAGGGGCACCAAAAACCGTCTTCAAAAAGTGCTTCACCTGAAAGAAATGTTACGAATCAACCGTGCTTCAAACAGACTTAACCTTGGTTTCAAAATTTTGGTTGAGTTGAAAGCTTTTCTCGATAAAGGACGCGTTCACTCTACAAAACTATAATTGTCACTAATAAAATTGCGTTAATAAGATTTTGTCCAATTTTGAAAACAAAATTTTGCTAAACATTTAAACTTCGAAAAAATTTAAATGCTTAACACTTAACGTTGAACTAAAATGTTTAGCTTTTTTCTGAGAGGGAAATAGCCAACTTTCAACTATCTCTCCTCCCAATTTAGGATCTACCCTCTTAAAGCCAATGTCACAAATAGGAATTGCAAGTTTTTTTCAGTGAAAACAAAATGCTGTTTTTCGGTAAAGTTAAATTTTCGGTTTACTTGCCCTAACGGATGCATGCAAAAATAATAATTCAGGGTGGGTGGGTAAAATCATACCTGCTCTAAGGAAGGGAGGGGTGTAAAATAATGCCTGCTCTAAGGAAGGGAGGTTAAAATAATACCTGCTCCAAGGCTTTAACTTCGCGAGGGGTCATTTTATTTTCATCGATGGTTTTCGTGTTGATTTCATCTAAAAGTTTTAACGCAGCATCCGTTTTTTCTTTAAGATATGCTGGAGTTGCGTTGTAAGGAAGATGTCTAATAAAGTAAAAAACACGTAATGTTATACAGGTGCTGTGTATGTTAAATGTGATTGGTTCATTCGTAATGAAATGACTTGAAATAAATGCAATGTATTCCGCTGGAGAACAAGTAAAAATATTTGCTTGCTCATCGTCAAAGCCCACTGTTTCCTGCCGGAGCATGCATTAAGTGCATAGCGACATCCTCAGTTCTTTCAAATCATAGTTAAAATCTTTAAAAGTTGAGCTGAAACCAAATACGCTTAGTTCCATTGATAAATGAATTTTGTACATATGCTAGTAGCAGTCGAAATAATATGATTTCAATGATATTAACTAATGCTTATTATATGGCAAGTTTCATTTCCGGTGAAATAACGTGATTTGATTGGCGCAGAAACATTTTTGCCGTCTATTATTTTCCCGTAACAGACCAGCGTTTCAATCAATACGCGTAACTTTTCGACAAAATGTAAATATATTTCCTCAAGGAAACAGCAAAAGTTTTGTAAAACGTAAAAAGTAAAACAAAAAAATGACACATAGGCCAGTCTAAGCCTGCTTACAACCAGTCACTATGACAACTTAACAAGTAACAGCATGAACGACACTAACCCGCGTTTCAGTTCTTCGGTTGTTATGTCAGGTTTTGACGAAAGCCAATGTGAATTATACTTGTAATATGTATCTTGAACCCTTTGTAAGAAATCTTGTAGTTTGATTCGTTGAGCTTCATCAGAATAAACGTATATGCTCGAATCTAAAGAAAAGACAACGTGATAACGAAAAAAGTGTGATGCATTTTGAAGAAACTCAGTAGCATGATATCGGTGCTGCATAAGGGCGGCGGAATATTGATAATTAGGAGGGGGGGCTATTATTCATAAATGCATGTTTCACTTTATTAGTTTCTATTGAAAACAATTGTGTTTACGGATTATAACATATGAATATGTGAATATAGCCCCCCTAATTATCAATATTCAGCCGCCACTGGTGCTACATAAGTAAATTTATCAGAAGGGGGAGGAGAGGGCATTTTAAAGAAGGCGAAGGCATGAAATGGTAAAAATGTGTTACGTCTTCGTATGATGTCATAGAAGTTAACAACGTCTCACTGAGTCCATGACTAATAGCTGATAGACGTTACTCTCGCACGAAATGGACTTTATGTTTGGAATGGAGTTACACTCACAGTACAACCAAAGTCTTTAAAGACATTGCCACTATATGAAATGGACTTTATGTTTGGAATGGAGTTACACTCACAGTACAACCAAAGTCTTTAAAGACATTGCCACTATATGAAATGGACTTTATGTTTGGAATGGAGTTACACTCACAGTACAACCAACGTCTTTAAAGACATTGCCACTATATGAAATGGACTTTATGTTTGGAATGGAGTTACACTCACAGTACAACCAAAGTCTTTAAAGACATTGCCACTATATGAAAAGGACTTTATGTTTGGAATGAAGTTACACTCACAGTATAAACAAAGTGTACGTGACAAGGTTCGGTAGATTCGTTTGAAAACTGCGATTAATAAATTATAGATTTGGAAATTAGACGAGAAGCTAATCTCCAAGCATAGACTCCAAACCAAGCACCCCCAACATAAGACTTACTGAACACAAACGAGCTAGCACAATGAAACAAAGCTAAGCCTACTACATTGCCGAACATAACAGACAGACAGAGCATAATACAAGACTGGGACTCGGCAAAACGTACTACTTATAGCACTTACTACAGCCTCTACACACAATATGATGACGTAGGATAGAGACAAGAAATAAGGCAAACATTTACTCCTCACTGGACTCTGAAGTTCACTACAGCAAAAGATGTCAAAACATCATTCACCAACAACATCAACAGCCCTTCTCAGGACTCTACTAACCTGGACGATCTACATCTTCAAAAAGGATACATTAAGGAGAAACGCTGTACAATAGGATAATAGGATATTTTGTCGTCAACAGTTGACAGAAGCACAGTTTACCAAACCAAGAAATTTAAAATCTGACAATGTTTCCACGATAGAAACAGTTCTTGTAAAAAAGGTTTTCTGATCAGGCACGATCTCACGATTCAGCTTGTTAAATGCCTGCCAGTTGAATATTTGTTTAATAAGCTCTCGATAACACACCAAAACGCACGATTTAAAACAGTTGAGTTCATTCATGTTTAAATATTATCTAATTTCACGTAGAAGTTTACATAAAACAATTTTGAATGCAGACATCTTGTGTCGTAATATTCAAAAAAAAGCTTTGCATTTTCTCGTTATTTCTGCTAGCTGTGTGCACGAAATTTTGTCTGTTACACTATTGCACTCAAATAAAAAGTTAAAAGTAAAAAGTTACGACAGCTCTGTACTCATTAGCCGTCAACAAATGATGAGGTCATGTCCGCAAGTACCAGCAACTTGTCAGCAATAGTGGACGCAGGATTATAAAATGGAGAAGCGAAATGCGATACGATACCAAATTGCAGATTCAACGCAACATTCGGGCAGTACAAATTACATTATTGCTTTGTAAACACTTTGCTACATTTATGACAAATTTTTGTCAAAGCAGTTTTTATTAGAAATTGCCGTGTGGTAAAATGGATTTTCCTTAAAAAATAGCCAAATAAACTTAACGAAAGACAAAACCAAGCATTAACAACAAACATAAAAACGTACATGCATCGATAACTATAAACTGACCTGTTTCACCCGAACTTGAAACATTCTTCGAAGATTTATTCACCAATAAAGCAATGAGCACAATGCAGATTATGAGCAAGATAACCGCAACAAAGACAGCAATAAGGAAACGCAGATTTTCTCTATAACTCCGAAAGCCGATAGTGTTGTCCTTTGAACCTCCAGTCAGTTTCTTTAAACTACTGTACTTTGTTCCTTTCATTTCAAATTCCACCTCAGGAGCGTCGTTCTCATTAGTCATTTTCTTGCTAGTTGTTTATATTGCGTGCTGTTTATAGTATCAATTCATCCAAATGACCTTTTCAACTTGATTCTAAGCTGTGCTGAAGAGCTGGTCCTGTAATTTGATAACGTAAAACACTGTTCAATAGACCTTGTTGTATGGCAGAAACCGATGCAATAACGTTTAGCCACGTTCATTGAATATGATTTGTAAAAATAGGTTGGTCATAGATCTAGGGCGATTATCTAGGCATAATTCATAGTAAGTCAGTCAAACAGCTAAAAAATACTGAGGTTTGAGACAACAGCTAACTTAAATCCAGGGTTGGTACAATGAAAAAGAAATGAAATTCAAGAACTTTTAAAGGAACTTCAAGGACATCTTTTGAAAAATTTAAGGCGCGAAAGACCTTGAATTGTCTACAAAGCATAACTTAAGTAAGAAATCATTAAAACCATTATCAAAATTAAGGCCCGGTTCAAACGTTTGAACCGGGCCTAAAACGAAAGAACTTTTTCTCGTGAATCGCGAGCAAATGGCGTGTTTTCCATATGACTTCTACATGACATTATAACCCATTTAGCACACGAGTCACGAGTCACGAGTTATATTTTTTGCAACAAAGCTTGAAGATAAAATTTCAACAACACTTTTGGAAAGGAAGTAGTGCGAAGATGACATGTTTACAAAAATTCGATCAAAAATTCGAAGAGAATAACTTTTAAAGAATTTTTCAATTGAATTTCAAGTATATTCAAGTTTTGTACAAACTACAATCGCAGGAGAAAGTCAAGGGCTCTCTACTGGTACCTGAGAAATTAAACACTGTTTTTAATACACAAACACGAATTTGAATGTCAGGGGGTCGGTTGCACGAAGCCTAGACAGCGTTATCCATTGGATTGGAGATCGTGACTAAAACACCACATGAGTACATACGAGTACATACGAGTACATACGAGTAACATACGAGTACATACGAGTGACATACGAGTACATACGAGTGACATACGACTATTTTCTGGTGAACAAATGAGAAACAACACAATTTCTTCAATACATTGATATTTGCGTTTATTTTTCCTTGTATTTGTGTGGACTTTGGGGCAACCATTTGATGGATTTAAATGCTGAAAAGGTATTTTACATTCATTTGTATGTTTTAGTTGAATTTGTTATAGATATTTTGTCCATGCGATTTGCCAGTATTTGAGCGCTTTTTGACACACTTTCACCTAGGAAATACATATTTATGAAAGCGATTATACATTCATTTTGGTCTTTAAGATACTGATTTTTCAGTTAAAAGACTGAATTATATCAGCTACAACTTTAAAAACATTAAAAGTAAGCTGAAATTGTACGCATAATATGATATATATACGTAACACAGTGCAACTCTCATTTAATTCAAATATATATAATGTACATTTATTTCATATAGCACGTTTTGAAAGCATTATTTATACGTTGTTTATTTAATCGCTTTCATAAATATGTATTTCCTAGGTGAAAGTGTGTCAAAAAGCGCTCAAATACTGGCAAATCGCATGGACAAAATATCTATAACAAATTCAACTAAAACATACAAATGAATGTAAAATACCTTTTCAGCATTTAAATCCATCAAATGGTTGCCCCAAAGTCCACACAAATACAAGGAAAAACAAACGCAATTATAAATGTATTGAAGAAATTGTGTTGTTTCTCATTTGTTGACCAGAAAATAGTCGTATGTCACTTGTATGTACGCGTATGTTACTCGTATGTACTCGTATGTTACTCGTATGTACTCGTATGTCACTCGTATGTACTCGTAAGTTACTCGTATGTACTCGTATGTACTCGTGTGGTGTTTTAGTCACGATCTTGGATTGGATAGCAATTTTTTTAACTTTAATAAAACCTTTTAAAAAGCAAAAAAATATAACATTCGAACTGAGAAAACACTGAAATAAAATCTTGTTTCGAAGGTTAAGAAATTTTTTTGTCGTATGAAAAATATAAACACCTTTCTTATAAGTTTGAAAATTTCTGCTATCCATTGGATAACGCTATCAAGGCAACAGGCCGAGATGAACTTAACAGCAACAACTAATGTGTTATTGTGATCATATGATGGAGAATTTAAATTAAATTCTCCATCAAAATAAAATGTTCTTAATATTGATTAAACTTTCTTAAGAAGTCATCTCCACGACAATGATATGGACACTTCAAACAAAGTCCAAAATGTTGTCGGTAATATTAAAAAACACGCATGGGAAATATATTTGTGAATCAGTTGCCGTTGGCACGTCTGACTGGAGCCATTCCTGATATCCTCTTGTCAAATTACTACTCCGTAACGAAATAGATAACATCTAACCAAATAGAATCAGCAAGTCAGTCTCCTCAGCGATAGAAACTAAGTTGATTGAAACCATTTTATGCGATATATACAACACGTCAAAAAATCATCTTTTATAAAATGTGTTGTGTGGGTATTCAAACCAAACACGCATTTAACTTCTGTTAGACAAACAATAGCCATTGCCGACCGTATAGAAATAAAATTTTGAACGGTGTACTTTTTCCGTCGGTATTTTTGCAACATTTCGATAAAGCTGGATTTCCAGTATATCCGATAAAATGGCAAGTAACTAATGGTTTCATGTTTTCTATTAACTACCTACAAGATTTTCACTTCCAACATAATTCGATCGGTTAAGTCGTTCGCGGTAAATTAATTTCACAATTTAACAATAAAACAATAATCCTAAACTGGCGACTATAGATGAAAGGTTTTAAAAACTTACTTTATGCCATATGAGCGATTATCCGAATAAAGAACTTTTAATGTGTCACAAACCGTGAATCATTAAGCAGCCACGATGTGGGAATAAGACAATGGCCGCGGAGGAGTGTATCCAACTGTCGCGGGTTGCATGTCGCGGGTAAAAAGTCGCGTGTCACGGGTAAAATGTCGCGTGTCACGGGTAAAATGTCGCGAGTATAAAAAACACTTTTTTGCATGGAAAAGTTTGAAAGAAGTCGATGTTAAATTCCCCATAATTCTTTATTTCTATGTATGCCTACTTGAATGTGCTCTATGAATCTACGTTCTCTGCTGTCATTATTAAAATATGTCAACGGTGCTTTGGATATTTAAGATTTGTGTTTGTTATACATATCCAAATATACAAAACGATGCGTTGTTAATAAAAGAAGAATTATCATTAGTTTCGAGGGCCGTTAAAATTCTTATACAATTGAAATTTTAAAACCCAGTTCATAAATCATAAGATATGGTTTATTTATGTGTATAACTTGCACTTTCACACGACTATAAATTTGCTTTTCTCAAGCAACTAAGTTCCCATTACCATTAAAAGAGATGTATCCCAGTAAATCTTGAATGGTTAGTGATGCTTGGAATGAAAAGCTAACTATGTTTTCGATAGTGATTAGTGTATATAACTTATGTATATCAATATTTTATTTAGATAAATAGAACAAAACACATTGCCTATGAATCAGGATTTTACGTAACGCTTGTGGGTATTTCTATTGACAACAGAGAACGTGTATCTTACAGACCCTGGCTCTATGTGTAGTACAGTCATAACAAATATCAACTATTAATTCAAGATTTATTTGGATAGAACTCATGTAATGGATGTAAAACATATTATTGGTTAGTAAAAGAAACTTGCCAATCGTGCGCAAGGAGAAATGGAAGCGGTTTTACTTATGAATTATGATGCTAAACGAAATGTGTTTACAACTTGAGGTGGATTTACGGAGTTTTCAACAGCAATGTCCTCAAACCTTGCAGCCTCTAATTATAGAATTTACATACTGGTTACATTGTGTATATCGTAAGTATAACTTACACTTTCCGTCTGTTGGAAAGTTGCTTTCCCTTATAACTATAAGTAATTCAATTTCCAATGCAAGCTAATTTTTACATTTAGCAATGCCATTCAATATCTTCTGAGTGTCATATGTTAACAACATGTCTAGTTGTACACGAGTAATTCCTTGCCTTGTTGACGGTTGGTAAGTGCACAACTATATGCAAGATTATAGAAATAAAGTACTTTGAAGTTTAAATCCAACACATGTATGATAGGTATAACAAACACAAATCTTAATTATCCAAATCACCAGTGACATATTTTATTGTCTTTTTATACTTATGATATACCCAACGTACCCAGTATGTAAATTCTACAATTAGAGGCTGCAAGGTTTGCGGACATTGAAAACTCCGTAAATCTACTTCAAGTTGTAAACATCCACTTCAAGTTGTAAACATCCACTTCAAGTTGTAAACATCCACTTCAAGTTGTAAACACATTTCTTTTAGGATCATAATTCATAAGCTATGGATAGATTATATAAGTAAAACCGCGGCTTCCATTTTTCCTTGCGCACGATTGGCAAGTTTCTTTTACTTAGCAATAATATGTTTTATATCCATTACATGAATTGTATCCAAATAAATCTTGAATTAATGGTTGATATTTGTTATGACAGTACTATACACTTAGAGCCAGGTTCTGTAAGATACACTTTCTCTGTTGTCAATAGAAATACTTCATAAGCGTTGCGTAAAATCCTGATTCATAGGCAATGTGTTTTGTTTTTATGTATCCAAATATAATATTAAAATACACAAGTTATATACACTAATCACTATCTAAAACATAGTTAGCTTTTCATTCCAAGCATCACTAACCATTCAAGATTTACTTGGATACAACTCTTTTAATGGTAATGAAGAACTTAGTTGCTAGAGAAAAGCAAATTTATAGTCGTGTGAAAGTACAAGTTATACACATAAATAAACCACATCTTATAATTTATGAACTGGGCTTTAAAATTTCAATTGTAAGAGAATTTTAACGGCCCTCAAAACTATTAATAATTCCTATTATTAACAACGCATCGTTTTGTATATTTGGATAGGTATAACAGACACAAATCTTAAATATCCAAAGCACCAGTGACATATTTTAATAATGACAGCAGAGAACGTTGATTCATAGAGCACATTCAAGTGGGCATACATAGAAATAAAGAAGTCATGAGAATTTAACATCGACTTCTTTAAAACTTTTCCATGCAAAAAAAGTGTTTTTCAGACCCGCGACAGTTAGATTGCACTCACAAGACTCTTATCACGGCAGACTCTTTCGTTTATTTGCATCGTCTTTAAATTTCCGCCACCTACAACTTGTGTCGGCATTTTTCACTTACAAATTTGATAAGAAAAAATCTACATTAAATCAGTTGAGAGCACGCTTTTTAAGATTCCTCAGAATAAGAAAATATTTTTATTTCAAATACTAAATGCTAACAAACTAATGACAAACTATACTAACATTGCAACGTTGTAACAAGTACGCTGCCCATCCTGCCATTCGTGTGTTGCTCGTCATTTGATTCCTCATAAATGTGTTATTATTATTAATAAATTTTCAAGGTTCTATTGATCAGGTCTGATATTATATAAAAGCAAAATTTTAGGAAAAAAGAAGATTTTTTCACCCCTCCCCCCGCTTGTAAATCCTTTTAGGAATTGCATGACGTCAAATGTAGTTAAAAAAAATGGCAAATAATAAGATGATAAGGATATTTATGTGTGTAATCACTAGAGATAAAAACGCCAAGACAAATGAAGGACAAACAATGAAATTCAACAATACTTTTTAGTCTATTTGCCTTTGAGTAGAAAATTCGTATTTTTTCCAAATTAAATGTTTCATAGAAAGAAAAGCTACAGTTCCACACAAATAATGCATAAACTTCATATTATATTCATTGATATCCAAAATATGTATCTATGACGTTGCCAATGACAACGGTCAATATGTACGTCTAGTTATTTATTTTATCGTCACCAAAACTATCATCACGGCAACACGCGACCAAATTGACCCATCCAGTACATACCATAGATCAGTTTTGATATGAGCGCCTTACTTACCGACAACCAACGCAAGCAGTGCCATTCGTATGTACATACCATATTCAGCTTGGCGGAAATACGCGGCTCTTGGATCATTGTCGACATCCGTGCTAAAAACATAAGGGTGAAACTGTTTTAGCACAGACCTTATTTCATGTCTTGGTTGAAAGACAGATAGAGATACACAAAAAATATCGTTATCATCTCATTTTTTGTCGTCCATTTGCCTTTGTGCTCAATTTTTCTGTCTATATAGGAAAGTTCATATTGAACACACATGAAGAACAGATAGAATAAAAATATCTTTATCATCCTGTTATTTGTCCTTCGTTTATCTTTGTGTTCAAAACTTTCAAAAAACTTTATCTTTGTATCAAACTTTCCTGTATAGGAAGGTTTCGTCAAGCCGGTGACGTCAGCAGCTCGACAATCGGGGAGGAGGGGAGTGATAACAGACAAACTTCGAGCATATCTACATTACTTCTCACCTGATCTCATTAATTCTTGGCAATGGATGCATCACAACCATTTTCTCTTTAGCCATTGTCAAAGTTTCCGGAGTAATAATGTAACTGCCACAAACCTGTACAGAAAAAACATACATTATTTACATAGGATTGAAAATTGTTGATAATCAATTAGATGGAAATCGCTATGCCATTTTTATTTGCAAAAACCAATTAAAGAGATGTATTAAGATTATCTACAGTATCAAAAACAGAAGAGGCAGCACATCTACTACCTTTTCAAACTCCTCTGCATTCTCGAAACGTTCCTTTTGAACTCGTGTAACATAAAGTACATCCGTTTCGGGTAAAACTTCATCTAATCTGGTGAACTCTTCCTGTAGAATCAACAATAAATTGCCTTATTAATAATTCAATGTAATCCAAAATTCAATCTAATCTAATCTAATTCAAAATTCAAAGCCATGTAGTCAGAAAATACCAAAAATTACATAAAAAGATCTCTTATGGATGTTTTCTTGTGGATTTTAATCAATGATTGAAGACTCAGATTATACTCTATACATACCTGCACGATTTTTCGTTCGGCAACATACTGTTTTACTTCATCAGGCATTCGCAGGCTGGAGGGCGACACATACTTTAGGTTAACCCGATACAGACTGAGCAGCCTTGCCAGGGAATGAACTGTGCGACCGTGCTTGAGATCGCCAACCATGGTAATCTAAACGATATTAATTAATTGCGATTTCTCACTAATCTACGTTACACCAGTAATGAAATGATGTTAAAACTTGAGTCCTTATATACCGCAGTCTAGTGTCTTCATCAGGAGTAATCTGACGAAGAAAGTTGATTTCTTTAACTCCTTGAGTCGAGTGTCTCATATCATACTTCAATATGATCTGGTCAACATACCGTCAGTCCATTCACAGTCCCAATCTCTTCACGTATCGTAAAGACATCAAGTAAAGCTTGAGTTGGATGTTCACCGACACCATCTCCTGCGTTGATCACAGGTTTTAAAGAACTCTTTGCTCCTTCCTGAAAAAACGATCATTAAAACTCAATCTTCGGAGAAAAGTCAGCCACTTGAAGGAAAAGTTGCTTATAGTATCCTACAGTATGCTTATTGACGGAATGCCATGATAACAACGACAACATGAAGTATTTCGTGTATTTAAAATTTCTGGGAGACTCCCTCCCCAGTCATCATTCAAAGCATTAAAAAGCCTAGCAATTTACCACTGACTATAACTTTATTAATAATTCATGCCCCTTCGTGCCTACCTCAACAGCTCCTGGAGTTGGATGACGTAATACAATGACATCGGAATATGATTGCATCATTTGAACAGTGTCTACATGTAAAACATGAGAAAATGAAAACGCACAAGCTTAGTTATGGTATATAAAATAAAACATAATCCGAAAAAAGACATCTTGAAAACAGTCATATATCGGTTCTATTTCAACACCATCATAAGACAGAATGATATATTTTGGAGCTGGCAGTTATATATATATTTTCAGAGTAGCAGTCATGTTGTATTGCGAGAAAAATCAAATATATGAGCAGATAAGTGTGTTCTAACTGTTCCAATAAAATTTCCTCAGAAAGTAACTTAACAACTGCTCTTAATATCTAATCAATTTACAAAATAACCGAATCGCCAAAAATAACGAAAGATCGACGGAAAAATGATGAACGATAAATGATTTTTTTGGGAATATGAAACTGCACAAACCGGAAATAGTTTCGCCTTTCATAGCAGAAGAATCGGACGCCTTCAGCGGGATAACAGAACCGCCCAATCGCTGCATGGCAGCCGAAAATGAACAAAATGTTCTTGTGCTTGCTTCGAAAAATATCGAGCCCATGATACGACCCTAAATATAGAATGAAAAACAGCGGTCAAACAGCGTCTTTGCGTTTATGTGAAGGGAGGGGTGGGGGTTGTGGGTGGACAGTAACAACGACTTGAAAGCAATAATATTCTACGACTAAATCTTTGACCTCGCATGAGCTTTTACACTGTACAAAGCAGTTGGGCAAGTCTAAGTTTATCGGACCGAATCAAGTAAGAATCGCATAAATGGCAATTACCACACTTGCTGTCAGTTGGTACACCACCAAGTAATGAAACACACACGTGATTAGTTTAAACCAATCACGGTGTTGAATGGTAGAGCGGCATGATTAGTTTCGACCAATCACGGTGCCGAATGGCAAAAGTCATCCTTTCTGATCTTGTTTAGCTTAGTGGTTTGTTTTCAGTGATTTGCTGATTGTTCGAGACGTTAACTTACCTCAAGCAATGGCACATTGCCATCCCTTTGAACGATCAATCTCATTTCGTGAGCGACGTTGAACAAGTGTCGTACCTAAAAAATAACACACGAGACTGAAACTCTTAACAGGTTTTCCGCGTAAAATTCTTAGTATGTGTAAAGCAATAAATTAGAACAAAGTCCCAGATGTCTGACTACCGTGTCAAGGGGAGGCCTGTGGGTGAGGCAAGGGTGTTATCTTGAAAGGTGGAAAAGTTAAGAAATCTCAACCAAAAACAAGTTGAAAAAAAGTTAAGAAAACAAGCTTTTAAAACATTTATAAAACAAAGCTAGACTATTAACTCCAAAACTGCATAGTCGTACATTTCGTCTGTTTGCCACCTTTCAAGATGGCGGCTTGCCTCGTTCGTAACTATAAAACTTCGGCGGAGTCAAACATATGACAGATGAGGTTGAAGGGGTAGGAAAAGAGATCCTACAATGCTAAAGTAATGAAATTCAGGGACTTTCAAGAGAATATTACAAAAAAAAAAGAAGGGCGAACTTGAACATCATGCAAAGCACAACTAATGCAAGAAATTTTTAACCACAATATCCAAAGAACTTGTTCCGTTTCCTAGTTGTTTAATAAAGTGTGCATGCGCAGCTATTGTAGATTGTATAACAGATTGCACAGATCGTACCTGCGTTTTTGTGAAACTTTTAACGCTTAGAATGTGGCGACGATGCAAGCCGTGATATGAAGTGGGCGGCAAAATGAATTTCCGAGTGCGCGGCGGAGAGTTACGAACAGGTGCCGAAGCTGGTGTTGGCACTGGTATTTCCAATGTATGAGCTGGAGTAGACGTTTCTAAAGAAAAAAAGTACGAAACGGTTAGACGAGTCAAACGAGTCCAGCAAATTTCTCGTTGCTTGACAAAATATGCAATGATTTGAAAAAAGCACAAAGATGAAACATCATGTTAGGAAGGTTTAAATACGTTGACCGAGTTTTAAGATGGATAAGTTCAGATTATCCAACATCAACGGTTGTAATATAAGATGAATTGCTCGAATAAATGGATAGTACAAATGAAAATACTCGTCCTTTATTCCTTAACTTCAAATGCAGCATTTTATTTACTGTCAAACCTGTACTGCCCACGCAGCACCGTAGTAAACGGTCACCCTGGGTTAAAGCAGTCATGTGGTAATGTCCATATAATTTCATAATAAAAATACTACTTCAGCGAGCTTTTTTGAATGGTCACCTCTATGAGGCAGTGTTGACATACTGCAACAAAAGGAAAAACAACGAGAGAAAAAATAGCGCGCGATACGTTAGGCGGATGCGGCCATCTTTTTTAAGCTTCCATACTTATTTTTTAATTGTTTTGAAACTGTATTAAATGATATGGTAAAATTACAACCAGAATAGAATAAAATTTTTAACCAAATCTTTGTTAGCAAGCTTGTTAAAATCTTTCAGTTCGAGTAGTCCGCAGAAAAAAACAAAAGTTCAGGACTATATTTTGCTATTTGAAATCCAAGACATATACTGAGCTGTCGACATCAAATTATCACGTGGGAAATCCTTGAGGGTGACCACTTAATACAGGTTTGACAGTACAATAATTTTACACGTAAGACTGGGCCGAGTCTGTGTAAGCGTAATTGTCCTCACCAAATTTTCGTCTTTTTGCTGGAGGGGAATCTAAAAACGAAAAAATGGGATAGGGAAGAGAGTATTGTACTGTCAAAAAGAACTTCTCAAGTCTTATAATTATGGCCGATACAGAATGATGTGTAAAGTCAATCTGTGGAAACAAATGATGAAATGAAATATGTACAATTTTTGTAACATTTAGTACATGGCACGCGATCCACCAGCAAAACTGTCTGTCAAGATTTTTAGGTTACCGGCTGAGAAGTTTCCCCCAAATTGTGTGAACACTGTCCCACATTTCGTTCTTGGAACTTTTTGCGATCTGAACCATAGTTTCAACATTTCATCAACATTTATTTGGATGCAACCCACTTCGCTAACAAGTTTGTTTAAGGAGTAGCATTCGTTCGACAATGCAAAAACCCTTCAATGACGTTCGGAACGGATTCCGTTCACTCGGGGACAGTGTTTGAACATATTTGCGTATTAGAATAGCTGCCAAACAGTAGGAGGAAATTCATGGCAATGTAATCACACAGAGATAGGCGTGATTTGTGTAATCTCGCAATAATACAGGAAAACGGAATTTTAAACTTGGGTTTACCACTAGTCGCTCGAGTAATTTCGAAAACAAAATAAAAGCTAAAACTTCTAACAGCATAAGAAATACCAATTTGAACATTTCTTTTTGACCGCCAGTGTATCTAGTCCTCATTTATTTATGCAGTTCATCTTATACTCGGCAAACATTGGTTTTGTAAAATTCATTGTCATTTCCATGTGACAATAGAGTGATTTAACAAACACGACGTTTCGTCTAAAACGTCGTAAAAATGGCGTGGCATGCGCCTTTTACTTCCGGTTCAATCTACGACAGCAGTTGACGACTAATACGTGAAAACATACGATTTGAAGTCCTAACAACGGCTGAAACAAACTTAATTTTTGAACAGAAATAAGGATAGATCTTTGATATTCGCATCTTAAAAGATTATATAGGCCTACATATATTTATCAAAGTAAAAATTACGAATGTTTTGTTTCCTAAAGCGTAAAAAACAAACAAATAAACATCGCGGGGCCTGCTCTGATTTCGGGGGTTTCCTCGGAGTCAAAACAATTTTAGTCAATTTAAATGGAGATTTGGATACGATGGAAGCACTTTTGGAACGTCCGCGCTCATTTCTTAAAATAGGTGGTACCAAGGTAGAGTCGGCTATAGTGGTCATTATGCGTGGCCACTTCACCTACTGGTTTCTCAATTAGGGGGAGGGAGGGGGGATAACAGAGATTTTTTATTAAACTAATTTTTATCGAAATCATTACAGCTTCGAACTCTGGTCTCCAACTCAAAGCACGAGAGAGCTAATTTGTAAGTAGTGTCGAAAAGAAACTTAAATCGAACCGGCACCAAAGGGAGTGCAACTGGAGGAAAAGCACCGAATCTAATTTCCATAAGGGTGAAACTCGGTCTATCCTTGACTTCTCGTTTACCACCACGCTATTGTGGCCTGGGATGTGTCGAGCAGACATATGTGTATTTCTCTTTGCAGGTATGCTAGCAAGAAGAGGGGTCTTCATTCCATTCTGTTTGTACAAGCAATTGACTGTTGCATATTTCAAGAGCATTTTAACTTGAACGAAAGCTTCGTTTTGGAAGACTGTATTAATCACAATTAACTTGCGACAGTTCATGTGATTTAATCGTTATTCTTGTGAATACAGCCCCTGATCAATCACACTGCTTTAGGCTCAAATACCTAAATACCAGGCGTCTGTTTCTATTATGAAATTGTCTACTTTCTTCGAGAAACACTTTCCGCTTCATGTTGCGTGGTAGACTGAATAATAAAAGTTACTGAGAATTCTTCGTACGATAATATAAGTTGATTGAGAGTACTTAGTAGGATAATATACGGTGACTGAGAGTTCTGATTGGGATAATATACGGTGACGTAAGAAGGATCTATGACTTATAATACAAAATTTATAAGTTCATTAGTAAAACAAAAACAAGGTGGGAAGTACATTTATATACACATCTATGCCCAACACACGGACAAAACGATACTAAGAGTCATCATAAGCCGGATTTCTTTTATTGACATACAGTCAATTAAGAATGTTGATCAACTTTCTTTTCATTTAAGATCAAGGAAAAGCATAGTAGCCCACCCCCCGTCAAACGTTTCAATACAATCAAATGCATTTACCTGTACGTGGAGAACTGTGATCCCCAGAATGAAATGCTTTGTCAAAATTTCGCTGAATTGGAGGTGGAAACACCCAACGCTGATCCGCCATCTTCAACGGACTGCTTGGGGCTGAGGCAGCAGTATGATGTTTTAGAGGTTCCGACTCAAAGGGCACAAAACCATGACTGCGCACGTCTTCGCCGTAACCGGGTTTTGCAAGCACCTGGAGTGGAAATATTTGAAATGCGGGCTCATATAAACTTCGTGGAGTTTCACAGATCAAGTTTGGTAAGGACATTTTGGATACTTTTTCAACCAAAGAATTTGTTCGAGTTTTTGTTAAATTTGAAAAAGTGAAACATACTTCTATGATGAACGTACATGAACATTATCGTTTATTAATTATATATATCCCAAATTACTTATATCACATAACAGGGATGGGTTTCCAAGGGGGCGGTGTTTCCTGGTTGGGTGCACACCATTCCTAACCTAGGCTAAAGAGAGAACAGAAGGAATATAAACAATTACTATACCTTATCGGTGGTTGAATGGCCTGACCTAGTAAATAGTAACTGGGCAAGCGGGTAATCTCAATACGTGCAGTGGATGGCAATGAACGTAAACAAATGCAAACCAATGTTTGCAATTAGCGAACTTACCTTCCCATCCACCATTGCAATTTGTCCTCGTAAGACAACGCGCTTCACCGAGCCGTAGACCTTCATGCCTGCAAATGGGGTCCATCTGGACTTTGTGTACTTCATCGCGTCAGGAATAGTCCATGGTGAGCCCACTTCGACCTCAATATATGTGTCCGGTTGCTCCGGAAGTCCAAAGATACGGCGAGGGTTGGTGTAAAGTCGAAGTACAATATCCTGAAAAGTAATCGCATTTAGTACAGGTTCCCTAGATCTTAGAGCCGGAATAATTTCAGGAGTACCTTATCAAGGAAAACGCAGTTGCGGAAGAAATTTATTGACCATTGAAATTACAGAATGAACTTAAAAATCTTCCACAAACCTCGATAGTCAATCGTCCATCGTGAACAGCCGTTAGTAAAAGTGGAAGCATGGTCTCAAGGCCAGGAAAACCGGGGGGTGCGTTGTCAGAATTTTTTTCCGATACGGAATGAGGCGCTAGAATCAGAGAAAATACGATAAAGCAAAAAATTTTCATTTAAAATACGGCGAGATCTGCACTTCAAAAACTTTCCTGATCATGATATTGACGAGTACAAATCGTGGTCGATTATTCTCAATATCGGCTAAAATATTAAATCCAACTAATTAGGTGCAGCGCCATATTGAACAGTACCACTCTAATGGGAAATTTGTTATAAAAAAGAAATGCTTGCAGCGGTCACCATGAATTTAGGAATGGATTAGAAGCAGAAGCTTACTGTTAAGTCGTGAACAGGAAACATTGATCTTGAGAGAGAATATTTAAATCGGCACAATCTAAAGAGTACATGCTAAACAGCATTCAAATGTTTCCTACACTAAGATTTGTGCAGTTAAAACTTGACAGTTTGATTAAAGCATAATAAAAAATATCTCTACAAACTTTTCTACAAAAATCCAATGTTATAAATCGTGTTAACTTGTTAAAGTGAGACTGTTCAATACGGCGGCCGTTGTCATTTCAGACTTCAAGTTTATCTCCGCATGCACAATATATTTTCTACACTTAAGAAATAAAAGATGTTTGCTGTGTTTGCACGCGCTTGTGCAAACCGAGGAGACCTTTACGAGAACTCGAGAACAGATCAGTGCAAGCCTGAGACCGAAGGTTGAGGGTTGCACAAGCTCGAGAGTTCTCACAGACGTCTCCGAGGTTTGCATAAGCCTGTGCAAACACGAAAAAATTTTTTATTTCTTTTATAAAATAACAATAATGCGAAAAGGACAAACTTTTAAATTTTTACTCTAAAATGTATTCTTGATCGATTTGCAAATTCTCTTTGACTGATTGATTGTTTGATTGGTTGAGCTCAGACGTGTTTTGCACAGACTAATGCAAACACGGCTCTAGACCAATCACTGCACGCGTTTTATTGTTTTTATTTTATAAATATCAATGATACATTTTCACCAATGATTATAAAATGAAAGTTAACAACAAAAAGTAGGACGAAAGAAAAAGACTGGCGAAAAGAACGTTCTAAAGAACGAAATTTCCGGCGAAAAGTGCAGCTTGCGAACGTTTCTCATTGAATTTGGTGAAAATTTGAAAATTCGCATCCCTATATATTGCAGCTAAAGCTTTTTGACAAACCTTTTCATTAGTATAAAGTTTTTACTGGCTGCATCGTTGGTGAAAATATCAATGCAGTGAAAACAATTTGTATGCGTCTTGTGCTTTATCAAACATCTGACTTTGAAAGCAACTTATTTTTATGGCCGCTTTATAGTCTCATGCTAACACATTACGTTGCTAAAGAATGAGCTCAGGCATGGATGGAATACTTCACTTTCATACAGCAAATTTACAAAATATCCTGAGAAAATTTTTCATTAATAACTGTTGAAAACGAGCGTTGGCACATTATAGTTTGCAGTCACCAGAAAAGTTCTAAATTGTCTTGTTTACTTTATCGAATACGGATAACAGTGTCATGTGACTAACGTTTTCATTAGACCTGTATTTTGGATCCACTTTAAATTGTCAAAAAATTGCTTGTGCGTAATTTTCTAAAAAAAAATCCTGGCCAACTGCGCCGCAGGACATTTTCCGGACCTGAACTTGAAGTAGCTAACAACGTTTTCGTTCAAAAGAATTTCAAACAAAAAACGCCGAAAATTTACCGTGATCCGTCGCAAAACAATCAACGATGTCCATATTATCCCATAATGCTTTTTGATCTTCGGGCGTCACGAGATTTGGTTTAACTCGGCTTCTCGTTGGTCCAATACGTTCTACGTCATCTTGTGTCAGAAAGAGATGATGAGGGGCAACTTCACACGTGACAGGAAAACCTTTTTCCTTCATTGCTCGAATTATCATGATCTAAATAATAATACACACATAGTTCAAATAACTATGAATTACAGAAAAACACGACACAAGTATTGAAATGAAGATTGCGACTCAACATCCGTATTGCTGATAAGTTAACCACATCGTTTAGTTGTGGTGTAGTAAAGAATACGACAGAGCATCTAGACATGGTATTTCTAATCGGTTGAACATCGAGTTTGGTTGTGGTGCAATAAAGATTACCACGGAACATCTATGCATAATATTACCACAGAGTAATAATTACACAGAACGGCCACTCAAGTGTCTTCACAGCTTTTTTCACTTGGTTCCAACCATTCCAAAAACATGACGTCATTTCCTCGTAACGAAATCGACAATATTTTCATATAAAAAATGACGTCGGGTCATTTTAGTGTTTTGCAACAAGTGAAAAGCCCTATATATCTTGCTGGAGTAATGGCAGTCGATATGCGCGGCGAAACATGCGCGAGGATAAAAACACCAAAGCCTCCGACACGAGTGATATATAGGTATATTGGGTATATTCCCTATTCTGGGTATTTCTAATAAGTTTTCAGACTCAGAATTTTAACGGAAAGAATTCTTATTGTTATCTCTTTAAGTAATCTAGCATTTTGACGTACGTGTCATACCTCAGACTGTCTGGCGACGTGGCAGATGTGAATAGGTCGATCAGCGAGCTCAGCCAATAACAACACGGCGGCCGTTGTCTGACCTTCAGCATGACAGCAAATCGGAAGATGTTTTGGCCAGTTTTTCAAATGCTACAACATATAAAATTTAAGTAAAGTTACGTCATATTCACTAAAACCATAATGACGTAATGCAATGATGGCAAAAAGTACATGTAAATGAATATTGAGTGATGACGTTAAGAAAATATTTAATTGAATTGACGAAGTAATTTAAGAATGATTGGATTGATAGAACAAGATTTATCTACATCATTACTCCAACTTAGGCAACCAAGTGAAGGGTGTAGTCAGCCCGCATGCTAAGTCGTGCTCACTTGGGTTTTGCCAAGTAAATTTCAGCAGTCCATTTCCATTACCAGTTATTTTCTAATAAATCATTGTTTTTACAACGACTTAATACAGAAATATTTAAACAACAAGAGAAAACTTATGGGCTCACTACGCCACTTTTTCCGTAGAATTTAGCTGTGTTGCGTTGGAGTTGCATTTATCAATGCTAGTGGAAAACAAGTTTCTCGATGCGTTGTAACACATGCGCATTGCATGGAGTTTTTAGTTCTGTATACATGTATTTATGATACGACTTCTCAAAAGTAAGGGGTCTCGTTCGATAATGTTTGTGTTAAATCAACCGGTCAGGCGTCGTGACGAGAAAAACCGTTTCATTCATAATTAACGAACATGTTCACCATAATTCATAACGCATTAAGCCCTTCCCTACCCAATCAAAAAGCTTTCAACACTAAAATACCTTCATCCAGACACCACAATCGTCCAATTTCAAAGTCGAGAATGTGTCATTCAGATACATTTTGAGTGCAGCGCCTTGCCGAGCGAGTTGCGCAGAAATGGACGTGTTGCTAGTACTCGCGCCAAAATACAAACCGTAATCACAACGAGAACCTTGAGAAGCTGCCTATAAAGTTAGATATATATATATATATATATACTACATGAGCTTATTTCATACTTATCCTTACCCTACACTACTCATCAAAGTTTAAGACGAATGCCCGTATTTTAAAAGCTCACTCACAAACCCACACACATATACACATTGAGTGTGACATAAATATCACACTCTAGCTAATCATTGGCAAAGTCGTTTCTTCATCTATGGCAAGATTTTCTCTTAAATATTTCAAATCAAGCAATCAGTTGAATTAAATTGCGGTCTTCGCAGTATTATGAAGTGATTTTGAAGCCCTACTCATTGAGTCAGAGTGAGCGTAAGTGCTTAAGAAACGAAAATTTCTTAATCAAGTTATAGATTAACTCATAAGTTGTAGATTAAGTTATAGATGTTGTTAAGTGACAGCGGTTTTCGTAAAACAGTTCATGCATATCTCTATCTTTTCATCCTCAAGATTTTGATGTTTTTGTAATGCATAATTTACACATCCAGTGATGTGACATTGCACTGAGAGAAAGTGAATTTTCCTTTGCTATATTTGTTGACAAATTATTTCAGAAGGACAGAGCTCCGTTTGCTCTAAACTGTTGATGATTAAACTGTTCTATAAAGTCTACTGTCATTTTAAATATTCTGTTCAATGAAAATGTAATTTTCAGGGCCTGTAGAGCAAATATTTTACTATTTAGATCATATTTTCATTGAAAAGAACACTTAAAACGACAGTGGATTTTAAAAAGCAGTTAGGTCATCTTTTTCATTCTCTAAACATTGAAATTTTATGTCCAATTCACATTGTACAGTTTTAATTATTGAGAATATTTAATGATATGTTACATCAACCGAACAGAGTTCCCGTCGTTGTAAAGTGTTAATGTTATTATTTGTATTTTATCCAAAAGTTGGCAGGAAACAAAAGAATGTTCAAAAATTTGCAGCGACTCGTTTTGCAACGTGACGTCATTTCCTGTAGTGATGCACCGATATCGGCATATCGGCGTATCGGCTCTAAAACACAATTATCTATATTTATCTTGCTCATAATACAGACATTTAGACATTTCATTGAAAAAGAAATACAATTGAAATGAATCATAGTTCAACAATACTACATATATCAACTCAATAATTTTAGTTGAATTAATACTTCTTAAAATTTGTTGTTTCCACATATTAATTTCCGACGACGATTGTGTTGTGAAATATGACTGCAGTGTAAATATAGCCACTTCGAATTTTATATCTTTTTTATCAAATGAACAGTCACTGGTGATCACAAAGTGGCATAATTTATGTTTAAGTTCCGTAAAATGGCACAAAATATGGGTTATCGGTACAATATCGGTACAATATCGGCATTTTAATAACGGCTAATCGGTACATCGGTAAAATCCTATATCGGTGCATCACTAACTTTCCGTATAAATTGGACATCACAAAACTTCATTATCTTGAGAATGCAAAGAGATGTGATTAAAGTATTCTAAAAAGTACACTGTTATTTTACGATTTTGTTTTCAATGAAACTACAAATGTAAAGGCAAATTTTTGATTCACCAGCTCTTAAGTAATAAAACTTTTTCTTTATAAACACTTCAAGGGCATGAAATATGTATGTTTTCAACGAACTTCATACTTATACTACCACACGTCCTATTTTATCAACTTACCAGTTGAGCAGTTTGAAAAGAAGCCTGGTCGATAACTGCCGGCTTTGTGTTTGGCATGGCCAGGACCATAGTTATGCCGCCCGCGAGCGCAGCCGCTGAGCCAGAAGCAAAGTCCTCCTTATAATTCCCCCCGGGTTCGCGCATGTGTACGTGAACATCGATGAGGCCGGGTAGGCGGTATACTTGAAAGGAAGATAAACAATCGATGTGCGTTTTGATACCGGGTGAGCCGCGTACTCTACGTAAGGCCTGGCAACGAAAAGAAAAAACGCTTAGACGTCAAGAGGTAAGATACCATTATAAAATGGAATATAAATCTTATCTCTAGTTAATATAACTCCTATCTCGAGTTTAAATCATGTGTTATTAGAGTATGCTTTCTCTTATATTTTCTTGTTCCGCGCGCAGATTTTAGTGCGGGGACAAATTTTAGATTTTTATAGCTTAATTTATCAGAAAACTAGACACGCTTTTTGAAATACATAGTGCAAAACGCCGGGATTCTATTCGGAAATAAAACAGGCAGTGACAATGCCTGATGAGAATTGAACTGTACGGTGTTGCATTGTGAGGTAATTTATTATATAGCAGTGTATTGTGTTGTATTGAGCTGTACTGAATGTACTGACTTCATATAATACCTCAATAAAAAGTTTTGCACATTTAATATCAGTGATCAAAGGGATTGAATAATCGATAGCCATTCGTCTCGTACGATAACCGTGAGTCACAAAAGACGACGATCTTCGAGCACCAGAGTTTCGCAAAGGAAGATTGATGACCATATCGAATTTATTTTGCGTCAGATAATCTGCAATGCTCTTCGTCTTGAAACCATTACCGCTTTCCTCAAACGGCCAATCTACAGGATGAATCTATATGAAGTGGATTAGATAGTGATTACATTGGCAAAATGATTACATTAAAATAGTCATGGCTTCTTATGAAAACACTAGACTGAGCATATATGGTAAGGACTCAAGTTTCAACATTAGACCACTTCTGACGAAGGCAATAGACTGAAGGAGATATGAGGACTCCAGTTTCAACATAAGTTCACTCTTGACAAAAATACTTAACTGGAGTATATAAGGACTAATGTTTTAACATCAGGTCATTCCTGATGAAGAGTATATAAGAACTCAAGTTTCAACATCAAATCTCTCTTGATCAAAACGCTACACTGGAGTATGAAAGCACTTAAGTTTCCATTAATATAAAACAAACCTTCACTCCATGTTCGGAATAAAAGTCGGCCGTACCAAGACTGGCGTATAACTGATAGCCAAGATCGACTAAAGTTTTTACGCTTGACAACATTTCATTCTTCGCTTTGAAGCTGCCAATAGATAACAAAATACTCTCCTTCGGTACAGTCATACCAGTGCTTATCAAGCCTGGAATATAGAATCGTAAACATGATAAATTTAAATATCAAAATCGAGCACAGAGATTGGAAAGGTGGAAAGCAAATTCCTAACAGAAATATGATAGCCCAAGTAAAAAAAACTTAAACAGGAATAGCTAAGAATTTAAATTCAAAGGTTTTTTCATTACTGAATGGAATGTGCACGTCAAACTTCCTAATCTTTCTTAAAATGTAATTTAACTGGACAATTAGTTCGTTTATGTACGAAACCTCTCGTAAAGATATATTATTGTACCTGAAGATGTCTTTACTTTAAGACAAAACGTCATTTACAAACAAAATTATACCACAAATCTTTGTCATACCTTTATGTTAAAAATAATATGTTGCTTCAAAGAAGCATTCAGGTAGACTGCAAAAGAATCCAAAGTTAAAGCAACAACTACAAATGTTGATGTACCTTTTAGATAAGCCTCGTAACGATTCTCTCCGAAGCAAGCAACTTCGCCAGTGCTCGCCATTTCCACTCCCAGCATGACATCAGCTCCAGCCAACCTCGCGAACGAGAATTGTGGCACCTGATGAGAAGACATATCCATTACATTTGAGAGACCAGTAAAATTTTGTTTTGGGAAAGAAGTAGAATACAACTAACCTTGACCCCGACTCGACCATAACAGTTTAGTTCAATTGCAGGTTCAACAACATCAGCCTGGCAAATGACGCGAGTTGCCAAGGCAACAAAGTCGTGATTTAGCGTTTTCGAGACGAATGGAAAAGAGCGGGAAACTCTAAGGTTACACTCGATCACTTTGAGTTCGTTGTCCTAAAAAATACGCTCTTTTTAGAAAACATGAAAGCATTTTGGTGCTGGGATGGCTCAAAACAAATGAAAAGTTTATGAAACGTTTTAAAGCAAATTTTGAAGCGAACTATTCACAAAACGATATTCCGCGAGTCAGCAAATGTTTCAGGTGAATTGTCCTATTTATTTGGTGCGAAATGTCTGCGTTACGTAAAAAATCACCCCAAAACCAAACAAACATTCGTTTCCTTTCAACCTTCAAAGGAGTTGATCAAGTTTGGATAGGCTTTCGATGGGTTTTTGTGATTGTCACCATGCCATGTCAGACGTTTATGTTAAAATCTGTTACATCTATACCTCTAATCGCGAGATATTTTTTGGAAGTGCATTCCATCAAACACGACTCATAATTGCCTTTGCTCAATTGCTGGTTGCATTAGTTATTTCGTAGGGAAATTGGTACCTCTGCACTTCCTTTCACTTGGACAATGTAGGATGCACACTCCCTTATAAATTCATTCATGTCGAAACTCAACATTAGATAAGTGTTTTCACAACAATATATTCAAATTAACAGACAATTTCAGACATATTAACATCCATTGTTTTGCTGGTAAAATATACATATTAGCAACAATAAAAAATCCCTCAAAAGTGAATTCGATCCAGAACCCGCAGTCAACACCAAATAACACAATACCCAATCTTACTTTGGCAATGAGTTGCATATTGAACGGACCGCTGACCATCAAAGCTTTGCCGATGGCGTAACAAATGTTCTTGATTTTTTCCATGGTTTCGTTGTTGATATCCTGAGCTGGAAGCACCATCGTTGCATCACCCGAGTGTACACCGGCGTTTTCGACGTGTTCCGAGATGGCAAGCGTCAGTACGTTGCCATTGCAAGCTACAGCGTCAACATCAATCTCCTAAACATTTTGAATGCGCTTTCAAGATCACCTTTCCCAACGAATAGACCTTATGCGAACGATGTCATAAGGCTTGAGGCAGGTAATGGCGCCATGAAGCTTTAAGCTCGAAAGGTTTTATTGTCTCAGTGGTCACGCATATCTAAAACTTTAATATGGCTACCACTTTTGTTCTATTTCAGAAACTTTTTAACCCAACAAAGATCACGGTTACAATCTATTCAGTCCTTATGGTTGTGCCTACTGGTTCAACTTTTTAAGCACTAAGTATACAAAAACATTAATCTTTCCCACTATTTCTACCTGTTTTGCCAATTTGAAATTGCATCTCATTCTATCACAAGGTTTATTTATATATTCTACTTGATTTAGCCTTTAGGTAGACTTGTTCAGTTTTTATCCAATCAATTTATTACTTGTTCTAAAATGTTCACTACACATAGACCGGCAGCTAGCAAGCCAGAAAGTTTGGTCGAGCTATGCAAATTTCAGAATTTTCTTTCAAATTTTGGCATCATTCATTTCGTTTGTCCAATGAGGTAACATCAAAATATTTACATAACTCAAACTAGCTTGCGAGCTGGCTACGCCTCTGGAGAGAGCCCGATGTCTCAAACAATACCTTAGCCTCCATGATGAACTTCGATATGACCACGGGATGTTCACGCGATAGGGAGGCAGTCATCGCCATGTATTCGGTGAGGTCATCATCAGAGAACGCGACGTACATTGCAGCACCACTGAGGACATAGGAAGGTCTTACAAGACACGGATAACCAACAGAATTACAGAATTCTTTTGCAGCCTACAAAGTAAGGAAAATAAGTTTAGTGTGAAACGCCCACATCTGTAATGGTGAAATAACGACTCCTTTCAATGCAACGCCGAATCTCTGGTGGCTAAAATCATGTGATCATCATCCAATACATGTACCCATAGATATGTACAATGAACTAGATAGCACATTGCAATATGACGCCCAATAAAAAGTTGAAGCCAAAGTAATCGGGTGCTCACATTGTTATCATCCGATTACTATGTCCACCCGAGGAGTAAAACCCAACTTTAATATACGACAGAGCTTTAACGACGACATAAATCTGTTATTTTTGGAACTTAAAGCCTTGTGTAAACATAGCAAATTTTGTGGAAATATGATTATGCTTATTATGATTATTTTTTCGTATCAAGTGGGCCCTTCCAATATGGCGGTTATGGCTTCACAGAAATAGGGGAGTTAGGACATTATCCAGTCTAGTTTCAGATCAGTGCATGTACCTCGAGTGTCGTCAATTCTTTCCACTTCGGTTGTGAAATTTTCACGCTGTCCAGCAACCGAGAAAATTTGAATCGATTCTCGGCACTGTCGATCATTTCCGGTGATGTTCCTAAAACACGGACCTGTAAAACAATTAAAATAATTCCCCACTATGCGAAAGTACTTCAGGAATATTCATAAAATTACACTGTGCAAGGTCATTAATAGTAATATTCACGCTGATGTTGACTGACGTTTCGAAAAACTTGATTTTGATAGTCAAGACTACAGCCATGGTTGCTAAAACATCAGTCAACACAAACACGAATAATCTTTCTCAAGAATGGTCGATCTTTCATTTTAATACATTGCTCTGAATGAACTCTTATGTCATGTAGCTACACAGGATATGTATAAACACATTCAAACAGGAAAAAAGTAAATTGAACATCGAGGAAAATTATTCAGGCAACGAAAACAGTTTAACCAATAAACTGGTAATCGACAATATAGCAAATAAAAATCATGCAAATCTAGCTATGACAGAACTCAATACTTACAGTTCACAATGCGTGCAAGACCTGGGCTAAGCCCCTTGACCACTAACCTGGCTACGATGTAACGCCATAGCAATGTTGTTTGGTAGTTGTCCTCCCATTGATAAAATAACACCTTCAGGATTTTCCATCTCGTAAATATCCATTACAGTCTAAAGAAGAAAATACATTAGTCAAAAGTACATCAACTTAAAGTACATCAATCTTAAGTATATCAGTCAAAAGTACATTAGTCAAAATTAAATTAGCCAAAAGTACATCAATTTTAAGTATATCAGTCAAAAGTACATTAGTCAAAATTAAATTAGCCAAAAGTACATCAATTTTAAGTATATCAGTCAAAAGCACATCAGTATTATGTACATCAATCTTAATTACATCAGTCTAAAGTGTATCAGTCAAAAGTACATCAGTCTATGTACATCAATTTTAACTACATCAGTCAAAAGTATTTCAGTCAAAAGTACATCAGTCTAATGTACATCAATATAAAGTACTATCAGTCAAGTCAACAATAAAAAGATAAGACCCCACCGAGGAATTGTCCATAAAAAATACGAAATACTTGGAAAATAATCAAGAATGCACAATCTTATTCACCTCAAAAGAGATTTCGTCAAAATACAAACGATCGCACTCGTCATAGTCCGTGCTCACTGTCTCTGGATTATAATTCACCATGATGGTTTGCTTGCCTAGCTACATAAAGAACATGAACACAGTAAATGTTACTGCTGAGTTTATAAACACCGTTATTAGTTCTTTGATGGTAGACTAGTGTTCAACGAGGATCGTAAGTGACAAAGCAGGATATGTCGTGATGAACCTGGTTACTAGGGTAGTCTTAAATTTACTTTTTTTCGCTGGATGTTTTGAAAAAGCTGTTGCTTCTAAAGCGGTACAAATGGCATTACATATATCGTCAAGGCAGGAGTTGTATGAAAGTTGCTAGATTTGCAAACTAAGTTATCACCAACCCACGATTAAACACACTCAGCAACCTTTGAGCATCTGGCCTTTGGTTGCACGAAAAAATCATAGTCATATTCATTGGATTACAATTTTTCGAATGTTAAAAAAAAACACACAAAAAATCAGCGACCTTAACTGAACAAATAATAAAATAAAACTGTAGCTCAAAGAACTCTCATTTTCTTGAACAAAACACAGATACCTTTCTCAGAAGCTTAACAAAGCTTTTATTCAAATGCTAACGCTATCTTTGGCTTCTTGCAAACCTTCCCCTGGCATTTTAACGAGATATCTTTCACTGCAAACACTTACCTTACGTAACTCACGAATGCAACCGACAGCACACCAATCAAACTCCACGCTGCTTCCAATACGATAGACCCCAGACCCTAACACCACTAGAGCCCCACCGGGGAAATCTAAATCGTTCTCCTGACCGTTATACGTTAAATACAGATAGTTTGTAACAGCAGGATACTCCGCGGCGACTGTATCGATTTGCTTGGCACAAGGAATGATTTTTAGCGATTTTCTAGCATGTCGTACACTCGCTTCAGTGCTGAATAAAAAAAAATTATAGGATTTGGCAAAGGAACAAATACTGGATCAATGGTATCAGAGCATGATTGACTTTTGGCAAATTATCACCGTACGTCATTAAAATTGCAAAAAGCATATTCTTTGATAGATTTACATTTTAATCGTAAAAGCAACTCGACTGAACGAACATTGCCATGAAATAATTTTGAACAAATAATTTCACTGCGATAATGTAATGTCAATAGTGTAGCTCGCCATCTTATTTAGTCGTACTACAAAAAATTTTCTTTGTTTGTTGATTTGAAATTTACATTACATGGCCAAACTTGCAGACTGGCTACACTACTGTGTAGTTTGACAAACGCAAGATCCGCCACTGCGCTTAAATTATGGACAATTCTCAAGGGTTTATGAAATCTTATTACACAATTTTTCATCACATAGCAAAGACTGAGGAGTTATTCAGTATACATTCAAAAAAACGTAATAATACAGCCCAGCTTCTGCGTTTTACACTGGTTTTTTGTGTGATATTTTATTTCTCAGTTTTACATTGTTTTTGTGTAAAGTAAGACTGGTTTTTTGTGTAACACGAGATTTCTGTGCACGACAATTTTTTTTTGTAAAATAAGATTTCTGTGTTTTACACTATTTTTGCGTAATATACTGTATATTACAGAAAATGCAAAAAAGAAAAAGTACCTTTGAATAACTTTTGCTATCTGTTTATCAGAGAATCCGAGTTTCTTAGCTTGCAAGAGTTGAGAACAAGATAGATCGTGCACCTGAAAATATCCAAATTTTTACACGGAAATCATTCAAACATACGAGTGTTATGAAAGAAATCTCGCTACTATCCATAAATTAATCTGTTGAGCAATACAAAAAGGCTTTCCTTACTAAAATGCAATGCTGGTATCATTTTCTATACATGTTTTTTGCTCACCCGAACGTGGCTTTCCTTCAACTGTTTCTTAACGTCAGCGATGTTCTTCATGCGGTACAAAAACCAACGATCGATCTTTGTTAATTCGTAGAGTTTTTCCACGCTATAACCAGCTTCAAGAGCAGCAGCTAAAATATGGATCCGCTTATCCGAAGGCTGTTTTAAGTCCTAAAGGAAATACTCTTCAAATGTTTGTTTGACGCCAGAAGTATAACTTTGCAATCATGCAGCCATAAACTATACTATACAGCTAGGTAAATTTAGAACACTATGTTTATGTATGTTGGTTTAGTTGAAAATTTTTTAATTTCCAACATTATATGCAGCAGTTCAACTCACTTGTTCTTTCGCTTGGCATCCATTTGCATCGAAACCAATATTCCATTCATCAACCATTCTCAAAGCCTTCTGCAAGGCTTCTTCAAACTTCCGACCAATTGCCATTACTTCACCGACACTCTTCATGGAAGATCCAATCTAAATTTACAAATGCTGGAGATCATCATCACGTGGTTGTGATGAATGACCAACTTTGCTTGAACATCATCATAAAAACACAAAACTAGAGTATAAAAGGACTCAAGTTAAAAAATCAGATCACTCATGATGAAAATACTAGACTGGAGTATATAAAGATTCAAGCTTCAACATCAGATCACTCCTTATGAAGACACTAGACTGGGGTGCATAAGAATTAATGTAAGATCATATGTCTGTGACGCATATCCTCATTGCTACTCCCACCTTTGTGCTGACTCGACTAAATTTGTTCAAATCCCATCGAGGTACTTTAACGACAATGTAATCGAGACTCGGTTCAAAACACGCCGTAGTCTTATTCGTCACAGAGTTTTTGAGATCAGGCAGAGGTATCCCTAGGGATAACTTTGCAGCCACGTACGCCAGGGGATAACCAGTGGCTTTTGATGCCAGAGCAGAACTGCGGGACAGTCTGGCATTTACCTCGATGATATAATACTAAAGAAAAATCAATTTAGAACGGCTTAGCAATGCAAATATGATAAACCAAGAGCCAGAGGTCAAAACAAATTGTAAAATATATTTTTGAAAAGATGAGAGCCTGATTTCTATGTATACATTTGCTGATCCAGGGTAAGTCAGAACGCATAATTGCATCTTATTTTAAATTCAAAATCCATATCAACAAAACTGGGGTAGGAAATTTCTAAAGAATAGTTTGAAGACAAAAACTTTACCAATAAGTGGATTGCAACCATTCCCCCACGGGACTAAAAGGACAAAGCTACATTCGCCATGTTGGCTGAAATTTGAATAGTAAACAAGAAAAATCTTTTGTTGAATTCAACTACGATGGCGTCCATAACGTAACATGCACACCACTTATACTAGATCCGCCACAGAACGTACATGGCTAACATGAAAATGCTTATTGAAAAAGTAATTAAGGAATACACGTAGGAAATCTAGGAATGCGATTTTTCTTAAACACATTAGGCTCACCTCACTGGACGAAGGATTCAACGCATACTGGATGTTGCATTCTCCAACAATACCAAGGTGACGTATCAGTTTAATAGCAGTCGACCGAAGCATGTTGTATTCGGAGTTATTCAACGTCTGACTGGGTGCTACCACTATAGACTCACCGGTGTGTATGCCAAGTGGGTCAACATTTTCCATATTACATACCTAGGTAAACAAAGACAGATTATAGGAATTTTCATACGATATAGAGTGATCTTATATAATATATTAAATATATTATATAAGCGAACAAACATTAAAACAAACATTAAAACAAACATTTAAACAAACATTTAAAGAGTATATAATATATTAATAATAGGATTAATATTATATATATTCTCTGATGATGGCTTTGGAATAGAGTGACCTTGTTGTTCAACATCGCTAAACTATTATGTCTTGACAATAGAAATTGCAAAAATTTGCTTATAAGAGGTTAGTTAAGAGAATACGTATGTTAACCCTCTTTTCGAAGATCATAGAATGTTCGATTTCAAGATAATAGAAATTAAAGTAGATTTGTTTCTTCCAAAGTATATAAGAGAGTAATGAAACCTTATTGTATGAGATTATATGAACACTTTGTGTCAAGATGACAGAAAGAAAATCAGACTGTTCTTTCTAAAGTAGTTCAGAGAGTAACGCAATCTTGTTGTCTTACGTCATACAAACAAGTGATGTTAAGATAATAGAACTTCAAGAAAAATTGCACTCCCCCCGTCCGTAGTTCTGAGAGGTTGGTAATCAGCTCTTACCGTAATACAGTTATCATAAGCATCGCGAACGACTTCATATTCAACTTCCTTCCATCCTCTTAGCGATTTGTCCACCAAAACCTGTTTTGTATGAGCGAACGCGATCTTCGCCAATCTCTCCAGTTCGTATTCGTCGTCTGCAAAACCAGAACCCAGGCCACCAAGGGCGAATGCAGCGCGCACCATGACAGGATAACCAAGCCTGGAAGCAGCGGCAAGAACCTGAAAATAAAAGACTTTTTACCAACGCTTTCCACTGCTAAATGATAGTTTGAATGAAGTCTAAACTTGAAGCGTAAAAAGTACATTCTATAATAAAACATCGGGAGTAATTACTTAACAAGTTAAGTCAGGTGATATAAAATATTGGTTAGTTTAAACTAGAAATAGTTATAAACGCTTCCCGCAATATTTCGGCAACTCTGGATCATAAGATCTTCCCATTAGTGAATTGTCGGCAAGCTTCGTTCGAAAATTATTGAAAGTATATTTCCCACAACAAAATACTTCAATGAAGCTAATGCTGTTTCCAGACTCTTTCAACAACACTCTGCTCGCTTAAATCTTTATGATCAGAATTCCTTACCTACTAATATCTCCCTAATTGAGTTTACTGTGCTCTGTCGATTTTGAGTCCCATTTTAGGAGTTACAATATTTAGAATTTTAAACAATCTTGTGGCTTCTACGTTAGAATTGGATTTTTTAGGCTTACCATTTTACATTATTACACAGAAATAGTTGACAAATTTAGCAGTGACTAAAAATATACATCCGCTTCAGTTGTAACTGGACTTCATGCAGTTGATTTCATATTAACTTCTACTTGACTTTTAAGCACTTTTCAAGCACTTTCTATAAATTCTGATTTTTTTGACGACTTTTCAAGTGCCCTTAATATTGACTTTTCGAATTAAGGACTTTTCAAAGGGCATATTTCGATAGTCATTCAATATATAGTCATATCACACGTCGCGCAACTGGCTCCAGTATTCTAAAACAATACCAAAGCATGCGATAACTCGCATGCAACATTTGAAGAAACTTGTTGTGCCCCACCTCCTCTATAGAGTACGCCGCTTCGCTTGGCGCACACTTTTCGTCGATTTCAGCAAGTTTCTGAGAAAACAGCTGCCTGTCTTCGGTGTTGATAATTGACTGTATCGGAGTGCCAAGTATCCTGAGCTGATATTTCTCAAGAACCCCTTGTTCCTGAAGTTTCACACCACAATTTAAGGCAGTTTGTCCGCCAAATGAAAGTAAGACTCCAGTTGGTCGCTCGCTTTCGATAACCTGGATTAAAAAACAAACAGTAAAATTCACCAAAAAGACAAATAATCACTACACTTTCTGTTTGCTTCAAATTTCAGGGTTGGATTTACTGGGGGTGGGGAGGGTGATGAGTTGGATGGTTGTGCGGATGGGTATGTACACACCCCTCGTAGCTTTGGTTAGATGTTGTAAAGGAGGGGGCCTAATTTCCTCGCGAAATATTAATATAGTAAGCAATTGAGTAAAAGCAGATGTGATTTGTGTTTGATAGCACATTTTCAAAAAAAAAATCGCCCAATGATATACGAAAAACAAAATTTAACAAACAAAACACGATGACAACACCAAAGTAGCCACCACAATCAAGTTGAAACTGGAGCACTCCCCACCCTACAGTAGCCACCACAATCTAGTTGAAACTGGAGCACTCCCCACCCTACAGAATCCTGAATCCAAAAGCTAAGAAAGTGAAAAGCAGACATCAAAGATCATATTCATGAGTAAGAAGACGCCTATCAGGCCACTCAGGCTACTGGAAAACAGCGTTTGGATATATTTGCGTATTATAATAATTGCCGAATAGCAGAACGAAATTTACATGTATGCAATCTGACATGTGACAATTTATAATGTCAGTAAATCGTGTTTCATTATACGCGTCATTACAGACACTCGCGTGAAACGATCCACTAAAGATTTTGCTTGGTTCAAGGACTTCGTGTCGGTCACGCGTGATTTACGTAATCTCGCGACAATAGAAGAAACTATCCGAATTTTAAACTCCCGAGTAATGAACCAATGGCATGAAAACTGTGCATGTAATCAAATTTCTAAACTGGGCATAACCACTAAACTATACATTTGCCTCAGCTTTGAAATAAAGAATTTTACTGAAGCGAGCCTTACTCGTATAAATATAGTGCAGTTAGGTAAATAGTAAGAGACTTATTATTTTACATTGGGAATGGCATACATAGAGTACCTGAGTCACATATTCTGTAGTGATGGGTAAAAAGTAGACTCTGTCAGCAAGACCTTTCGATGTTTGTACTGTGGCGATGTTGGGATTAATGAGCACTGTTTCAATACCTTCCTCCTTCAATGCTTTGATTGCCTGGATGAAATCAAGATTATTTCAATACAACTTAAAACAAAAGAAATTCTAAGTTTTCACAAACATTAGTAGAATCATTAATCTTACAAGTATTCTATTGGAAATGATTTGAAGTGACTGGCTACTCTACTCGCTGTCTAATTATTAATAGACAACGAGTAGCAAAGCAAAAAATAGCAATGTTTACCTTATAGAAATCTCGAGCTTGTAATCTTATTGTTAAATGTAGCAACTTTGTGTCAGAGTAATCTTTTTGTTGTGGGAAGGGAGGGTTGTAACAATGTCACACATGATACAGTTTACTTTAAAAGTAATCTCAACTCAGAAACATGGAATGTTATCACAAGAGGTGATTCTCCCACAACTTGTGTGACATTTAAAGTGCCCTTTCAGCAAAAAGTTTCACGTGCGATACTAAACCTAAGGCAATTTCTAACATATCAGTGAAAAAGTTTTAAGCTGGTAAAATCATTCCATTCTTAAGGCTGTTTGAAGTTGGAAAAAATGCTCGTTTTAATAGACCATCATCCACAAAGTCTGAAAGGACTTACTTTAATAACGTCATGTAAGGTACTCCTTGGACGTCATAATTTCAGACTTCATTCAACGAAGGACCTTACGATTTGACCGAATTGAAAAATTTTTTCACCAACATGTCAACTTAACATATTGGCTTTAATATTGCAAATAAAAGTTTTTGCTGATAGCGACACTTATGCTGTAATTGAGTATGTAATAATATGTGTAATAATAAAGTATGTTGTTACTCCAGGACTCGAGACTAGACAATAAAAAAGAACTTAGCTACAAGTATAGGTTCTTATTGTGTCTCACTGTAACTTAATGTGAAAACATATAAGCAGTTATAGTTTTCTACAATCCTTTTTTAAATAGATAAAGGCCTACTTTCTTTTAAGTGCCACATTCTGTGAACTTTGATATGTCGAAGTAATGAAAAATACATAACACACAACAATTAATTATCGTCATTTAAGCTGAAACAGCAATATTTACATGCTAAAACACATCATAAAAGTATATTCCCATGCAGATTCTCTTCCACACAATTGCCCTAAGTATGAAAAATCTACCTGCGAGCCTGAATAATCAAATTCTCCTGCTTGGCCGATGGAAAGTCCGCCCGAACCGAGGACCAAAACCTTTTTAGGTCGAACATTAATATCACGTGAAACCGGCGTGTACGCAAACCTCTTGTGTATCATCTCTTTGACGGTGTATTTCATCACTCCAGTTTTTGTATCGCGGACAGTTTTTATGAAAAAGTCAAACAAACACTCAAGATCTTCAGGGCCAGCGTTATGCTCTGGATGAAATTGAACGCTGAAAAATGGCGCAGAATTATGAATGATGCCTTCATTGGTCTTGTCGTTCGCATTGGTGAATAACGCTGACCAGTCGGACGGAATTGTGTCCGGGTCCACGGCAAAACCATGATTTTGTGACGTAATGAAGCAACGTCCGGAGTCTCCGTGAATGCAAGGTTGGTTGTGGCCACGATTTCCGTACCTGTAAATAGGCTTCTTTAGATTTATATAGCGAGGATTTGTGTTGTTATGTCATTTCTGGATATACACTGTTGTAGTTCTTGGTCGTTCATTCATCACTACATACACTGACATACGTTATATTAGCCATTTCTTATATATTTTAGATAGTGTAAAGACTATTCTCATTCTCTGTTGTTTATTCATGACTGTGCTGACATACGTGGTATTATTTCTTATATATTTTAGGTAGTGTATAATGTAAAGACTGTTCTCTTTCTCTGTTGTTCATTCATCATTAACTACACTAACAAAACTTCTCAGTCTCAAAATACTTAACACTCACTTCATTTTGAACGTTTTACAACCCACAGCAAGGGACAAAAGTTGATGACCCAAACAAATGCCAAAAATCGGTTTCCGTTTATTATCGTTGACGAGCTTCTTGATGTTCTCGATGGTGCTACCACATTGTGTTGGATCACCCGGACCATTGCTCAAAAACACGCCGTCGAACTCAGCTTGATAAAAAACAAAAACAAACTTTGTAAAAATGAACGAAGTCAAATTATTTGATGATAAGTGCATGTTATAAAAATAAGCGAATAGAGTTCTCTAATCCAATCTTTAATCTATATTTCAGTCTTAGCCAAGTACCATTTAAGGATTACTGTTAAAATTCAATTCCACGCATCAGTCGAAAATAGAATTATTACCAAACATGGTGTCGGTTCTTTTCTAAAAGTAGATTAGCAATGCAAACGTGCATGCGCTTATTTCAACATTATATCACGGTAGTAAGCACACGGAGCTCAAACTGGGGACTTTAACGGAAATTTATAGATCTTTTAAATACTTTGTAAAAAACGTAAACATTTTCAAAAAGAATAACTTAAAGACCTTTGTGCGAATAAGATCAATGAGTTTGGATAAAGGGGTAGTCATATGATCACTATCTGGTGATCACTTAGCATTTAAAATTAGCTGAGACTAAATGGCCGAAGATTGATTGAAACTTACGTCTAAACACAAGAATTGCATATAAAAATAACACTTAATGCTCCAGTTTATATGCTATGTTCATGAGGCCAGATACAAATGTAGTGTGTGTATTTTTTTAAAATTAATCGTAAGTGTTTAAAAGTGATGATGCAACATATTATACACATGTATAATATTACATGCCTCTTGTAAACCACTGTGTAGACTGTGCATTGCGATTAAAAACTTGTAAAAACTTCCAACCTTGTGTGAAGTCGTAATTCCAGGGTACAACCTGCACACAGGCACCGCGTGAAACAAGGCATCTGACTTGGTTATATTTCAGTCCACAATCTACGATTAAAATCTTGAGTTCTCCATCAGGATTGAACACAATTGGTTTCTTTCAAGTAAAAACACGAATACAAATATTAAAGCTTTTGCAACGCCATCGGCGCTATTTTTCATTTTAGTAACGACGAAGATGTTAAAATGAGTCAGATGTTACGACGAAGAAATGTATTATAAAAAAACTTCTAATACGATAAAATAAGAATATAAGAAGTAGAAGGTACAATGATATTATTCTTCGTTTAAGTAAATGGTTTGAACCAAGGCGTATGGTTACATGTTTGTAGAAAGATATCGTCTAGTTTAGTGTAGTCCTAAGAAGGACTGCTGGTCTTAGCAGTTGTATCTTTGAAGACTCTAAAGATGACTACGGTTAAGATGCTTGGAATGCTATGAAGTCTAAAGAAGACTACTGCTGAGATGTGTGGGATGCTAGGTTCATTGAAAATGACTAACGCTAACATGTCTGGAATGCAAGGATGTCTAAAATCCACCGCTAAAATGTCTCGGATGTGAGGATGTTTGAAGATGATTATCTCTACGATGTCTGGGATGTTAGGATGTTTAAAAATGACTACCGCTAAGATGTCTGGGATGTTAAATGTTTAAAAATGACTGCCGCTAAGATGTCTGGGATGTTGGGATGAGTAAAGATGACTACCGCTAAGATGTCTGGGATGTTAAATGTTTAAAAATGACTACCGCTAAGATGTCTGGGATGTTAAATGTTTAAAAATGACTACCGCTAAGATGACTGGGATGGTAAATGTTTAAAAATGACTACCGCTAAGATTTCTGGGATGTTAGGATGATAGAAGACGACTACGGATAAGATGTCTGGGATGCAAGAATGTCCAAAGATGAATACCACAACAGATGTCAAACATCAGTCATTATCAACAACACAATCCTTCACAGGGACTGCACTAACCTGGACGATCCTAATCTAAAAACAAGCAATTCTTATTCTCACGATAATATTCAATCGTTCATATACCTGTAAGGATACTTCGGCGACAAGATTACGTTCGTCAGGATTTTCAAAAGAGATTGAATCATAATTGTAGCCATCAACCACAATCTAGTAAAATAGACAAACAAACTTCATAAACGTTTTTCATCAATCATAAGAAAAAAGAGAGGTTTTGAAAGCAATAGTTTAATGATTGTATAGTGTAGAGATATGAAAAAATTAACTTAATAATTTGGAAATGATTATAAAAACGACAGAGGAGTTTTTTAACGGTTCAACACTTCATTCTCAAAATGGAACGAAAGTAGGCGATGTAATTCAGCCTGTCCTCCTTTATTTTAAAATTGTTGAACCTAAGTTAAAATGGACCTAGATTCTCAAACGCTTGACACAGACAATTTATGGTGAACTATCCATACATTTCGATAACCTTTTGCTGTCCTATATGGATGATAAATTTTCTATAGATTCCAATGTTTTACACTACTACGTAAGAACTATTTGGTCATGGTGATTACAAAATTGAAATTTCAAAAGATGAAAAATTAACTATGCACAAATTTGGGCCATTCATCCCACAATTACTGAGGGACCCACCCCCACATCTACCAAAGTTGAGCATTGGTCCCGAGTTCCAGTGTCCTTTAAATAAAATATACTGTTTTATTTTGCTACAAATACCTTCCCAAGCATTGTTCCTTTTTCACGGATCTTCTTAGTTAATGCACGTGTATCAACACCTGAAAAGTTGAAATGATCACAACATCAGCAATGGCCACTGATCAGGGGGAGGGGGGTGGAAGACAATATGATTGACATGAGTTGTGTTTTAGTGCTATGAATTTTACAAAAACCTGCGCGCATGACTGCAACTAATTCAACTTATTGTGTCCCCCCCTTAGTGTCTGTAACTATACAACCAGGAGCATAGCAAAGTCCATGTTTTCCAGTTGGCTTCTTGCATGAAATTTGCCCAAGAAATTGTGTGTGGAATGGGTCGTTTCTTGGGGATAGTTAGTAACAATGTGTTAAAAATGTTAAAACTTTATCAAAAATTACCAATTGAGGAACAATTTTCACCAACTGAATGATGATTGGGAGATCTGGCCCTATCATGAAGTCCCTGTGTACAACATAATACCAAAAACATGTAACATAATGATAAAAATGTTTTTCTTTGCTCTTTAGCATGCTCATTGCATTTTAAGTAGAAGAATGCACTGGGTGGCAGTGACATAGCTTTATCATTATTCATTTCTTTAGAAAACTGTTTTTGCAGTGAGTGAAGATGAAATTGTTCACAAGCTGGCAATCCAAAAGACAGGTAAAAAAAACACCATGTAAAGAGGCTCAAATGATAAAGATTTTTGAGATAAGTGCCATGATGCAATAATATTCATGTCATCTGAACATTAATGTGCATTGAACAAGGTTGGCATTTAAAGAAACAAAAAGAGCTATAGCATACAAACATAAACACAAATGCAATATGAGCCCACAAGTCTAAACTTAAAATTCTAAAAGAAACCTCAGTTCAAGGGCCAAAAACTATGAGATTAATAAATTATATTGCTTATCAACACTAGAATCTTCATCACTTTAAACAGAAAATTTGGGGTGGCCATAATTATGCAGTTTTTACCAGAGGATGATAAAGAAAGGAGGCAGTAGTTCCCAAAAAGGGGTCGAATGTACTACATGATTTATTTTTTGCTCATTTAGTTTTGGGTCATGTAAATACATTATCCTTTGGGCCCTTTTTTTCATTTGATTCATTTTTCCATTTGCTCCTCCCCAATTATATTGCTTTGAATGCTTTGAATCAATGCTCCCCCCCCCAATTATATTGCATTGAATGCTCCCCCCAATTATATTGCATTGAATGCTCCCCCAATTATATTGCATTGAATGCTCCCCAATTATATTGCATTGAATGCCCCCCTGGTTATTACCATGAATCCCAGGAATATCATACTCCTTGAGCCATTCTGAGAGAGATTTTTTAGCACTCCAATGGCTGTAATCCTCAACATCATCGCCAATGATCAATCCTGACAACCAGAGTTTCTTTGATTCAAATGATTCGATGATCCCATATTCATCCACACTGTCATCTGGAATACCATAGTTTCCAACAAGGGGATAAGTAAGGACAAGGATTTGCGAACGATATGATGGATCTGTCAAAGATTCTGGATAGCCAACCATACCAGTTTGAAAAACTAGATTTCAAAAAAGTAATCATATTGAACCAAGAGTTGATTTACAAGGAGGGCACTCATCTAGCCTAGGCTTGACGGGTGTAAAAGTCAGTTTCAAAGCCAGCCTGTTTCTTACTTCTATAATGCAAGGCTTTTTGTATTAGGTCATTGGAACAGCAATGAATCAATTTAATTTTTTGATGAAATGAATATTAATTTTGCAAAAAAAATTGCATTTTAAGAGTGAAAGATTGGGCTGGCTTCACCACTGGCAACACTGTCAATTTCTGAAATGCAAATATGCCAAACAATTAAGCAAAAGAAATTTTAATACATTTTTCATTGAGAGCACTTCCAAAAGCAAAATTTTATAAAAACTAAAGCACCACATCTACAAAATCATCTTGAATTGAACCCCCTTTGGCTCTTGCAGCATATGTTTGAAAATCGTGAAACGCAATGAAATTTAATTGGGAAAAATAGTTTAGACTTCTTATTGGCAAACTTGAATATCCTTCATGCCATGTTCAAAGAAACTCAAACTGTCATATCATATAACATGAGACTGAAAAGGTAGCAGATGACTTAGGGGCGAATATTTGGGAGGTGTGGGGGTGTGACAGCCTTAGCTTTTATTAAATATGTACATGGAATAAAGTAAGGTCCGAAAAATGATTGAGAACAAAAAGAATCGTGGCTGAAGTTGTGATCTTTAACCATTAAATAAAAAGACTACAAAAGTCTGTTCAATAGCATACAACAACACACAAATATTTTTTCGATGCACACTCCTAAACAGACTCCCACATTCACCATTTCACTATACAGGCAAAGTGTTTAAATAGATATATTTTGCGTGTATAGTAAAACAGTTTTGAAACTGTTCACAACTGAATGAATCCAAGAATAAATCCTGTCTTTTAATAATATGGTTAATTATTCAAAAAATGTATGGTGCTTTGATCAGTCAGGCGATTTTCGAGACTAGAGGGAACTTTTGCCTAGTTTTAGTTTTTGGGAAATGAGTTGTGAGCAAGTCTGAGTTAATAATCAATCTTCTTTCCCTTTCAAATACATTCTTCATTTATATAAACGTAATGAATGGCAGAATTTATAAATGAAAAAATTATTCATATTTCAATAATTTAATCGATTAGTTAAGGTAGGATAATGACGATTGCATAAGGTTAGACACGCTCAAATTCAAGCTATCGACATAAATCGAAAGGCAAACGAAGTCATGTTTACATAAACTTGAGAAATATAGACAAAATAATGAGAATTCAGGTTAATCCAATTGTAATATCACAGGCGAGTGATCAAACTTTTGTACAAATATTCATAAACGGGAAAGCAATGTAAATTCAACAATACACTGAGTCAAGAAGGCTATAATCATACAACCTAAACTATACAATGGTTGATTTAACTTTTAAAGGAGCACTTTGCTCAAATTAGGAATAATACTGATATTACAACACAAGTTAATTTAACTACACACCAACTTCTCCAGGCGAGTTTCTCGACGAGCCAAACGCATTTCCTTTAAAAACCGTTCCATCTTCAAGAACAAGACTTGCCATTTCAAATGTCTTAAGAAAACTATACGATCTTGCCAAATATAGAAATTATTTGGGACGTAGCATAGGCAAGACTGCATAAATGACTAACGTTAGGCGCCATGTGCTGTGATAAAGTGTTACTCTCACGTGCCAGTAACGCGGGCTTTTCGCAGGTTTTCGCGGGAAAAATTTTGAAATTACTCCAAATGAGACTGCGATTTAAACCAACATTGTTATGTAGAGTACTCTGATGTTAAATAATGTTAAACTGGTGCGATTGGTTGACAGCAGGTCGACTATTTTGGGCTAAATAGGCAAATATTACCATATGCATGTTACAATCTGTAAAAAATATAATCCACCCATCTAGTAAATAATTAAAATAATTATAATCATTCATTTACGATTGAATTTATCATTAAATACAAATTTTCTAACTTTATTGATTTCAAGACTATCATTCTTTACAGTTGTCCCCTAATAGTCATTAAAGTAATTTTTGGAATGTTTAGTTATCAAATGATGCTTTATATGAAATTAAATGCACTTCTAAACTGCTGTTGATTTAATAAGTTAACCCGTTAACCCATGACCATAAATTACATTAAATAGCAAAAATAACTCATAACATTAAATGTTTAAAAGTATTCGTTGGTTGCTTGCTTTGAAAAGAAACATTTTACATGAAAAAGTGTATATTTTGTCAAGCGTGTTCCTCGACATGTAAAACAGAGGGATTTTCGTCAACGTTATTGAAGGCACGCAAAGACTGCTGGGCATGAAGCTGTCTTGTTTAAACATGATTCCGCCTTTTTCAAAGAGAGAAAGACAGAGATAAGTATGGAAAGCGTTGGATACAAATGGACAAGAGAGATCATGATGATATTAATTTAACCTTCAGTTCATCACTGTACATTTTTTCATAAAGATCATCACGAGTCAAAACACGTTTTCCAACAAACTTAAATGTTTCCTATATTGTGGAAGATGTAAAGCATAAAAATTGTAAACTCCATTTAAAAATGATCAATTTTTCACTTACCGATTTTAATCTGGAATAACGAGGATCGTCAAATTCTTCTTTAGTAAGGTTTATTTCACACTTAGGGGCTGTTCATATGAGCCCGGCTAACCGGGATTCAGTGAGGCGTTAGATGATTTTGGCAAATGGAAACGATTCTATACTTATCATTAGATAAATCTTCTCGAGCAATTCCACAATATTCTGATTTAATGACAGCGCAAAACATTTAAAATTGAAACAGCCAGTTTAGCCTAATTTGAGAATTTCAACAGAAATGACTTGTGACGCTTAGCAAACAGTTGTAATTTTTACGCTTAAAGTTTTGCCCCCTTTCAATGCATCAAAATCATTTAATGCATCACTAAATCCCGGTTAGCCGGGCTCATATGAACAGCCCCTTAATCTTATGTTGACTTCCTGTAACATAAAGTAATCAATGATTCATTAAATAACAATCTCATCATTAATGTTCACTATCACCACACTTACTCCGCACGTTTTGATGTTTGCTTTGAAACTTAATAGAAAAAATGAATGCATCCAGGATAATCGCAACAACGATCGTCATTACAGCCTTAAAATAATACATTTAATTACAGGATAAAGTAGCTATAACACATGAGAACGAGCGATGGCATTCTTTAGATAAGGAAAATGACCTCATCCCTATTTCCTGCAAAAAATCATACCATCCCCTAGACTCCTGGTAAACTATTTTACCATTCAGTAAAAGCTAAACGGGACAGGATCACATTAAAGTACTTTACCAAAATAACGATGTAAAATATCATGAAAAATATGCGACTCCATTCCGTTGTAGCTTGTGCAAAACCTTCCTGAAAATTAGGAGTTAAAATGTGTGGTTAAACAGGAAAACTTTTTATTGGAAAAAAAAGGATTGCTTATAGTTACCATAATAACATGCCAATTATTGACAACAGTTAACTCAAAAAGAGTCACTGAAAATAATTAAATAAGAAAAAATACACAATATTAAAAAAACTTCATAACTTTGAATAACTTTTTTCAAGTTATGTTGCGCTACACTTTAGACGGAGTTATAGTGCTTGGTGTACGGCAAGTATTTTATTTCAATGCTAGATTTTAGTAACTTGGAATATAAAAGAATATCATATTCAATAGCAAGTAAATTTCACGTGAATTTTAAAACGATGAACACTTTTGTAAAGATTTGTAGTAAAAAATGCCCTTCTAACATTTATATCGATTATGAATTTCAAAAGACTAAAATCAAACCAATAAAAAGGTTTTTACAAAATACCTTGCCTTACACGGGATCAATTAAAGGTTTACATTACTGTACCGTAGAACTAAATATTTACGCACCAAAAGAATGATAAAAATTGTTGAAGTTATTTAAGTAGTAGCTAATATCCATTTTCCTCATATTGATACAGGATGGAATCGTTTCTACATAAAAGACGTGAATTGTTAATAATCACAAAATATCTGTGCAACCTTCACTTATACAAAAATAATTTAATTGTTGATTAGTTTACCTTGAATATCTCACGTCAAACGTCAAATAGTACATAATTATGACATTAATTGATCGAAAACTGACCTTAATTAGATTACATGTTTGTACATGAAGATGTCAAATGTCATATATAGATGACGTACGCTTACCGTCCGATTAAAGTATTAAAATTTCTTTTTGAAGATAATTTATTCATGCAGTGTAGCCATTTATTTACCTGCAGCAAGATTTAAAATCAACACCAGCAAATATTTCCATTCCAATGATGGCTAAAAAATAATAAAACAGTATAATAACTATACCTAAACTAAAATAGAAACAGGAACTTATTAAACCTTATATTGAAAGGAAAAACGATTTGAATGAAATACCATAAAAGTCTTACTTCACCAAACTTGGTAAAAGAATTCTTAAACTGTCAAAATGACGCTTATAGAAGTACACTTATAGAAGTGCACTTATAGAAGTACAGGCTTCTATAAGTGCATTGGAAGAATGATTGCACATTATTTCCTACATACTGGATCACCACTGGAATGCCTAAAGTATTTGTTGATTATTTGGTATGTGACAAAGAGGAGACTCCTTTCATAGAAGTTTTGGATATACATGAAATTGACCTGAGGATTGCATTGAATGAGGTTTGAAAAGTTTTATTGCACCTGAGCATTGCTTTTCAGTATTTTGTTTGAGCTAATGTGTTTTATGACATAGTTGAACAGCCTTGGCAAAGATGAAGCTCCTGGAACTGCATTGAAAGATGTTTTAACTCAGTACAGAGATGAAGCTTCAATTTTAGATATACCATTCTCTGGTGCAAATCGTCATATTATTACCCAGCAAATCATGTTACATGCTGTCAATACATGTAGAAAATCAGAGTTGCAAGACCTAGCTGATGGACAACTAGTGGTAAGTGTCTTGGTAGAAAGATGCAGGGAAGGTTGTAATTGGTTGCAGTCAGTCTATGTAAGTGTTTTTCGTGTGAATATGGCTTGCTTTTTAATATTCGCACCACAACTGATTATATATTATATGTTAGAGCAGGAGTAACTTTATCTGTTTGAACAATATCAATGTCACTAATATTTTCTTGCTTTTAAATTGGACGTTTGCTTTCTCCAAAAAAACTTAAATGTTTGACTGTTTGAAGTACTAGTTTTATTAATACTATGTCTCTTTGGACTGGGTGTGATTTACTTCCTGCAAACGGTGCACTCCTGCATGTCAAAGTTGACAGAACAAAAGATCGTAATCTGGTGCCAGAAAGTAGAGCTTGTTTTCATTTGTTAGTTATTGCATGTTATGAAAACTTTGATTTATTCCAAAGCTTTCCAAAACTTTATTCCAAAGCCATTATCAGAGAATTTATATAATATATTAATTATAACACGGTTTTAATACCGTTTTAATACCATTATTAAGTCGAAACACGGTGCCATCCAGTAAAATGCTATAGTGGCGAGAATATCTCGTCCATACACAGTTTGAAAGAGATTTGACTCGTCTCCAATCCCTGTGGGCCTGGTAGCTCAACAGGTAGAGCGGCGGACTAGTATCCCGAAGGTACGAGTTCAAATCTCGTCTAAGTCACATGTTTTTTCATGTGCATATTAAAACCGTGTTAGGATTAATATATTATATGGTCATTTGACTTATATATGCTAAGCAGGATCCTTGTACCATAGCTGTTCAGGTGATAGATTTCTTTCTGTTTATATGGGAGATCTATTGTAATCTTCAAGGAAAATTTCCAAATTCCTGTTAATAATTGGACAAAACACATAATGCAACGAAAACACATGTTTTTCATTTCAAGGATCCAATATTCCATTACTTTCCATATGATAGAATAAATGATAAAAAAGACTTGTACAACCAACAAAAAGATCTTGCCAAAAGCGCTGAATCCGTTGGTTGTGCACACTTCTTCCGGTAATATGACTGCCACGACTGGGTCCTCGCAAGTGGTGGTTTGACATAAATTGAGCAATACCAACATTATCACAACCTTTATCTGCTCTTACTCTGGATGGCAGTCCATATTGAGATACCCAAATAGAAATAGACTTAGAACAGTATCAGCTCGATTGTTTGTGCTACAGCGAATAAATATCAGTAAACGTGAATAGCCGTCTATTCCTGCATGAGTCACAAATCTCCATCTAAAAATATTAAACTACTAGCACATTTGTATGCAAAACTGAGATTTATTAACTCCCCAAACTAGGTATTTTTTAGTAGCATACCTAATCAATTTGTGATTGCCATCAACATGCCAAAGTGATAAGGGGCTAGTAACGTGATATTTTCGTCTGTGCACTGCTTTAAGAGACAAAGCACGAAACAATGTACCCTGTCGATCAACTCTTCGCATCATTTCACGAATCCTGTGCTGCTGAATTCGCAAAACCTCTTGCTAAAAGCAATGCTGACATACGTTTATAGCCAAGATTGGGAAACTTGTTCGTTAGGTTTCTTATGACCAACTCGAGATCTGAATCGTTAACGTCAGAATAACAATTAGAAACTGATAAACCAAACTCGTTCAATCTTCTTTTCAATGGTTTTTTTGCTGAATCCTAGAAGATTTGCCGTATCTTTCATTGTAAAACGCTTATTTAAAAAATAACGCAAAATATCTTCGTTTACTTCATACATTGGTCGCCCTGGTGTGCCACTGAAAACTTGGGGGCAGTTCAATTAAGAAGACGTATTAATATCATGATGAACATCGACATTTAAAAGTTCTTTAGGGTTTGAGATTAACTGCAGAACAGCCTCTTCAAGCTCAAATACTTCAGCAAATCGCAACGTAGTATGGTAAAGAGAATCAATACGAAAAACGCAAAAATCCCGATCTGGACTTCCTTCGAGGTCAGCAATACAACCCAAAATAGAGTTGCGAAGAAGTCTTACAAAGTATAACCTGTCTGCCATGTTTTAGGGTTGTAGACTTGTAGGTAAAACAATTGGTTTATTTTGTTTTCATTATTAACGCATCAAGAAATAAATTATAAATAAATTATAATGTGATCGAGTAAATTTGATATTTTGCGAGCACGAATAATGTTACGTCTTCATAATGGAAAGTTCAGCAACAAAATGCGTTTTAACAGAAATTGTACAGGACAAAAATCCGATTATGGATTATGAAATACCAGAATGGAATATGATCAAAACAAAAACATTGCAAAGGACAAAATGCACATTAGTAATTGGAAAATGTAGCTATTAATTTTGGCCGAGATCACCCTCCATACACAGAAGGCGGTATTCCACTTCCTATTATGAAGTGACGTGTAAACTTCATCCGTCAATATCACATTATCATTTCCAACAAAACTAATCGTGAAAACGCAGAGCCAAAGGACTTCTAGAAAACGATTAACATGGTAATGAAATGTGCATAGCTTACAGTAATAATTATTAAGTAATTAAATTATCATCGTATATTAGTAATGATTAGTATTAGTATATTAGTTACAAGTGATTAGTGATAGCAACCAATGGCGTAGCTAACAATTACTTTAGACAGTGCAGATAGATAAATTTTCCTACAACCGGGCGTGGCAAGTTAGGCGTGACTAAAAGAAATGATTTTTTTAAAAATGGGGTTTAAAAACTGTGTTCAAATGAATATACATTAGGCTATACCATTTTGAATAAACCAAGTGCAACAAATGTGAAATAACAAATAATTATTGAAAAATTCTTCTAGTTTGTCGTTCAAGAAAGGCATTTTAAGTTCTCGAATCGAATATTTCGAAATAATTTCTCGGTTGATGGAAATACATGCGACATTCGAAAGGCGTTTTTCTGTCATAGTACTGCCTATCTGTTTTTTATCGGAAATGATTAGTGACATTGGAGAATAAGGAAATTTGACGGACGCTAAACTTAACACGTGAATATCTTTCACAATTTGCTACCTGAATGTAAATTACTGCAAAGAATTTGATAAAAAATTTTTACAAATGGCACACAATCTATAGCTATTAATTTTATCGGTAAAAATGGATTTAAAGTCCAAATATATAATATTGTACAATTGAATAAATAATCACTTTCATCACCTTGCCATTTCACTTCAAAAATTCCCACAGGTTTCCAAATTTCCGACAAACACCATTAATAACGTTGAGCGCGGGGGTCGGGTGGGGGAGGCGCTGAATTTTTGTGATAACAATCAAAAAATTTATCCAATCTGAATGAATGAGAAAACAATTTTGGCCAATCTGCATTGCGTTTGAGCATTCAAAAATATGACGAATGTTTAGATAAGTGTCCCTAGCATAGGTTTTGAAAAATATTTGGCACAAAACCTAAAAACATTCGCATTTTTCATATGCATGGAAATTCATTTTAATGTAAAAAAACTGCAAAAATGCAGTAAAATTATTCATGACTAATGAGATGTATTTCTTCGTGGTCTTCCATGTACTTATAGATAT